TAGTGAAAGCCACCACCATTGCGTTCTAGCAATGTTTTATATCTATTCCAAACCTTGTATATTGATTTCCTGAAGCTGCACATCACTGGGAGCTATCAGACCCATTTTTCCTTCCTTCCTTCCTTCCTTCCTTCCTTCCTTCCTTCCTTCCTTCTTCTTTTACCTCAGGATTATTACCAGCAACAGTGTGTTTGCTTCGGACTACATTTTCACCTCAGATCACCTCAGAGAGGATAAGGCACATGGGATGCTCTCAGCCTTATCTCCCCTCATCAAGCAACTCCTCCTTACTCCCAATACTCCCAATACTGCCAAACAGCAGTACTGAGGAATATTAAGAATATGCTAAGAGTAGTGCTAGTGAATTGATGGTTAGTAATTGGAAGAGGGATCATTTGCCTCCTAAGACCAGCTGTGCCTGTTTCTTACAATGTCTGATTTGGCCACAGTGTCACACGCCTCCTTGGTTTCATCCCGTTTGGATTATTGTAAAGCGCTCCATGTAATGCGTTTTTGTATGCTATTCTCACCATTACATTATGTTCTGAATTTTGCAGCATTCTGCTTCTGGTGTTATGAGAGAGAGAGAGGAAAAAACTTCTCTCCATCCACTTTCTCCATGCAATGCATAAAAACAAATACCTGCTTGCATGTTCACAACAGACCTCAAGTTTCCAGAAGTACTAAACCAGGCACCCCCAAACTCGACCCTCCAGCTCTTTTGGGACTACAACTCCCATCACTCCTAGCTAACAGGACCAGAGGTCAGGGATGATGGGAATTGTAGTTCCAAAACAGCTGGAGGGCTGAGTTTGGGGGTGCCTGTACTAAACTGAGCGGAGGGAGCAACAACACATAAAATCAGCGCATCCCATCTCCCCACGAATATGGATAGGAAACATCAAGACAGATTTGGGAGGTACAAATTTTTAAGTGCTTATGTGTGGGCGGAGAAACACAAACAAGCACACAGAAATAGTGATCTAGATACACACTAAACATCTTCTTGTGGGCACAGCCTTTGAGAGAAGCTACGGCAGTTAAATTGGCCTTGTGTATATTTTGGCAAGCCTCTACCTTTTCAGTTCCTCATCTGTAAACTGGGAGCACTAAGTGATGGTAGCTGATAAGAGGCAGAGCTATAAATGTGGAATTCCCGGACTGAATCTGGCCTTTGTAGGTGGTTTCTGGAAAACAATTATCTCTTCGCTTCAGCTCTCGATTTACAGTATGAGGACAGTGAAACTGATCTGACTTGAAAGGTTGTTATAAGGATTGAATGAAGACAAGGCTCTGAAATCTCTAAAAGCTTCATCCTCATTATTTATAAAGTTTATAAAGCATATTTGAAAATCAGTCATCAAAAGTCCCAGTAATTTATGTTGTTGTTATGTTATGTTATGTTATGTTATGTTATGTTATGTTATGTTGTTTAGTCATTTAGTTGTGTCCGACTCTTCGTGACCCCCTGGACCAGAGCATGCCAGGCACTCCTGTCTTCCACTGCCTCCCGCAGTTTGGTCAAGCTCATGCTGGTAGCTTTGAGAACACTGTCCAGCCATCTCGTCCTCTGTCGTCCCCTTCTTCTTGTGCCCTCCATCTTTCCCAACATCAGGGTCTTTTCCAGGGAGTTTTCTCTTCTCATGAGGTGGCCAAAGTATTGGAGCCTCAGCTTCACGATCTGTCCTTCCAGTGAGCACTCAGGGCTGATTTCCTTCAGAATGGAGAGGTTTGATCTTCTTGCAGTCCATGGGACTCTCAAGAGTCTCCTCCAGCACCATAATTCAAAAGCATCAATTCTTCGGTGATCAGCCTTCTTTATGGTCCAGCTACTCAATCCCATGATGGAAGCCAAGAGGACCACTGTGACATGGGCTTCTTTGGCACTGCATCTTGTGCAATGCCAAATCTTTTCTTGCTCTTGCCTTTCAGCTGCACATCTCTAAAGAGCAAAGCCACAGGCTGCGGTTTCTTGTTACTTGCTGGATTAAAACAAGCAAAAAAAAAAGAAAGAAAGGGTGTGTGTGTGTGATAATGTCAACCCAAGAATGGACTTGCATGTCCATCTTCTAACTATTATCTCACTGAGTCACCTTTGACAGCTTCTTCTTCTTCTTCTTTTAAAAAAGGTCACTGTCACACTTCAAAGAACTGAGGGTTTTGAGGCAAAGTGAGAGCTAGAGGCTGCTAGCTCTTTCATTGGCTCCCTGCTCCTGGGCCTTTTAACAGCATCTTGATCCGCAGACAATAGCAGGAGATGTTGCATCACCTCCAGATTTCTGCAGATCAAGCTGCAATTCTCAAAGGCATATAAGCACAATGCCAGGATTAGTTTCTTGCCAGGATCAGTTCCCCCACCCGCACCCCTCAGTTGCTAGCTGTCTCAAGATAATAACAGTTCAGTCATGGATTAACCAGGAGCAAGGTTCCACTCCCCCCAATGTCTACAGAGGTCATCCACCAGGGCAACCCGGGGCGACTCAGTTCCATGGCCAGGCTTGGACCCAGATTGGAATTGTTATAAGAAGAAAACTGCTCCTTTTCCCTTATGGGGTACCCAAGAGCCCATATAGAGTCCTTTTGTAGGTTCTCTGTCGGTAGGAGAAAATAACAGAGACCAACCCCAACCAGAGAATATTGAGAAGCAAAGCAGCTAGTAAGCCTGATCTTTATTAACTGTTGCAACAGGGTGTTCCCCCATACGCAGGAGAGATGAGGTGGACCCAAAGTCATGCGCGCATGCCCTTATATAAACATTTTAAATTGCCCGTCCTGGAGTACAAGACCACCCCCAGAAACATCATACATACATCACAGAAGGGGTGTAGCCCAAGACCCCCCCCCAGATACATCATATCTACGTCACAGAAAAGGCGGTCTACAACAGAAATCTGAGTGCGTTGTTTATCTCCTGTCTGGCAAGTTACCCGATTGCATTATCTGGGTTGTTTGGCCACTCTTTTGTTATTATAACTACTTAATTCCGGAATCTAGGTCACAGGTCACAGGCTCACACCCTGTTCATATCTTGAATGTGCCCTTAAGACAGGGTTTGTGAGGACAGGATTTGTGAGGAAAGAGACAATGGGGAGATTTCCCACTTTGACCTTGCAGAGAAATATTGGAGGTCCATTTGTTCTGTGGGGTTTCAGACATGTGGTTTATATATACAGTTATGAAAATTTATTTTTTTTATATATGACCTTAAAATTCTTGTAACAGAATGAATGTAAATAATCTGTGTCTTCCTAGAATGCCTACAGCTGCCCCACCATGGTCTTTTCCACCACCTTCCTTTAAAATGGAGGTAAGGTAAGATAAAAGTAAAGGACCCCTGGACGGTTAAGTCCATTCAAAGGCGACTATGGGGTTGTGGCACTCATCTTGCTTTCAGGCCAAGGGAGCTGGCGTTTGTCCACAGAGAGCTTTCTGGCTCATGTGGCCAGCATGACTAAACCGCTTCTGGTGCAACAGAAACCAGAGTGCATGGAAACGCTGTTTACCTTCCCGCCGCAGTGGTACCTATTTATCTACTTGAGCTGGCATGCTTTTGAACTGCTAGGTTGGCAGGAGCTGGGACCGAGCAACGGGAGCTCACCCTGTCACGGGGATTCGAACCGCCAACCTTCTGATCGGCAAGCCCAAGAGGCTGAGTGGTTTAGACAACAGCACCACTTGCGTCCCACTAAATGGGGGTATTGGCAACTGGCTGTTGTATTCTAAAGGGTCCAGAACCAACCAGTTGGCTCCCTGTCTGCAAGATTTGATAAGCCGGGAGGGACGGGGGGGGCGAGGCATTGCCACCTCGTCCGCGTCCTCTGATTGCATAAGGTGAAAATGATCCCACAAACCACCTTGGTAACTGCGCTGGGTTGCCTCCAACTGGAGCTGCAACAAGTGTAGAGGCAAGATCACCCCAAAATGTCTCCCTCTGGGAATCAGTAACCTACCGGCCATCCAAAATAACTCTGCCGCCCAGCTACTGAAGGATGCAGTGCAAGCTGCAAAATGTGCTCTTCTGCTGCTGTTGCGATTTATTGGTGCTACTATTTGAATTGGTATTTTTTAACCATTTGAATGTGGTCAAATGCAATATGCGAGCTGCCCTGGGAGGAGAAATTCTGGAGGGTGGGATAAATGAATATAAATTCTCAGTCAGTTTTATTTCACATAGCCAAAGGCTGCCGCAATGTATACAGAATCATTCAACAATTAAAAGAAAATATACAGGATTGATACAAAAAAACTTAAAACATTTATAAAAGCTACAAAAGTACCTTAATATACAAGTTAAGACATTAAACAATAAAATTTACAAGCTAAAATTATCACATGGCCACTAATATATTAAAAAAAATGTTAATTAATACAATGTACAATTATATTTGGAGTTTGGTGATAAGTATATAGGTTGATGTAGATAGGGTCAAATAAATTCATCTCCTTTACAGTTGGTGAATAATAAATAAATAAAACCACAATTAAATAAAATAGCCACCCCTGTCTTTTTCCTGGCTCAACTGCCCCCCCCCCCATAAGCAGAAATGGATTTCTGTCCCCACTGGGTGCAAAAAAAAAGGGTTGCTTTTGTCAGAATATTTGGACTATATGATATGTATTTGTATAATTTGGAATACTTAATGTGATTTGATTGGATTGTTAAAATGGAAAATTTAATAAAAAGTATTTTTAAAAAAAAGAAAATAAAGGGTTGCTCTCATATTAAGCATTCATAATGACACCAGAGTTTTAGCATATTTGCTTAAAAGCTGATGGGGGGGGGAGAGGATCACAAAGGGGGGGCTCCCCTAACTTGACATTAAGAAAAGAAAGGTTATGGGCTGGGCTGTGGGGTTCTGACCTCACCGCCACGCCAAGTGAGAAGGCAGCAAGGAGGTGTTGAGGTTTCTGGGCTGTCTAAGGCGCTTTTGGAGAAGGAGGCGGGCAAGTACGTCACCTCGGGGCCAGCCTCCCAAAATGCTCGTCATCACTCGGGGGAAATTCCCAGCCCTGTGCGGGGTAGGGGGGGTGGAGGGATAGTAGTAGCAGCTGGAGTCCGGCGAGAGCAGCCCAGACCAGAAACAGAAAGATCGGAAGGCACAAGCTGCAGCCTGCGAGACGGACAGCTTTGCAAAAAGCAATCCCCGGTCGGGCAGACAACGCCAGCGGGAGGTAGCAGCGCCATGGCTGGTAAGTGATCTGAAGGAAATCAGCCCTGGAAGTGATCTTTTTGGCGCATCTCCGCGGGGCAGGAGCCCAAATTTTGCGCGCAGAATGTCCCGGCTGGGAAAGACCTCTCTCTCTCTCTCTCTCTCTTTCTTTCTCTCTCTCTCTCTCTCTCTCTCTCTCTCTCTGCCAGAGACCTGAGCTGAAGTAATAATGAAAATAAATTCTAAGAAGGTGGTATGACTCAGAACATTTTTATTTTTTTTGCATGTTAGCAGACACACGCGCAAACACACTTTCCCCACCTCAGTCTGAGAGAGAGAGAGAGAAAGAAAGAAGCACAGCTCTTTGGAGGGCGATAATCCAGTCTGTGAGATGCAGCGGTTCATGTTGCCACATCACAGAACTGCGCAGCTGGAAGGGACCACAAGGCTCACCTTGTGCAAGCTCCTGCCCTGCAGGAATCTTTGGCCTGACGGTGGGACTCGAACCCACGACCGTGAGGTTAGGAGTCTCCTGCTCTATTGACTGAGATGTTTGGCTTGCTCTGTGGAAGAACACAAGAGCCAGAGGCAAAGCTCTAATAATAATAATAATAATTCATCTGTAGATTTCAGGGTGGTTCACAGCATTAAGCACCTGTAGCTTCTCTTGATCTGGAGATGAAGTGGTTGGAGATGAAATTTGGCTCGTGGCATCTTCTCACAGCCTTAAAAATGGTGCCACCGTCTCTTGTGGCTGTTTGCCGTGGCGGCTGGGCTCTACCTCAAAAGTCGAGGCAGTATTTCTCTGAATACCAGTAGCTGAGAACTGCAAGTGCTGTTGGGCCCTAGAGTATTCTTTCAGGCTTCCCACAGGAATCTGTCTGGCTACTGTGAGAAGAACAGGATGCTGAATGGACCAGTGGCCTGATCCGGCAGGCTGTTGTGAAGGTTTTCCTTAAGGCAGGGATGTGTCAACTCCAGCCCTCCAGGCTCCTTGCTGTTGCAGCATTTAGGCAACGCTTTAGATACCTGGAAGTGCTTTGCATGCATTGTCTTCGTAATCCTTACCTGTAAGGCAGGTCAGACTCAGCACATCACAGCCTCTTTGCAGGTAAGGGGTTTGTGCGGACAGGCCACCTCCTGAACTGAAGCAGGGATTTTAAGTGTAGAATAAGCTCTTTTTGCCGCTGTGCTGTAACAGCCAGCTCTGAGACGTGTGTGGCCACCAGCTCCCTCAAGTCCAACCCCCACTGAATGACAACTATAACTATAACAATGAAAAGGTAAAGGGACCCCTGACCATTAGGTCCAGTCGTGACCGACTCTGGGGTTGCAGCGCTCATCTCGCTTTATTGGCCAAGGGAGCCGGCGTACAGCTTCCAGGTCATATGGCCAACATGACTAAGCCGCTTCTGGCGAACCAGAGCAGCGCACGGAAACGCCTTTTACCTTCCCGCCGGAGTGGTACCTATTTATCTACTTGCACTTTGACGTCCTTTTGAACTGCTAGGTTGGCAGGAGCAGGGACTGAGCAACAGGAGCTCACCCCATTGTGGGGATTCGAACCGCCGACCTTCTGATCGGCAAGTCCTAGGCTCTGTGGTTTAACCCACAGCACCACCTGCATCCCTAACAATGAATTAATGGGGCATACATTATTTTAAAAGGGATGGACGCTGATAACCCCATGAGAGATGCTTTGCTGGTAGTTTTGTTGCTGTAGTTTTTGCTGCTTGTCAATTTGTACAACAAATGTTCTTTAGAACCTTGTCCGTGTGCAAGAGCAAGCCTTCGGAGCATGTTGTATTCCACCCACTTTAAAATATATTTTCTCCCTCCTATGTTGAGACAGTCTCCTCAGGCAGTGCTGGCATTCTGTGGTTACTGCCTGACTTCAGCTATTGCTGTGCTAAATCTCTTCTTCCCATCACTTGGCTTTTACTTAATGACATGTATTTACACACCACAGGGAGAAAAGGGATCAACTAGGATTTCCCCTCACTGTGGTGTGTGGAGAGGCACATTCAATTGCCACTAACTTCAAGGGAATTTACTTCCGCATATACATACTTGGAAAGGCAGCCTTTACGTGTCCCTGTGGTTGATTTAAAAAACAACAACACAGTTTGAAATAATTCAGTCCAAGCCACGACTTTGCCCGCGTAATGTTTTCATTTCTAATTTTTATTATTTTGAATGCAAAAGAGAAAATATGAAGAGAGTGAGGTTAGAAAATATAAAGCCATAATTGGCTATGCAGGCTCGGGTTCATAGCAGGATAAGTCAGTAATTGTCAAGCCAACAACAGATCAATCAGCACTGAAACCTTAATACTTCCTCAACTGCATTCCAAGTAAAGCTCTCCTCTTGACCTTCTGCCTAAATACCATTCCTAAGATTGAGGACATACATTTCCTAGAAACAAAGCTGCGGTTCCCCAGGAGCCATTTGGGAAAGTTGTGGACTTTAAATGTCTTATACTACCATACATAGTAAGGACACCAAATGAAAAGTATTGATAAGCCAACAATTGATGAGCTGGGAGGGCTTCCCTTCTCTGTAACTGGCACAATAACAACAACAACAACAACAACAACAACAACAACAACAACAACAACTCATCTCAAGTCTTTGGGAATGAGGATACAAACAGCCTGCTTATGAACCTTTAGGAAAATATGCTTTCTGACTTTTAGAGAAACTCATGAAGTTATGAGGCATCACAGTTCACGTCACCAGACTCTGTCTGGGTAGGATTCACTCATTTGACTTGGTATTCGTCACACAGACCAGATGTCTTGTGGCAAATGCTAGATGATAACGATCAAGAGGAAAAAAAACCCATAATTTTTAATTTAATTTCGCAAGAAATTTGTGCACATCTGATGTTCTACAGTGTGTGCAGGAGATAAACGCTGTCTCTCCCTTCCTCCGGTTTTTAAATTATACATCTTTATTATATACCTTTAGGCGCCAAGCGACAGCGTCCCTCATTGGCTGATTGGCATCTGATGCCATTTTAAATGTGTTGGGGACAGGAGATTATTGGGTTCTCCTTGTTTTTGTATCTCTCCCATACTCTCATTAGTGATTTCCTGATTATATGGTTGTAAAAACTTCTATGAACCTTTCCTTTCCCGTACCATAAGTATGCGTGACCCCCAAATCTGTTATCATGTCCTTCTAGTTCTAATGCCTCTTGCTTATCCAATCTCATCCAGTCCTTGATCCATACCAAACAAGCAGATTCATAATACAATTTAAGGTCTGGGAGGGCAAACCCGCCTCTTTCTTTTACATCTGTAAGTATTTTATGTTTTATCCTTGGCCTTTTGCCCCATGTTTTTTGTTTTTATTATGTATTTAATTTTTTTAATGGTAGTTTTGTGTTGTGAACTGCAGAGCGGTATACAAATTTAGTAAATAAATAAACCCCGTGGATGGCTTCCAGCTTGGATAGAAGCAAAACAACTTGATGACTGTCACCAATTCATGAAAACCAAGTCAGAAAATAACAGAGTGTCCTTTTTCTGCTGATGCTGTCCAGTCCAGTTGCCTTGTGTGGGAGATTTGCCTCCTGCCAGTCCACTTGTCTGCTGTGAGAGAAATAAGGAAGGCAGTGGTTTAATGCAGTAGGAGAGGATTTGGAGAGGGTGTCGTCCCCGCCAGCCTCACCCTGCCTGCCACTTGATGCAACAGCTCTGAACAAAAAAAGGTGAGGGAACCAGTGTCACAGAGGAAGAGGCGAAACACCTTGGAGGAAGTAACTGAGCCTCATGAAGGAAGTAGCTGAGTCTCAGAGCTGCGGAGGACGGCTGCTTTAACTTTATGGTTTTGTTTTGGTTATGCATCGGTATATTATTCCCCCCCGCCTTACAGGAAGGGTGTGGCTCTGCTGTCAAGCCCTGCGGAATGACTGAGGTAAAAAGTGAGTTCAGGATTTAGTTTGAAGCAAGGCTTTTGTTTTTTGGGTCCCGTTCCCCCCCCCAAAAAAAATTGGAGACTCAGCCCTTGGTGGATGTGAGCAGAGGGCTTGGCCCCTGCCATTGAGCAATCCCAGCCGTCTCTTCCACTTCTGGGAATATAAGAAAAGTTTAGCGTTTAGGCGTCAGAGTGGATTACTTCCAAGTAGTTTTAAGCCCTGTCCAGGTTTCCTGGAGTTTCAGACCTTGAGAATCTAAGGGGAAGGAGTTTGGGAGATGACGGGTGATGCCCAGCAAATTAGGAGAGGAGCTTAGTGAAGGGTGGGTGGGTTTTTTTGGTATTATTATTATCTGTTATTTATTAACAATTTTTACAGACCGCTTTTCACCATAGACGGTCACAAAGCAGTTTACAAAACAATCAACAAAACAATTTATCAGTCAAATAATATGGTGTTTAAAACAAGGAAAAACAACAACACACAGGTAAAAACATAAGTTCCAGAAATATATTTAGCTACCGTATTTTTTGCTCTATAAGACTCACTTTTTCCCTCCTAAAAAGTAAGGGGAAATGTGTGTGCGTCTTATGGAGCGAGTGCAGGCTGCGCAGCTATCCCAGAAGCCAGAACAGCAAGAGGGATCACTGCTTTCACTGCACAGCGATCCCTCTTGCTGTTCTGGCTTCTGGGATTCAGAATATTTTTTTTCTTGTTTTCCTTCTCCAAAAACTAGGTGCGTCTTATGGTCTGGTGCGTCTTATAGAGCGAAAAATACGGTATATTCATAAGGATGAAACCTAGTTGTGGAGGCATTAGGATGGCAACTGTGGGTCAGGGAGTTTAGCATAAGGCAATCCATTGTTGCTGCACTTATGAAGCCAATATCTTACCCACAGTATTAGGATCAATATGCCTACGAATTCCAGTTCCTGGGGACGATAAACAGAAGGGTGGTGTTGTGCTTTATGTCCTGTTTGTGGGTGTTGCCATCTGGTTGGGGAAGAAAATAATAGAATTATAGAGTTGGAAGGGACCCTGAGGATCATCTAGTCCAACTCCCAACAATGCAGGAATTTGTGGCTGTCACATACTGGGATCGAACCTGCAACCTTGGCGCTAACAGCTCTGTGCTCTAACCAACTGAGCCATGTTGGACTACGTGGGCCTTTGGTTCAATCCAGCAGGGTGCTTCTTATGCTGTTATGCTTTTAAGCCAATCCTCAGTCTTAGCCCCTCATCCTGAGATTTTGCTCCATCCTGTAAGGCTAACACATGGTCTAATACCTGAGACCTGGGCACCCTACCTGAGCCACGGCGCCTCTCATTTTTCGATGATGAAAACGATTTAAAAGTGCTTTTGTCTTGCCTCTTCTGTCCATAAGATGCAGCAGGTTATCGCACACAGGCTCACAAGCAGCAAAGCGCATTAAATGCATCGTGCAAATTGCAACACCAAAGGGCCATGCACTCTTATATCCACAGCCTTCGTTAGCAGCATGTCAGCTGTTTGCCCTGAGAATTAGTGTTTGAATGAGTGTATTAATAGCACTGCTTCCTTCTTTCAGACAGGAATAAGGTTCCTGCACTTCGTAGCTGTGTTTTGTTCTGTTTCTAAAGAGTTGTCCCCAGCTTCTGGGGGGAAAAAAACGACACTCCATATTCACCAGGATTGTATCCACCCCTCTTTCTAAAGTTCGCTAGGAAAAACAAGGACAGTTTTCTGAAACAGAGATGCACTGCTTTTACCTCTTGGCATTAAAAAATATCTAGCCTTTCAGCCTAACCCTTGTCACAAACTGCAATGCTAACTTCCTCACATGTTGTGGGTGGGGGTTAGAATTCAAGCCTGCTGCGCATCACCGCCATCACTCCGATGAGCAAAACGCCTCGAATTATGACAGGGCCAGGTTGTTAGTTGTGGTGGGAGTACTTTTAAATCGCCCTAACCTCTGGGTAGGAGGTGTGGAATTGCTCAGAGAGACACGTTGCCTCATATCTTGTGAGAGTTGTTGTAAACATGCAAAGTTCTTTGCACATCAGATATACCGCATGCAAATGAATGTCACATGCTGCACACGTTTTGGGGGCGGGAAGGAGATCCTCATTCCACTGTTATTTTCTTCACTGCTCCATTTAGAAATTTCACACAGTAACACTAGACGTGCAGTTTAGGTTGCTGGCTGCCACCAAGTACTGTTTATATGTGGGAGTGGTGGAAATATACAACAGTGGACTATTGCTTTCAAGGCGCTTCTGTTCAGATTTGTTATTGATGAAATTTTGCTAGGGGCCCTGTGCAAAATGCCACCAAATAAATCTATCTATCTATCATCTATCTATCATCTATCTATCATCTATCTATCTCTATCTATCTATCTGTCTATCTATCTATCTATCTATCATCTATCTATCTATCTATCTATCTATCATCATCTATCTATCTGTATCTATCTATCTATCTATCTATCATCTATCTATCTATCATCTATCTATCTATCTATCATCTATATCTATCTATCATCTATATCTATCTATCTATCTATCTATCTATCATCTATCTATCTATCTATATCTATCTATATCTATCTACCTATCTATCTACCTATCATCTGTCTATATCTATATCATCTATCTATCTATTTATCTATCTATCTATCATCTATCTATCTATCTATCTATCTATCTATCTATCTATCTATCTATCTATCTATCTATCTATCTATCTATCATCTATCTATCTATCTATCTATCCCTCTCTCTCTGTCTGTCTCTCTGTCTCTCTCTCTCTCTCTCTCTCTCTCTCTCTCTCTCTCTCTCTCGTATCATACTGATTCATTGAGGAACTTGGGTCCCTTTGACTATGACTATGTGCAGTATTTGCCCCCAATTATGTCTATTATTATTGAGAGCCAGTGTGGTGCAGTGGTTAAGAGCAGTGGACTCGTAATCTGGGGAGCCGGGTTTGCGTCTCCGCTCCTCCACATGCAGCTGCTGGGTGACCTTGGGCTAGTCACACTCTCAGCCTCACTCACCTCACAGAGTGTTTGTTGTGGGGGAGGAAGGGAAAGGAGAATGTTAGCCGCTTTGAGACTCCTTAGGGTAGTGATAAAGCGGGATATCAAATCCAAAACTCTTCAAACTCTTATTCTTCTCTACCAGCAATACAAAATCTCAGCCTCCAGTTGGGAGAGACTCCCTGTCTGAACCCCTGGAGAGCTGTTGCTAGCCAGTGTAGACAATACTGGCCTAGAAGGATCAGTGATCTCTCTGAGCTTCTTATGAGTTTCTTTTGATACCTCCACCTGGATCTTTGGAACCTAGTTATCATCACTCAGTTCCTGAGCTCCCCATGTACAACAGTTTCCCCAGAGACTCCAGGACTGATATGCAGATGTGACTACTAGAGAACAAACCACATTTCAACTATGCTATGCTACATGGGGGGACGCGGGTGGTGCTGTGGTCTAAACCACAGAGCCTAGGACTTGCCGATCAGAAGGTCAGCAGTTCAAATCCCCGCTCTGGCGGGGAAGGTAAATGGCGTTTCTGTGTGCTGCTCTGGTGCGGACAAACGCCATCTCCCTCGGTCTATAGAGCGAGATGAGCGAGCAACCCCAGAGTCGTCCATGACTGGACCTAACGGGTACCTTTACCTTTTATTCTACATGGACACTGAGAGGGTTAAAAAGGGTCTGTTAATATTGCTCACCAACAGATGCAATAGGAAAGGAGGAATGGGGAGAGGAGAGCACAGCAAGCCTTAGAGCAGATGCACCATCTCTGCCCAACAAGTGTTGCCAGGCTGGTCTCCCCTTTGGCTTGATGGTCTTCCTAGGAGCCGGAGGGTGCAGCCTCTCAGCAGCCCTTGGTCTCCTGGCCAGAGGCGGAGGCCAGAGTATTCTTCCCATAATCTCTGCAGACAATCTCCAGAGCAACTAGCAGCTAGAGCTGGCCATAGCTGTCAACTTTTCCCTTTCTTCTGAGGAATCCTATTTGGAATAAGGGAATTTCCCTTAAAGAAAGGGAAACGTTGACAGCTATGTTCATGGCAGGGAGGAAGGGAAGGAAGCTCCCTGCAGTTGCTCCTGCTCTGGCCAAAAATGGGACCAGCCTGGGCTCCATCATGTTTTGCCATCATGTCCTTCCTAGGAGGCAAAAGGGTGGGGACTCCATTAAATAAGATACTGTAAAATTGAGAGGGGGGGTTGGCCATTGGCCTCTTCCTTCTCTTTTCGGAAGCTCTCCCTTCTTGCCTGTCCTGCCTCTTAAGAAGGTAAGAAGGGATCGGGCCAAAGACCTTGTTCTTGTGGTAGGCAACCAGACATGCACAAGAAGCCTGCGTTTCTGTGCGCTGCTCTGGTTCGCCAGAAGCGGCTTAGTCATGCTGGCCACATGACCCAGAAGCTGTACGCCGGCTCCCTCGGCCAATAAAGCGAGATGAGCGCCGCAACCCCAGAGTCGGCTACGACTGGACCTAATGGTCAGGGGTCCCTTTACCTTTTTATCCTGTCCTTCATCTCCAAGAAGGATTCTAATTCCCCGCCCCTCTTAAGCCCCTTCCCAAATATCCAATCCAATCCAAATCTTTATTACGGTCATAGACCAGCACAGTTCCCAAATATCTACACATTAAATAAGTATCTCAGTTTAAGCACCTTACAATAAAACCTCTAAAAAACAAAAAATGCTAATGAACACATTTTGGGGAAAATGTCACATTTATTTATTCAAAGGTTGATTTTTGCATGTAGAAACTTCAGCATCAAAATTTGTATCTTCAAGCAACTTTGGTTTAGAATCTGTGCCTCAGAGGACTTGCATAAAGGTTGATTGCATAAAGGTTCATTTCGGTATTCCTGGCACTAATTAGCAGTCAGTTACAAAGGAACTCCAAAAATGTAACCAAACCTGTATTGAACTTGTTCCGGGTGCATGTATGCTTATTCAAGTAAAAAGCTACCAGATTTCAGGATTTGTGGAAGAGTGACAAATGAATGGGTGATTTAGAGCGCTATTAAGATGTGTATCTCCAACTGCAGACAATATATTTTAAGCTGGTTAGCGGCCTGTTATGGGAGGGTGTCCCTCCAAACAATAGGGGAAGTTTCTAACTCCCTAGTAAAACCATATGTTTCTAGCTAATTGCCCCTTTGTAATGGTTACATTGATATAGAAGGGGAAGTTTCCAAAATACTCTGAAGTAAAGCTCTCTTTGCTTCAGACATGTGAATTCCAAGCGTTCAGCACTAGGGTTGTGCAATAGAAAAAAGCCACGTTAAAAAGCTTCTCCATTTTTCATCGATTCAGTACTAAGTTCTGTTCTCCTCATCTCCACATCAGTTTGTGATTTTCTTTTTCCCCTGAAATTTGGTGGGAAGTTCTCCCAATTTGCATATACAGTATGTGTGAAGTTTCGCCTGATTTTCATGTTTCTGCAAATCAACTTGCCCAGATAGAATGTGTTTCTGTATGTTACCGTATTTTTCAGCCTATAGGACGCACTTTTTCCCCTCCAAAAATGAAGGGGGAATCTGTGTGCGTCCTATGGGGCGAATACAGGCTTTCGCTGAAGCTTGGAGAGCAAGAGGGGTCGGTGTGCACCGACCCCTCTCGCTCTCCAGGCTTCAGGAAGCTATCAGCAAGCCTGGGGAGCCCACGGGAGTTCCCGCAGGGCTCCCTAGGCTGCGGATAGCAGCCTGCTGCACGGAGCGCGGGGTGCGCTGAAGCAGTGCGCCCCGTGCTTCAGGCAGACATCGGCCAGCCCCACAAGCTTGGGGGACAGCGGGGAGGCGCAGCGCCGCCATCCCGCTGTTCCTCGACATGGTTTGGAGGCTGGCGCAGGGGAGAAGCGAGCTTCTCCCCAGCGCCAGCCCCACAAGCTTGGGGGACAGCGGGGAACAGCCATACCGCTGTTCCCCGACCTGGTTTGGTTTCCCCGACCTGGTTTTGGGGGGGAAATAAAGGGAATTTTTTCCCCCTTTATTTCCCCCCCAAAAAACTAGGTGCGTTCTATGGGACGGAGCATCCTATGGGACGAAAAATACGGTATTTTCACCAATATATGCCTGTTGGTTGATGATCACCTTGTCCTACCATGGTGCATTTTGTGTACACCTTACTTGGTTGGGGGACTGCACTACAAAACACGAAAAAATGCAAATGTTGTTAATTTTGCATAGCAGTTCAAAAGCACATAAAAGTGCAAGTAGATAAATAGGTACCACTCTGGCGGGAAGGTAAACGGCATTTCCGTGCGCTGCTCTGGTTCGCCAGTAGTGGCTTAGTCATGCTGGCCACATGACCCGGAAGCTGTACGCCGGCTCCCTCGGCCAATAAAGCGAGATGAGCGCCGCAACCCCAGAGTCATCCGAGACTGGACCTAACAGTCAGGGGTCCCTTACTTTTTCAGAAAAAGTGCTTATTCGAACAGAATCTACCCCAGCCCTTAAAACGTCTGCCACTCCCTGATGGTTTGCTTTCCTAGATCTGCAGCCTAAGTGGTGTAGTACAGTACCTTATCACTGGATTCTGCTGAAATGTATAAATTTGGCCTTAACAGACTGCATGTGTGGGGCTCTGCTAGTTGCTCTGTTGGTGACCGTGTCCTGAAGAACATGGGGAAAGCACAGATTTCTTTTTTTTCAAAGTAAATAGGAATTTGAACATAGAATTATAGAGTTGCAAGGGGTCAAACCCTTGCGATGCAGGAATCTTTTGCCCAACGTGAGACACAAACCCACAACCCTGAAATTAAGAGTCTCAATCTCTACCAGCTGAGCTATTCCTTTGGACTATAATAATTTAATAATAATAATTTATTACGGCCGTAGGCCCATACAGATAAAAACAAGACATAAATAACAGCCTGTGCACATGGGAAAAAAACAGCCGCTAAAACAATACTATAACAATAAGCTACTATAAGATGGAATGGCATACTACGCCTTAATTAGCTTGTGGTGCTCCTTGGCGACGCTTTGGGTAAGGACAGCGACCAGGAACCTAGCCACTTTCAGGGTCGTATGGGCATCCTTATCCTGCAAGATTTGGGCAAGGTGGAATTTTGGTGGAGTACCCTCTAATTTCTGTATGATTGATCCCAACAAGTTTGCCCGTGGCACCTTAAATAAGGGGCAAGTGAACATAATGTGCTGAAGCGACTCCGGCATCTCCTTATCACATTCGCACATGGCGGAGGTTTGGCCCTTTGAGAATCTATGTCTCAGGACATTGGAGGGAAAAACATTAAACCTCGCTTTGGTGAAGGCCAGCCTATGGGCAACAGTCGAAAGGGAGGAGAGGTATGATGGAACGCAATAAGTTAAAGTGATACCAATGTTCTGGGGCGAACAAACACCTCCCCCCAGCATATAATTTTGCTGTAAATCGATGTCATCCAGTCTTTGGCGGATCAGTCTTTGAGCAGTGATTTGATCTAGTTTTAGGGAATCTAAGGGAGAGATTCCATAGCTCAGGAGTTTGGCATGAATTCTACTGGTCCAAAGGCTGGGGAATTCATCTCGCCATAAGCATTGGGCAAGGTAATGGTCTGGTAATCTATGCCACAATGATAACCAATAATTGAAGACTTGCTTCCACAGGCAGGTTTCTAAGGATGCGATCCTCAATTCTAAATGCATGGCTGCGTTGCTTACGCACAGGGGGGAGCATTAGGAGCCGACGTAGGAATTGGTTTTGCAAAGTCTCAAGAGGAGCAAGGTCTGTCATCACGACCCAGAGCGGGGCAGCATAAGCAAGCACGGGAACCACTTTTGCCTTGAACACCTTTAGGGCCGAGGGAACATGCAAAGCTCCATCCGAAAAGAAAAATCGGAGGAGCGCATATGACAGAGTTTTGGCCTTATTAAGTAGGTGTTGAATATGTGCTTTCCACCCCAAATTGTATTGAAAAATAACTCCTAGGTATTGAAATTTTAGGACTTGCTCTATTTTTGCTCCACCAAGCTTCCATTCGTATAATCTCCGACTTCTGGCAAAAATCAGAATCTTAGATTTAGCATGATTGATGGTTAATTGGTTGAGTTGACAATACGTGGCAAAGATCTTCAGAGCTCTGGTTAGTCCAACACGTGTATAAGATAGAATTACCGCGTCGTCCGCATATAAAAGGAGCCTTTGGACTGTGTCTTTGAACACTGAGTTCTGCTTTTGCACATAATACACACTGTTGGTGATATTAATTTCCAACCACAGATCAAGTGGTTGGAAAGAAGCTGGTTCTTGACTTAGTGAAGTGCAAGTGATGTCATCATCAGGATAAGAAACCAAATAACTTTCTCTCCCTCCCCCCCCCCCCTCTCTTTCTCTCTTTTTCTTTCTGCCTCTTGATTTTAGGCCAAAAAGACAGAGTTTTTAAGCAGCAATGCAGCAGCTGGTTGAGACAATTTTATTAACGATTTTGATTTGCTTGTATCAGGTCTGTGGCTATATAATAAAAGTTGAATGTTGAATTTCATTAATCCAACTAGCTTCAATCAAGCCATTCCTTCCTAATGAGACAACTGGTTTTTGGTTTTAACATTTTTTAAAAAGAAGACTGGTTTTCCCTCAAGCAGAACCACATAAAATTAATCAATGATATGATAAACGCACATGATAATAATAATCTGACAAATAAAGTTGCATATTCAAAAGATGAGCAGAAGTATGTGTGTGACTCGCTGTGGTTTAAAGCATTTAAAAAAACAACAACAACATACACCATTATTTAGATGAAAAGGCTTCCAGTGGCTTACATAAGATCAGTAAAAACAAGACAATCCCTGTCCTCAAGTTTACAATTTAAAAGACACAGCATAAAATGATAAAGGGATGAGGAGAGAAGAGGAAAACAAGCAAACTTAGCTACCGATTGTTAATTTTGCATAGCTGCTCTGATATAGAATAGCTAGCGCAAGAAACAGTTCAGAAAGAGAAGGAGCTGGTTTCTCAGTAGGGACAATGGACAGGCAGTGTTCCCCATCACTTCTGGTTCAGAAGAGACAAGGCACACTTGTAAATATTTCTGACATACTCTTGTACTTTGCTTCACAAATCCGCTTTCAGGCTACACATCAATATGACACGTGAGGCTGCTGGAAACAGCAAACCGTTCGGAGGACAATGACTCACAGATACTCTTAGCTAGCATAGCTGCCCTTAGCAAAAACAACAACACAGAGAAATATTTATCACGTGCTCCCAAATCATCCTTATTTAAACCATAGTTCCAAAGTTGAGAGAAGCACCTGTTCAGACAGTCTTAATTACGGTAATCCTATCAGTCCTGATTTCTAAGATCAGAGGAGTTTTCTGGCTTATCCGCAACTAAGCAAAGGGCTGTGATAACTGTGGCAGAGTACTGAAGTTTCCAGGTTCCATGTATGCGACAACGGCCACCAGAGTTCTGGTAGCACAAGGATGGAAGACTGAAGAAATCCCAACTAAAGAATCATGGCAAGAAAAATTGATGGATTATGCAGAACTGGCAAAATTGGGTTTGTGGGGGGAGGGGAGAGGAAAAATGGGGGGGAATAAGGATATGTTTTTGGAAAATATGTTTTGTTATAACTTTGAATTAAAAAAAAATTAAAAAAAGAAGTTTCCAGGTTCAACCCCTTGGCATCTCCAAGTAGGACTGTGAGAGGACCCCTTCCTGCAAGTCAATGTGAACAACACTGAGCTATAGGGACCAGTGGCTTTACCCAGTATAAAGCAAAAGGACACGTTTTTCTCTGTATTGGGTCCCCGGCTATTGTTGGACTACAACTCCCATCATCCCTAGCTAGTGGGACCAGTGGTCAGGGACGATGGGAATTGTAGTCTGAGGACCCAAGTTTGAGAAACACTTCTCTACAGGTATAAATGGGTGTATGAAAATGCGTATTGCAGAATTTGCAACGGAAGAGAGACCTGATTCCTACATCCTCTGTTTGTAGACTTTTCTGCCTGCTGTAAGGGAATACTTTACCTTTTTTAAAAAAATAACATGTTGCACTGTTTTCTTTCTTTCCAAAGATGGTCATGAACCATACATTGAAATATGTGAGCAGCCTAGACAGCGAGGGATGCGTTTCCGGTACAAATGTGAGGGGAGATCAGCAGGCAGCATTCCAGGAGAACACAGCAGCGATATGAATCGGACTTTCCCGGCCCTACAGGTATTCCTCTTCGTTATTGTCTTTTTGTCTTTCCCTTCTTTTAAAAAGGAACCACAAGTTGTTTTGCCCAAGAGGCAAATGCTTATTGTTTCATTTACTTACTTACTTACTTACTTACTTACTTATTTACTTACTTATTTCATATTTCGCTTGACTGTAAAACAAAGAAAGAAAGAAACAACCCTCAAATTGTTTTACAAAATAGATAACACAATAAGATCAAGGGTGCAACAACACTTTAAAACATAAAAAAGTTAAAATACTAAAACAGATTAAAATTAGCTCAACTTCCTAAGCATCTGAGTAGGCTTGTCTAAACAAGAATATTTTAGCAGGCGCTGAAAATATTGCAATGAAGGGGCTTTCCTGGTATCAACAGACACAGGTCCCAAAGTGTAGGAATCGGTGATGCCACACTATATGATCGAATGCTTACAAATGCAGAATGGATATTACGTGGCACCTGCCAGTTCTGCCAATCAAAGTGGTCAAGTGGGCACATGGGAGTAAGGCAATCCCACAGGCTCTAAAGGCCACTAACAACCAAATTATATGCATGTCTACTTGGAAGTAAGGGCCATTGAATTTGGTAAGTAAGTAGAACAGGCATAGGCAAACTCGGCCCTTCAGATGTTTTGGGACTACAACTCCCATCATCACTGTCTACTGGTCCTGTTAGCTAGGGATGATGGGAGTTGTAGTCCCAAAACATCTGGAGGGCCAAGTTTGCCTATGCCTGAAGTAGAATAATAGAATCATGGAAATGTTGAGTTGGATGGTCCAAGCCCCTACAATGCAGGAATCTTAACTAGATCATACATGACAGGTGACCATCCAACCTCTGCTTAAAATCTTCCAAGGAAAGGGAGTCCACAACCTCCTGAGGGAGTCTGCTCCACTGTCAAACAGCTCTTAGGTATAACACTGCAGGAGAAGGGCCCTTCCAGACCACCTGCTTATTGAACCTTCATTCTGATTTGTTTCTGGGGAGGTTAGATGATGCTGTCTCAAAGCAAGTGCTATCTCAACTTCCCAGTGCATTTTCCTGTCACTTTCATTATCTTAAGAACTCTGATCTTTAAGGGGGAACCCGGCTTCTTAACACAGCGCCTCCTAACCAACTATACTCGGGCACTCTGAAGTCACCGGTATGTGATGGAAGTGCCCCAAGTTGATCTCTAGCACACAAGTGGGCAAGCTCAGCCAGGGGGCCGAAGGCCGCTCTCCATGCTGCTGCATCTGGCCCCCAGGACTCTCCTCTGGCCATTCCTCCTCCCTGGACACATGCTCTCTCCCCAGGCCACATCCTTCATGCTCCATTAAGGTTTTTGCCTGGCTGGAATGTGTCCTTGAACTCTGGTCATCGGTCTTGCTTGATTGAAGCTCGAAAAAGGGTCTGTAGATGTTTGTGGAAAATACTCTACCGTTGTTGCTTAGTTGTTTAGTCGTGTCCGACTCTTCGTGACCCCATGGACCAGAGCACGCCAGGCACTCCTGTCTTCCACTGCCTCCCGCAGTTTGGTCAAACTCATGTTGGTAGCTTCGAGAACACTGTCCAACCATCTCATCCTCTGTCGTCCCCTTCTCCTTGTGCCCTCAATCTTTCCCAACATCAGGGTCTTTTCCAGGGATACTCTACTGTACAAATACAAAATTCACATTCATTTCTCCACTCACTGTTGCCTCTGGGTTTTAGCCAGAAGGCTGGTGGTTTGAGCCCATCTAGAGATGGCTGTGGGCAGGATTCCTACATTGCAGGAGGATTGGACTAGATGACCCTTGGGGTCCCTCCAAACTCTGCTTCTATTTGTCCTGCATTTAAGATGGCCAAACTGCAGGACTGAAGCAGACAGGAAAGTAAGAGCTTAAAAGCGGACCCAGCAGAAATGGCAACTGTTGGTTGGAAGAAAATACATATGATATTTAAGCGCATGTTCAGTGGCACCTGTATTTTGGCCTCTGCAGTTGCTTGTGTACTGCTGTTTATTTGTTCGTAGGTTTTAGCTATTTATAAGATGCTTGCCCTAACCAGTGATGATGATGATGATGATGATGATAATAATATTTATACCCTGCCCTCCCTGGCCAGAGCTGGGCTCAGGATGGCTAACACCTGTAAAATTACAGTAAAAACATAAGGGGGGGGGACCAATTTAAAATACAGGTTAAAATCCAATTTAAAATGCAGCCTCATTTTAAAAGTAGCCCATAGATCAAAACCATAAGGGGAGGGAAACATAAGGGTCAGACTCAGTCCAAACCAAAGGCCAGGCAGAACAGCTCTGTCTTGCAGGCCCTGTGGAAAGATGTCAAGTCCTGCAGGGCCCTAGTCTCTTGTGACAGTGTTCCAAGTCGGGGCCAGTACCGAAAAGGCCCTGGCCCTAGTTGAGTCCAATCTAACCACCTTGCGACTTGGGACCTCCAAAATGTTGTCATTTGTGGACCTTAAGGTCCTCCGTGGGGCATACCAGGAGAGGCGGTCCAGTAGGTATGTGGGTCCTAGGCCGCATAGGGCTTTAAAGCTCAAAACCGGATGAAACAATAAATACAAATGACTAGAATTTTTTTAAAAAGTCATAGCAAGAAGACTAGCTACCAGGTTTGACAATCCCTTTTGAATCCCATAAGTGTGGTGATGATAACACCAAGGTTGCAGGTTCGATCCCTGTATGGGGCGGCTGCATATTCCTGCATTCAAGGGGGTTGGACTAGATGATTCTCAGGATCCCTTCCAACTCTACAATTTTATGGTTCTATTATAGTTCCTTGGGAACAAAATATTTATGGGGCCACAGTTGCAAAGGCCCTGCTTCCAGCGTTTACTTGTTGCCGTGTCAGCGTTTCCTTGCTGCCTGAGGTTGTTTTACATGTTAAAACCAGCATATTGAAAGAGAACCTTCTTGTAATCAGGGCAGCTGGTTTCGCCTTGAACGTGACAATTCCTCTCGTCTGACAAAAGGCACAAGGGTGATGGGCTCTCCCTCTCTCTCTTTCCTTTGCAGGTGTTCAACTACTTCGGGAAAATAAAAATCAGAATAACGTTGGTGACCAAGAACGAGCCATACAGACCTCACCCCCATCGGCTGGTTGGAAAAGACTGCGAAAATGGTTTCTATGAAGCTGAATTTGGGCCGGAGCGCAGAGTTCTGATGTAAGTAGTAGCTGTTGTTAAGTGTGGCCAAAGACAGAACTAATGTATGAAGATCCTTGCTGGATCAGAGACCCATCGGGTCCAACATCCTCTTCTTGGAGAGGATAACCAGACACGATGGTTAATATAGAAAGGGGGTTCTTTGTGAGCTCTCCAGACATGCTTCAAGAGCTCCTTCTCAACTTGAACAATCAGAAGAACATGGCAGCAAGATAAATGATGGCTCCAACCTTATAGTCCTATCCAGAGCCGTAGCTCAGTAGAATCATAGAATCATAGAGTTGGAAGAGACCACAAGGGCCATCGAGTCCAACCCCTGCCAAGCAGGAAACACCATCAGAGCACTCCTGACATATGGTTGTCAAGCCTCTGCTTAAAGGCCTCCAAAGAAGGAGACTCCACCACACTCCTTGGCAGCAAATTCCACTGTCGAACAGCTCTTACTGTCAGGAAGTTCTTCCTAATGTTTAGGTGGAATCTTCTTTCTTGTAGTTTGGATCCATTGCTCCGTGTCCGCTTCTCTGGAGCAGCAGAAAACAACCTTTCTCCCTCCTGTATGTGACATCCTTTTATATATTTGTAGTAGAGTGTTTGCCTTGCAAGCAGGAAGGTCCCCGGTTCAAACCCCGGTATCTCCAGGTAGGAAAGTGGGTGACCTTTGAAGTTTAAAGATTAACAGGATTGTTGCAAAATAAGCTCTTGTGAACAGAAGCCTGCTCCCATCAGTCTGCTGCTTCCCAGAAAGTTCATACACATTCTTCAAAGGGAGATTCCAGTGCAACGTTCCCAACCTAAAACTTATCAGCATCTTTGATTTGATACCTTTAGAGCATGGGTAGGCAAACTAAGGCCTGGGGGACGGATCCGGCCCAATCGCCTTCTAAATCTGGCCCGTGGACGATCCGGAAATCAGCGTGTTTTTCATGAGTAGAATGTGTGCTTTTATTTAAAATGCATCAATGGGTTATTTGTGGGGCATAGGAATTCATTCATATATAGTCCGGCCCCCCACAAGGTCTGAGGGACAGTGGACCAGCCCCCTGCTAAAAAAGTTTGCTGACCCCTGCTTTAGAGCTTAATCGAGACTGGGGACTTCTTACTCACTGCAGGGGCTAAAGTTACCCAGCAGAGTCTTGTCAGTGCTACTTACTGCTGTTGTAAATGGCCACGGTATGTATCTTGTATACATAAGAAGAGCTCTGCAGGATTAGACCAATGACCCATCTAGTCCACCATCCTGTTCTCTTTGTCAGGAGTTCAGCCTACACTCGAGTAGGACCCTGGTAGAGACACATGCCCAACTGGCATGTTCTCTCCCTCCTGGTTGATCGTTCAGGAGCTTCAAAAGCTTTCTTCAGCCCGAACATCACAGTGACCGATGCCAACAGACACCAGCACACTTAGGGATCTGCAGAGTTTGCGCAGTTGCGTAACTCAGCATTTTGGCTAATCTACTTTATTTACATATAAACACACATGGAGCACTGCAACATGGCTCCCTCTCTCTCTAGCATCAGACAGCAAAGAGGAAAAAAACAAAGGACAATAGTCCCACTTCACGGAACACAGTAACACAAACATCCTGTCTCCATCACTTCCCACTCTGTGGAGTCAAAACATATACCGTCATGTGATAGACAACAATCCCATGACTGCAGACACGGAGCAGGAATTCTAACACTCTCATCGGCTGTGGGGAACCCACAAGCCAGACCCCTGAGCGCAAGAGCAGCTCCTTCCTTGTGATTTTGGAGGCATGCTGCCCCCCACATCAGAGGTACAACATAGCCATCATGACTAGTAGCCATGGATAACTCCATTCTCTATGAATTTGGCTAGTCATCTTTTATAGCCATCCAAGTTGGAGGCCATCCCTGCCTCTTGGGGTAGCATTTTTCCATACTATAGCTATGCACTGTGTGAAGGAAGCGCTCAGCTTCCTGTTTCATCGAACATTTAGCCCTTGGGTTCTAATGCTTTGAGAGAGGCCCATCCACTTTCTCTACACTGTGCATAATTCCATATACCTCAAGGTCTTGTTTGTGGTCATCACCACCATTACTGTATTCTGTGAAATTAGATTTCCCTCTCCGCCTCCCTTTATGCTTGCCGGTGTTGAATTGCATTTTTGCCATTTTACTGCCTATTCAGCCAGTTTGGAGAGATCATAGAATCGTAGAGTTGGAAGGGTCCCTGAGGATAATCTAGTCCAAGCTGCAGTCTTGGTATTATCAGCACCACACTCTAACCAACTGAGCTAGCCAGAAGATGCATTTGAGCTTTCCACAGCAGTTACAGCAACTTGTACTGGTTGCCTTTCATAGTTCTAGCTCTCTGGATCACATACACACTCAGGGCTTGTGTCTGAACACCCTTTCTTTTTTCCTCCGGAGCTCTCCCCACAAAGACCTGCTCTTTAAAGCTCAATCGGAGCAAACTTCAATCAGTGGAAATCCCGAACTGACATTTGCTCTGATTCAGCTTTAAAGAGCCAGGGGAAAGCTCAAAGCAAAACAACAACAATACTCAGACACAGAGCGTTAAAGCGCAAGTTCTCTCACATACGGTACCTGTGCATGGATATATCAGCAAAGTAGAAATGCTTCACCATCTGATGAAATGGGCTCCCATCTAGGTGGGAAAAAGGTAAAGGACCCCTGGACGGCTAGGTCCAGTCAAAGGTGACTATGGGGTTGTGGCTCTCATCTCGCTTTCAGGCTGAGGGAGCCGGCGTTTGTCTGCAGACAGCTTTCCAGATCATGTGGCCAGCATAAGTAAACTGCTTCTGGTGCAACGGGACATCGTGAAGGAAGCCAGAGTGCACAGAAATGCTGTTTACCTTCCCGCCACAGCGGTACCTATTTATCTACTTGCACTGGCATGCTTTCATGCTGGGACAGAGCAACAGGAGCTCATTCCATCATGGGGATTCGAACCGCCGCCCTTCTGATCGGCAAGCCCAAGAGGCTCTGTGGTTTAGACCACAGTGCCACCCGTGTCCCTTGTGCCTCGATAAGGCAGCAAATGATAAACACACTTACTAAAGAGAAATCCCCATTGAGCACAGCATTGCAAGTAAACAGGCATAGGCTCATTCTGCATATCAGTTAGGATTTAAAGTGCTACAAAAGCCCCTCTGTTGTTTTCATTCTCCTGCTAGAGCAGTCATTCCGAAAAGCATAAGCCACGCTACATTCAAGTTTTTGTTTAGTGTTCATCTCACCAGGCATATAATGGGGTCAGGAAGACCCAGGGATAGGGAGATACTGGCTGGTTAGCATGAGATGCCTCTTTTGCAATTTGCTCTGATTTCTGATATTGCACAGTATTATCTGGCTTTCAACTTCCTATTTTGCATCCTCCCAGGGGTGGGGTGATGTCATGGGTTTTCCATGTGGGAAAGAATCAGGTTTCTGGAGGTAGGTGGGGAGAGTCCCTTAATGCTGTCCTGTGACCTGATACCATCACATGCAAATTAGGAAGCTGCATTCAAATGAGATCAGAAAACTGGCTCTGTTTCTCTCTGTCTCTCTGCGTGTGTATCTATTTATTTGCCACCTATCTGTGTATAGGCAATATATTACCGTTTTTTCCTTGATCACATGGTTTGACATTACCCTGTTTTTTGTGGAAACTCTAATGCCAACCTGACCAATTTGCACTATTTCCCTTTTTAAACACAAAACCACAATACCTACTGCTAAATGGACGCTCACGTCCTCTGCTGACAGCTTAAAGGGGGGGATCTTTCTCTGCGTGGGAGTGTTGGCCCCCTTTCAGAGCTATTCCATTTAACCTGCTCACGTTCATAAAAGAGAAGTCTGAAGGCATCGAGTAAACTTCAGAGTAAATTCCATTCCATGTGCATTTACGGCGCAAGCCGTAATCTACTATCCGACTGAATTAAATGGGATTTACTCCCGTGTAAGTAGGCTTAGAATTCCAGCCTCACAGTGTGATCCCAATCATGTCTACTTGCAAACAAGTCCTTCTGACCTCAGTGGAGCTTACTCCCAGGTAAGCGGGGTTATGACTGCAGTAATCCAAACCTGCTTTCCAGGTAGTAAGACCCACTGAATTCAATAGGACTTACTTCTCAGTAGACATTACTTCTCAGGGGGTTGGACTAGGTCAGGCATAGGCAAACTCTGGCCCTCCAGATGCTTGGGACTACAATTCCCACCACCCCTGACCACTGGTCCTGTTAGCTAGTGATGATGGGAATTGTAGTCCTTCCAACTCTACAATTCTAGGATTCCAAATTTACACTGTAAGGCTACAATCCTATACCTGCTTCCTTGAGAGCAGCACCCCTGAACTCAATTACTTCTGAGTTAGACGACTTGTACCGTAAATGTACACATTGGTACATTTCAAGGGAATGTGCTATTTTGAAGGTCCTGGTTATGGCATAGATTTCCTGGATAAAGCTGTATTTAAAAATAGCCACACTACCTCTAGGCCAGGCATAGGCAAACTCGGCCCTCCAGATGTTTTTGGGACTACGACTCCCATCATCCCTAGCTAACAGGACAAATGGTCAGGGATGATGGGAACTGTAGTCCCAAAACATCTGGAGGGCCAAAATTGCCTATGCCTGCTCTATGCCAATCTGTCTCAAATGAACTTGAAAGCCTCATTATCACTGCATTCACTAGTCGGAGCTAAGGAGACCCTGGGCATTCTGGCAGGTAGTATCATTGTTCCCGCTCTGGACCTTGTGCATCTCCTCTGCTACACCACAGATCCCTGCCACTTGGACTTTCTGCCAAAGAGGTGTTGTTTAGTCGTTTAGTCGTGTCCGACTCTTCGCGACCCCATGGACCAGAGCACACCAGGCACTCCTGTCTTCCACTGCCTCCCGCAGTTTGGTCAGACTCATGTTTGTAGCTTCGAGAACACCATCCAACCATCTCATCCTCTGTCGTCCCCTTCTCCTTGTGCCCTCCATCTTTCCCAACATCAGGGTCTTTTCCAGGGAGTCTTCTCTTCCCATGAGGTGGCCAAAGTATTGGAGCCTCAGCTTCATGATCTGTCCTTCCAGTGAGTGCTCAGGGCTAATTTCCTTAAGAATGGATGCGTTTGATCTTCTTGCAGTCCATGGGACTCTCAAGAGTCTCCTCCAGCACCATAATTCAAAAGCATCAATTCTTTGGCGATCAGCCTTCTTTATGGTCCAGCTCTCACTTCCATACATCACTACTGGGCCAAAGAGGTAGTGGAAGAGAAACACACGCTTTCATCTCCCTGTGAAAGAGGCAAAAACAGAGCGACAGCGGTTTTGCTTTTTGAACTGCAGCACTTCATATCAGAGCAGAACATCCAGTTCTGAAAGGAAGTTGCCGTCCTTCCTGTGACTCACGGAGGAGATGGGTGCGCACCGCTGGGTCTTGCAAAGCACCTGAATGTTGACAAAACATCCTAGTCATCGAAGCAGCCGTAGCCGTTGGGCCATTGGTTTAGCAGCTGAGGGAATGGCAGACCCACAAATGATTGTGCCGGGAGGGTAGACCCAGGAGGTCTCTCCACACAGGGGGCATCCCGGCCTGTTTTACCACCTGAGGTGAAACGGGAAGGTGTCATCCCTGCTGAAGCTTTGATTTCTGGGGTTGTGTGCCTGAGGTTATAGCTACATCGGCTTCTGGCGAGATCTCATGAGAATTCTACGAGCTCTCGCTGGAAGCAGCTGCATGATCCACATGGGACACCACCGTCCCATGGGATTCCCCCGCCTGAGGTATCTGCTTCAGTCTGTCTCATGGGCAAGCCGGCCCTGTCTCCAGAGGTGGAGTACAGTTACCCTTGTCCCAAGAAAGGACACCTGCCCCAATTCTACACTCTACCCTTGCCTCCAAGCGATGATATCTGGTAGGTGCAGGGACTCCCATTCTCTTAGATCACACCTGGATTTGCCAGTGGCAGCAGGATTTTCTTGGCCTGGGTAATAATAATAATAATAATAATAATAATAATAATAATATATTTATACTCCGCGCATCTGGCTGGGTTTCCCCAGCCACTCTGGGCGGCTTTCAACAGAATATTAAAATACAATAGTCTATTAAACATTAAAATCTTCTTAAAGTCTGTGGGAAGTGTTTAACACTGTCAGTTCCTTGCTCCAAATTCCTGTGTGCCACCATATCAAGAATGCATATTCAGGGTTTTTTTTTATGGTGAAGGATCACACCTACATCGTATATTTAAATCACCCTGGCTCGTTCCCCACAAGAATGTAGTTTGTTAAGGGTGCTGGGAATTGTAGCTATGTGAGGGTTAAACTGTATTGTCTTATAATGTCATGTTGTTTGTCTATACCAGGGGTCAGCAAACTTTTTCAGCAGGGGGCTGAATTATATTTTTTTGGGGGGGAATAAATGAATTCCTATGCCCCACAAATAACCCAGAGATGCATTTTAAATAAAAGGACACATTCTACTCATGTAAAAGCATGCTGATTCCCAGCCCGTCCACAGGCCAGATTTAGAAGGTGATTGGGCCGGATCCGGCCCCCAGGCCTTAGTTTGCCTACCCATGGTCTATACCAGTGTTTCCCAAACTTGGGTCTCTGTCTGTTTTTGGACCACAACTCCCATAATCCCTAGCTAGCAGGACCAGTGTCAGGGATTATGGGAACTGTAGTCGAAAAACAGCTGGCTTGGTAAATACTGGTATGGACTCGCTGATTTTTGCCATAAAAAGAAAAAAGGCTGATCAGATGTTCAACCCAGTCCACCTAGGCCTGCCATTTTGTAAGAAATCCCAATGCCGATTGAGGCACAGTCACCGCAGGGTTGTCTGAATGGCTGGGGGCTGTGCCTAACTCTTCCGTATCAGGTCAAACCTCATTGTAGGGATGGTGGGAGGAACTGGTTTCAGTTTGCATTTAAAGGCTTTCCGAGGCAACACACTAACCAAAGCACAGCTATCCTTTGAAATTTGCACTTCTCAAAATTTTCCAAGTGGCTTATCAGTTAATTTGGAGTAACACTGATTATTATTATTATTATTATTATTATTATTATTATTATTAATTTTTGTACCGCCCTACATCTGTAAACTCAGGGTGGTTCACACCATAAAATCACAGTGTGTGTGTGTGTGTGTGTGTGTGTAACAAAATACAGAACTGAAAGCAAGATAAACAAAGCCTAGTTCACACAAAGCTCAGTGCCTGTTTGACAAATCGAAGGAATCTTAGAGTTTAGTCAACAAAGTAAAGTAGTCATTCTTAAAAGTAAAGGTCATTCTTCAGTATTTCATCATTTGCTATGATAACACACTAATGCAGAAAAACAGCCCAAGAAATAATAGGCTCTAAACACTCTCGCCCCCTTGGATTTGCCCTCTAATCCAACTGAAGCTCTAATAATTTCTGGCAGTTCCCCCGCTGCGAGAAGCAAAGCTACAGGGAACCAGGCAGAGGGCCTTCTCGGTAGTGGCGCCCGCCCTGTGGAACACCCTCCCACCAGATGTCAAAGAGAAAAACAACTACCAGACTTTTAGAAGACATCTGAAGGCAGCCCTGTTTAGGGAAGCTTTTAATGTTTAATAGGTTACTGCATTTTAATATTTTGTTGGAAGCCGCCCTCCCGGGGTCCGCGCAGCTCTGCATTCCGAAGCCTCGGGCGCGCTGAAGAGCACACCCGGGCTTCGCACAGCTGTCCGCAAGCCTGGGGAGACCGGCGCGGCTCCCTAGGCTTGCGGATAGCAGCCTGTTCTGGGGTCGGGGGAAGCTCGGGCTTCCCCTGCGCCAGCCCCGTGCCATGGGGGGGAAATAATTTTTTTTCTTTATTCCCCCCCCCCCAAAAAAACTGGGTGCGTCCTATAGGGCGGTGCATCCTATGGGGCGAAAAATACGGTAATCACCCACTTTGGGAAACACTGTTCTAATGAAATTATATCACTCCCCATATATGTACACATTGCATTGGAAGCACATTTCCCCGCATCCCACCAGGACCATGGGAATTGTGATTCATCCAACACAGAGCTACAACTCCCCGCACTCTTAATGAACTACAGGTCCCAGGATTCTTGGGGTGGGGGGAGCTTTGTAGACTATAGTATTTTAATATTCTGTTGGAAGCCACTTAGAGTGGCTGGGAAAACCCAGCCGGATGGGCGGGGTATAAATAATAAATTTATTTTTATTTTTATTATTATTATTATTATTATTATTATTAGTGTTGTGAGAGAGGGAGAAACAGCTTATCTCTCCCCACTTTCTCTATGCCTCACACAATTCTATAAACTTCTATTGTGACATCTCTTATTCACCTTTCCTCCAAAACTGAAAAGTCCCAAGTGTTGCTCCATCCCCTTCATCGTGTTGCTTTCCTTTTTCTAACTCTACAGTTTCCTTTGGAGGTGACACAGTATTCCACCGTCGATTTGCATAGCGACTTTACGATATCAACAGTTTTGATTTCAATTCCTTTCCTAATGATCCATGGAATTTGTCTTTCTCACAGCTGCCGCACACTGAGTGCTCGTCCACACATCTCCTTGACTCACCACTTCTCCCTGGGGAAACCCGCTATTTACCCCTGAATCGGAGGAAATGCTGATCGGGTTTTCCGTGGCTTGACGTTTGCTCCAGTTCAGCAGTAAAAAGCAGGTTTTCCTGGGGGAAGAAGTGGCGCACACAGAAAACCACTAGGGATCGTGCCTAGAAAGCACAAGATGAGCAGAAAACCTAACCAGACCCATGGTTTCTGGGCAAGGGACAAGCGATAGCTCAATGAGCCCAATGTCTTGTTCCTGATCAAGCTCAGACCCCATGGGAATATATGTGAAATTAAAAATTGTTTGTTGTTGTTTAGTCGTGTCCAACTCTTCGTGACCCCATGGACCAGAGCATGCCAGGCACTCCTGTCTTCCACTGCCTCCCGCAGTTTGGTCAAACTCATGCTGGTAGCTTAGAGAACACTGTCCAACCATTTCGTCCTCTGTTGTCCCCTTCTCCTTGTGCCCTCCATCTTTTCCAACATCAGGGTCTTTTCCTTGGAATCTTCTCTTCTCATGAGGTGGCCAAAGTATTGGAGTCTCAGCTTCAGGATCTGTCCTTCCAGCGAGCACTCAGGGCTGATTTCCTTCAGAATGGATAGGTTTGATCTTCTTGCAGTCCATGGAACTCTCAAGAGTCTCCAACACCATAATTCAAAAGCATCAATTCTTTGGCGATCAGCCTTCTTTATGGTCCAGCTCTCACTTCCATACATCACTACTGGGAAAACCCTAGCTTTAACTATACGGACCTTAAAATTGTTTGCCCCAGCATAAAATCATTGGGTCACATTTGCCATTTTCCTGCCCATTCAACTCAGTTTGGAGAGGTCCTTTTGGAGCTCTTCGCAATCCTTTTGTGTTTTAACAACCTTGAACTATTCAATGCCATCAGCCAACTTGGCCACCTCACTGCTCACACCTAGCTCTAGTTTGTTCATGAACAAATTAAAAGGCACAGATTTCAGTATCGGTCTTTGGGGGATTTTCAACATTTCCATTCAATGAGCAGTCCATTTATTCCCACTCTCCGCTTCCTGATACTTAACCAATTTCAGATCCGCAAGAGGACCTCTCCTCTTGTTCCATGACTGCTAAGCTTATTCAGGAGCTTTTGGTGAAGTACCTTGTGGAAAGTTTTTGGGAGGTCCAAGTACACTTTGTCAACTGCATCCTCTCTAGCTATAAGCTTGTTGACACTCTCAAAGAACTCTTGAAAAGGCAGGACTTAGCCTTGCAGAAGCCATGCTGATTCTCCTTCAGTAGGGCTTGTTCTTCTAGGTGCTTGGCTATTTTATCTTTAACAATACTTTCCACCAGTTTTCCTGGGACAGAAGTTAAACTAACCAGCCTGTAATTTCCAGGATATCCCTGAATCCTTTTTTAAAAAATAAATAAAAAATTGGCATTGCCTTGGCTGTTTTCCAGTCCTCAAGTATGGAGGCTGAAATGAGGGACAAGCTACACATTTTTGTTGCCAGTTTGGTAATTTCACATTTGAGTTCTTTAAGAACTCTCAGGTGGGTGTAATTTGAACTCGCCAATTTGCCAGTTTTAATTTTGTCTGTTAGGCCTAGAACTTCATCCCTTGCTACCACTATCTGTCTCAGTTTCTTAATCCCCTCCCCTCTTTCTTTTTTCCTTTGTCCTTCTGTGATGGAACTTCTACTTGGGGACTTCCCTGGCTTTTTTCTGACCCACGTAGGACCAGTCTGGATAGTTAGCCTTGGTGAAGACTTGACGTTTTCATCCCCAATTTTTTTTTTTTTTTGAGTTTCTCCTGAAATGAGGCTGCATTTTAATGTTGCATTTTAATCTTGTTTTTTAAGTTGTATTTTAATCAATTGTTTTATATCTGGTGTTAGCCGCCCTGAGCCCGGTCTTGGCTGGGGAGGGCGGGGTATAAATAAAATTTATTATTATTATTATTATTATTTCTCAGACTCCCTTCCTGAAAAACTTAGTTCATTCACTGGGATTTGTCTTCTGTTGTGAAGACAGATGTAAAAAATTCATTTAGCTTCTTTATAGTGTTCTTATCCTTCTTTATCAAATCTTTGACTCCCTTGCCATCTAAGGGCCCAGTTGCCTCCTTAGAACAGGGGTTGGCACAGTTTTTGTAGCTTGGGCCGGTTCACGGTCCTGCAGACGCCGCGGTGGGCCGGAGTATGTGTGCGTGCATGGATGCATGTGTTAGTTTCTGTTTGTCACTGAGCAGCTGCTTAGAGTCACTGGACTCTGTTTACATTCCAGACACATTCCATACTGTTGGAAGTCTCACGGGAGACGAGAGACGGATGTGACGTTACTGGTTTCCTGTTCCTTTGTTTCAGTTGCTCTCTGCTTTCATAGAGAGAGGATGTATTTTTCTTTGCTGTCTGCGTAGCGAGAAATAAAACTCTTTAGCCATGTAGCCATAAATCTCATCACTTCCCTGTGCTGGAAACTCTGCTGGATGGGAATGTGCCTGAGGCCTTATCAGAGGCTCAGGTCATTAATTATTGTCAGAGGCGATTCTGAAGGCTCGGCCAGAGGAAAATGAGATCCTGACAGCATGCGCAAACACTATTTCTGGCGCTAAGAGCAATGGACTCGTAATCTGGGGAACCGGGTTCGTGTCTCCGCTCCTCCACATGCAGCTGCTGGGTGACCTTGGGTTAGTCACACTTCTCTGAAGTCTCTCAGCCTCACTCACCTCACAGAGTGTTTGTTGTGGGGGAGAAAGGGAAAGGAGAATGTTAGCTGCTTTGAGACTCCTTCGGGTAGTGATAAAGCGGGATATCAAATCCAAACTCCTCTTCTTCTTCTTCCAACATGGAGGAGGCATGCGCAGCTTCCCATTGGCTGCAGAAGCTTCCTGCAACCAATGGGAATCCGGCCAGCATAGCTGAAGGCGGTCCCCGCTCTGCTCTGCACTGGTTTAGCGCGGCGCACAGGAACCAACTGAGCAGGTGGCAGGGGTCCCTGAGTGGGCAGTGGGGGTTCATGGGCCAGTTAAATGACCCCCATGGGCCGCTTGTGGCCCATGGGCCTTAGGTTGCCAGCCCTTGTCTTAGAAGATCTCCTGCTACAAATGTCCTTAAGGAACTTGTTTTTAGCAATGCACTCCTCAGATTCTCTTTTAGCATACCTTACAGGTTGCTTTCCCCCCTTTTTTGCTTTTTGCCAAAGTTTATGTTCCTTTTTGTTCTCTTCATTGAGTTGCAGTGGAATTTGTCAGAATCAGAATTTCCACAATAAGTCATTTCAAGCCAATATTGTGTTGCTGTTGCTTCTTCTTCGTTTTTTTTTTTTAATCTGCTAATGGTTGGCTGTGCGTGCTCCAGTTTTCAGAATTTGGGCATACAGTGCGTGAAGAAGAGAGAGCTCAAGGAATCTATCGTCTCCCGGATCACAAAGCAAATCAACCCCTTCAGTGGTAAGTAACCGTGGCAATTTACTTTGTCAACATTTTATTCAATGGATTCATTTATGGGATGCTCGTTTTCTCGGAATGTGCCAAGCCATGTCAAGAGGCAGGCTGGAGTAGCTATATGTCTGTGGAACTCCCATCCCATGAGATGCTTAGCTCAAGTAATTCATGCATTTGCTGCTGAAGATGTTGCTTGAAATAATGCAACAAATAGTATGCCAGGGCTAGGGAATATCAGGCCTGTTTTGCACACACACACACACCCTGCAGCCACACCCTCTTTCCTGAGTCCATATCGCCCACTGGCCTTGCTTCAGCGGAGAGCCAGCTTGGTGTAGTGGTTAAGAGCGATAGATTCGTAATCTGGTGAACCGAGTTTGCGTCTCTGCTCCTCCACATGCAACTGCTGGGTGACCCTGGGCTAGTCACACTTCTCTGAAGTCTCTCAGCCTCACTTACCTCACAGAGTGTTTGTTGTGGGGGATAAAGCGGGATATAAAATCCAAACTCTTCTTCTTCACACCCTTGTTTAGTGGTTTTTGCCAAGCTGGAATTTGTCCTTGGCTCTGATAGAATGCATCTTGTTTGCCAGCGGAGGCTATTCCCAACAGGGTGTACGGGGCACAGTTTCGCCTTCACAGAGCTTGGCAGGGAGGGGGATGGGGGACAAAACTATAAATAGTGGACTCCACCTGTAATTCGCTGTGGACTCCACCTGTAATTCGCTCTGGCTCCACCTTCTGTTGCCCTCCCAGCCCTTCCACCTTCCCAGACCCAATAGGCACCAGCCACACCTGTCATCTGAATGAGCTTTGACCAGTAGCTCGATGAAGGCTAGGGAGGGGTGTTTGAGTGTGTCAAAACTAGCCTGCTTTACAAAGGTAACATTTGCATTAATTGCTCCTCCCACCTTTGCCTCTGGCCCCACCCACCATGGGCTTGCGAACCTCAGAAAGTTGCCCAGAAGGAAACCAGATCCTCATGCTGAAAAACACTCCCTACCCCTGGTCTCATGGGAATGAAGTATTAGGGAGGACAACCTGAACTTGGAGGTCAGAGTCAGGGTTACTCCAACACTTCATAGTATAGGCATTCTCTGAAGTTATTTTAAGGGAACATCTAAAAATGTAAACTTTACTGTGTACCTGGAATTTCCCCCCACCTTTTTTTAGGGAGTGCTTTTCTGAACATCATTAGTTTTCCTTGCTGTGAAACGGGCATTTTGTGCTTCCCACAACACTCTCTCCATTTTCTAAAAGTGTCCCTGGGCTGAGAAAGATTGGGGACCCCTAGGTTACACAAGCACAATCAGAAAAAGAGAGCTCTGAACAGGCAAATTGAAGTCAAAGAACTTGGAGTGACAGGGTTCTGTCTCGCTTATGTGACACACTATTGCCTAATTGTGAATTGTACAACATGCCGTTGAAGAAAATAGATGGTTGCAGCGAGACACAGTGAAGCATAGGAAGTTGCCTTGTACCAGGTCAAACTATGTGTCCATCTAGTTCAGTATCTTCTTACTCTGAAGGGATGCGGGTGGCACTGTGGTCTAAACCACTGAACCTCTGGGGGTAGCCAATCAGAAGGTCAGCAGTTCGAATCCCTGCAACGGGGTGAGCTCCTGTTGCTCTGTCCCAGCTCCTGCCAACCTAGCAGTTCGAAAGCACGCCAGTGCAAGTAGATAAATAGGTACCACTGCGGCGGGCAGGTAAACGGCTCTTCCATGTGCTTTGGCACTTGTCATGGTCCTCCGTGCACCAGTAGCAGTTTAGTCATGCTGGCCACATGACCCGGAAAACTGTTTGTGGACAAACGCTGGCTCCCTCGGCCTGAAAGCGAGATGAGCGCTGCAACCCCATACTCGCCTTTGACTGGACTTAACCGTCCAGGGGTCCTTTCCCCATTTTTTACCTTACTCTGAGTAGCAGTGGCTCTCAGACAGAGACCTGTATCATCACCTGCTACCTGAGCCTTTTTAGCAGGAGATGCTGGCAATTGAGCCTCGGACCTTCTGCACAGTAAGTAGGTCCTCGACACAGTCGTTACCTAAAGGGGATCATGAAGTACATCACAGAATTGCTTCTCTTACCACATGATGCTGAACTGAAAGGTTGAACTCATCATACGACGGCCACTTTGCCACCCACAAGGCAGAGAGGCTGGTGGGACAACTTCCCACCCACTTGCTGTGTGTCGAGTTGGCAAGGCTTTAGTCATGCCACCAGCCCTCTGCCATTGACTCATACTTGCAGAGATATGTTTCCTTTTGGCAATGTCCAGTCTCTTATCTGGTGTGGGTGGGGAAGAAAAAAGGAAAGAGGTCGAAAAGGAAAACCAGAGGCTCTGTAAACTGGGCTGTGCAAATTCTCCTTTATTCCCAATGTGTTGTTATTCCTTTGGATTTGGATGGTGCTTTTAAGCGTTCAAGTGCTTTGCATGCTTTGTCTTTTTATGTTCCTAACATCCAGCGCAGGCCGGGGAAAGGTGAGGCTTGGCTAAAAGGGGCTTTGAAGGCACCACCAATCACCAGTGCCTTCAAAGCGCCGTCTGCGGCCCTTTCCAAATCATTGACGATCACCTGCTTATCGGGCTGCCCACCTGTCTAAGTTCACCTGCTGGGGTCTTGGAGGTCAAATATCTGGTCTGCTGGGCTGAAAAGGTTCCCTAGCCGTGCCTTCCAGTATTCATTTTAGATAAGGTCAAGGGACCCGTGACCATTAGGTCCAGTCGTGGCCGACTCTGGGGTTGCGGCGCTCATCTCGCTTTACTGGCCGAGGGAGCCGGCGTACAGCTTCCGGGTCATGTGCCCAACATGACTAAGCCGCTTATGGTGAACCAGAGCAGCGCATGGAAACACTGTTTACCTTCCCACTGTTTACCTATTTATCTACTTGCACTTTGATGTGCTTTCGAACTGCTAGGTTGGCAGGAGCAGGGACCGAGAAACGGGAGCTCACCCCGTCGCGGGGATTCGAACCGCCGACCTTCTGATAGGCAAGTCCTAGGCTCTGTGGTTAAACCCACAGTGCCACCCGCGTCCCAATTCACTTTAGATAGGTCAGTATTATTAATATTGCAATAAGGAGGAGAACTTCAGTTCAGTGCTCCAGGCTGCCATCCAGCCACTCCCTCTTCAAAGCCACTCCATTCCTTCACTTCTCCCTCAACAGTTCCCCATTCCCCTATATCCTGCACCCTGTGACCAATGAACATACTGTATTTTTCGCCCTATAGGACGCACCGGCCCATAGGACGCACCTAGATTTGGGGGGGGGGGGGAATAAAGGGGAAAAAATTTATTTCCCCCCCCCCAAGGCACGGGGCTGGGGCGGGGGTAGCCCGAGCTTCCCCCGACCCCAGCCCCCAGAACAGGCAGCTCTCCGCAAGCCGCGGGAGCCCAGCACGAAGTCACGCTGGGCTCCCACAGCTTGCAGAGAGCTGCGCGAAGCCCGCTCTGGGAGCATGCGGGGCCTTGAAACAATGTCAGGGGACAGCGGGAAGGCGTGCTGTGACTCCCCGCTGTCCCCCGAGCTTGCGGGGATGGCGATGGGGAGAAGCACACTTCTTCCCGCTGCCAGCCTTGAAACCACGTCGGGAGACAGCGGGATGGCGCGCTGCGCCTCCCCGCTGTCCCCCAAGCTTGCGGGGCTGGCGGTGGGGCTCTCCAGGCTTCAGCGAAAGCCTGCATTCGCCCCATAGGACGCACACACATTTCCCCTTCATTTTTGGAGGGGAAAAGGTGCGTCCTATAGGGCGAAAAATATGGTACTTACTGGACTGTTTTGGTTTGTTTTTTGTAGTACTGAGCATAATTCTCCCCCTCCATGCTCCCATCTGCAGGACCACCAGTGTCCCTTGAACAGTGTGTGAGTGGAGGAGGAGAATATTGGGGGGTGCTGAGGAGGAGGGAGCAAAATATACTATTGTGGGAGACTTACTTATTTTTCAGCAAGTGGGGTTCAAGGCTAGCTGTTTGTCTGGTTTGTTGTTTAAGTGCCTAACGAAGGCTTCCTCAACCTCGGCCCTCCAGATGTTTTGAGACTACAGTTCCCATCATCCCTGACCACTGGTCCTGCTAGCTAGGGATCATGGGAGTTGTAGGCCAAAAAAATGTCTTGAGGGCTGAGGTTGAGGAAGCCTGGCCTAACGCTTGACATTGGGATGATTACATATTGTTCGGCAATTTAGACTACACCTCATTCTGTATTTTCTTGCACCTTCTATGCCAGAGATCATTAAAATATAATTTCTGCACATGTGTGGTTTTCCACATTCTCCCCCCCCCCCCCGGATTGGTGGTGCAGCCCTCCTTTTCCTTACCTTATGACTGAACCAAGTCATGGTTTGGATCAAAATTGTGTTTGGGGCAATCCATGGTTTAGCCTGCTGTCTCAGTTGAGCAGCTGATTCAATCCATTTGCTGTGGGGATACAAAAGTGTGTATTTCATTATCTTTTACACGTCGTTGACTCCCTTTGCATTTTAAAATTTAAGAAATCTTATAAATCAATGAAACGTTACAGTTCATTTAGCAATCTGCGTTTTTGTTTTTGGTTTTTAAAAAAACCAAAACCAAACTCTGGTTAGTTAGTTGCAATAAATAGATGAGTAAATGGTTTCTTTCTTTCTTTCTTTCTTTCTTTGAGAATGCTGAAGGAAGTCCATAGTTTCCCTTAAATGTGACATAACCCGCCTACTCAGACTCAGAACACATTGGGATTTTAAGGAGTTTCTGTCTCAATTTTTGTTACATTTCAGATTTTACTTTTCCTACGGTTGAGTATGTAGTTTACAAAAATTCATTAACAATAATGTATGGCATTTCAACAACTTCCAGTATACAAAATCTTAATTAATATATTCAATGCCATTGTCGGAGTTCCGTTGGGATTGCACCAGAACAAGTACACAATATAGAGAGTTGCTCTCAGGGACGTATTTAAGGAATATGTTGACTGCTTGGCTCTGAGCTATTGAGCTGCGCATGTCATTATTATTTTGGCACTGTATATATTATTTAATGTTTCATGTATTACAAATGGTTGAAATGCTGTACAGTCAAACCTCGGTTCCTGAACCCCTCCATTTTGGAACATTTCGGCTCCCGAACGACGAAAACCTGGAAGTAAACCTGCTCCGGTTTTGGGACAATTTCCGGAAGCCGAACGTGCTACGCAGCTTCTGTTTTGAGTTTCCCTATTGTATTGAGGCTTTTGCTTTCCGTTTTTAGTTGTCGAACGTTTTGGAAGATGAATAGCCTTCCAGAACGGATTAGGTTTGACAAGCGAAGTTTGACTGTGCATTGTTGTCAATGAGTTTTTGTAAACTACATACAGTGGTACCTCAGGTTACAGACGCTTCAGGTTACAGACTCCGCTAACCCAGAAATAGTACCTCGGGTTAAGAACTTTGCTTCAGGATGAGAACAGAAATCGTGCTCCGGCGGCCGGGCGGCAGCGGGAGGCCCCATTAGCTAAAGTGGTGCTTCAGGTTAAGAACAGTTTCAGGTTAAGAACGGACCTCCAGAACGAATTAAGTTCTTAACCCGAGGTACCACTGTACAGAGTTGCAGCTTTGAAACGCAGAAAGGCCTGAGCAAAGCGTTCGCCGAACAGGTGGGATTGCTTGAAGTTCGGCAGAGGAGGGAAGAGTTGTGGGTTTCGCTTTGCTTTGCGCAAGTCGCGCCAGGGCGTCACACAGGCCTGCGCCAGCTCTCCGCGAAAGCTCCCCTATCTATCACACTCTGCGGCCCTCCTACAGTTCAGTGCAATCGTTCCACCGAAACCGACACGTCACGGGGAGGCTGCGATCATGAGGAAGCAGCTCTCTCCTCTGTGGGATTGGCCGTGGTTAATGAGCTCGCTAGCAAAGCACAAGCTTTCAGTGGGATGCCGGTAGAAACAGAGATTAAGCCGGTGGGTGTAGGAGGACAGCTGTCAGCACAGATATTGGAAGGAGCCTCCCGGTCCGATTCCACTTTGAATGCCACTTGTGGCTGAGGGTGGAAATTGAATAACAGATTAGGGCTACCTGCTTTCATGCTTTGGTTGTGGGCTGGAAACATCTCACTGGAAGACAGAGAAGCAATCACTCTCCCTGTATACATACTATACATTTAAAGCTCCCCCCAAGAAGAATCCTGGGAACTGTAGTTCATTAAGGGTGCTGGGAATTGTAGCTCGGTGTTGGATGAGTTCCCAGGGTCCTGGTGGGATGTGGGGAAATGTTCTTCCAATGCAGTGTGTACATATATGGGGAGTGATATAATTTCATTGGAACAGTGTTTCCCAAAGTGGGCGATATAATAATAATAATAATAATAATAATAATAATAATAATAATAATAATAATATTTATACCCTGCCCATCTGGTTGGGTTTCCCCAGCCACTCTGGGGGGCTTCCAACAAAATATTAAAATGCAATAACCTATTAAACATTAAAAGCTTCCCTAAACAGGGATGCCTTCAGATGTCTTCTAAAAGTCTGGTAGTTGTTTTTCTCTTTGACATCTGGTGGGAGGGCGTTCCACAGGGAGGGCGCCACTACTGAGAAGGCCTCTGCCTGGTTCCCTGTAACTTGGCTTCTCACAGTGAGGGAGGCCCTTGGCGCTGGACCTCAGTGTCTGGACAGAACGGTGGTGGTGGAGATGCTCCTTCAGGCATACTGGACTGAGGCCGTTTAGGGGTTTAAAGGTCAGCACCAACACTTTGACTTGTGCTCGGAAACGTACTGGGAGCCAGTGTAGGTCTTTCAAGACTGGTGTTATGTGGTCTCGGCGGCCGCTCCCAGTCACCAGTCTAGCTGCCGCATTCTGGATTAGTTGTAGTTTCCGGGTCACCTTCAAAGGTAGCCCCACATAGAGCGCATTGCGGTAGTCCAAGCGAAAGATAACTAGAGCATGCACCACTGGCAATACAGTCCACGGGCAGGTAGGGTCTCAGCCTGCGTACCAGATGGAGCTGCCCTGGACACAGAATTGACCTGCGCCTCCATGGACAGCTGTGAGTCCAGAATGACTCCCAGGCTGCGCACCTGGTCCTTCAGGGGCACAGTTACCCCATTCAGGACCAGGGAGCCCGCCCCCTGTCCCCCCACTTGACATTTTTCCGCAGGGCCTGCAAGACAGAGCTGTTCCGCCTGGCCTTTGGTTTGGACTCAGTCTGACCCTTATGTCTTCCCTCCCCTTACGGTTTTGATCTATGGGCTACTTTTAAAATGAGGCAGCATTTTAACCTGTATTTTAAATTGGGGTCCCTCCCCTATTATGTTTCTATTGTAATTTTACTGGTGTTAGCCACCCTGAGCCCAGCTCTGGCCAGGGAAGACGGGGTATAAATAAAAATTATTATTATTATTATTATTATTATTATTATTATGCGGGTAGCGCTGTGGGTTAAACCAGAGAGCCTAGGACTTGCTGATCAGAAGGTCAGCGGTTCAAATCCCCACAACGGGGTGAGCTCCCGTTGCTCGGTCCCTGCTCCTGCCAACCTAGCAGTTCGAAAGCACATCAAAGTGCAAGTAGATAAATAGGTATTTACCTCTGGCGGGAAGGTAAACGGCGTTTCCGTGCGCTGCTCTGGTTTGCCAGAAGCAGCTTAGTCATGCTGGCCACATGACCCGGAAGCTGTACGCTGGCTCCCTCGGCCAATAAAGCGAGATGAGCGCCGCAACCCCAGAGTTGGCCATGACTGGACCTAATGGTCAGGGGTCCCTTTAACCTTTACCTTATTATTATTATTATTTACAACAGCATCTTTCTTTACTACGTTGCAGGACGCAATTAGGAATATAGCTACGTAAAAGAACGCAAATTAGAATAATAGAATCATAGAATCATAGAATCATAGAGTTGGAAGAGACGACAAGGGCCATCGAGTCCAACCCCCTGCCAAGCAGGAAACACCATCAGAGCACTCCTGACATATGGTTGTCAAGCCTCTGCTTAAAGACCTCCAAAGAAGGAGACTCCACCACACTCCTTGGCAGCAAATTCCACTGTCGAACAGCTCTTACTGTCAGGAAGTTCTTCCTAATGTTTAGGTGGAATCTTCTTTCTTGTAGTTTGGATCCATTGCTCCGTGTCCGCTTCTCTGGAGCAGCAGAAAACAACCTTTCTCCCTCCTCTATGTGACATCCTTTAATATTTGAACATGGCTATCATATCACCCCTTAACCTCCTCTTCTCCAGGCTAAACATGCCCAGCTCCCTTAGCCGTTCCTCATAAGGCATCGTTTCCAGGCCTTTGACCATTTTGGTTGCCCTCCTCTGGACACGTTCCAGTTTGTCAGTGTCCTTCTTGAACTGTGGTGCCCAGAACTGGACACAGTACTCCAGGTGAGGTCTGACCAGAGCAGAATAGAGTGGCACTATTACTTCCCTTGATCTAGATGCTATACTCCTATTGATGCAGCCCAGAATTGCATTGGCTTTTTTAGCTGCCGCGTCACACTGTTGGCTCATGTCAAGTTTGTGGTCAACCAAGACTCCTAGATCCTTTTCACATGTACTGCTCTCAAGCCAGGTGTCACCCATCTTGTATTTGTGCCTCTCATTGACTTAGTCACTGCATCTCTTTGTTTGTCCGCTTAAAGAAGGTAGATTTCCAGGGGGGTGCTGGGTAATTTATTTATTTTTTCTGAAAAGGGATCGGTTGGCCAAATAAGTTAGGGAACCTCTGCTTTAGAGGAAGCCGTGAGGACTCTGCTGCAGCCAGAGAGGCTGTGGGGAAGGAGCAGTCAGACGGGGCATGCTTAACACAGGACAGTTAATAAGGAGCGTGTTTCTTAGAACTCTTTACGCAGCCTGGCAGCTATCAATGTCTGCAATGCCCACAAATAAATGTGGGTGGATGGGGGGGAGGAGGTGTGGCAGTCTGGGCCCAAACATGCAAGGGGGAGTTTGCCTGTGGGTGGGTGGGTGAGTGAGTCATGGGCTTGTGGGGTGAGTGGGCAAAAGCTGATATTTTGTGACCATAATGTACTAGTAGGTGAAGGTGTCTGGTGTTTGGGGAGGGGGCTTGAGTGGGTGTAGGTGGTGCTGGAAATGTGTGCATTGAATGGTTTGGGGCTAGTGTCTAGGGCTATGGGGGATGAGAGTGTTCACAGGGTCATGAGACTTAGCTATGAGTAGGATCTCGACTTGCCAGCTGTCTTGGGACTCAGTGCCTAGTCATTTTCTGACCCTCGCCAATGGTCCTTGCCACATCTTTCTTATTTCATGTTTAGCTTCTCGTTTTCTTTATTTTTAGCATCTCTGGCCTTTTATTTTTAGTGCCAGTTTATTTATGCCACCTCCCCTTTTCCGAAAAATCACAAAACTCACCGTGAAGTTTTAAATGGCCTTTGCATTTTCAAATAGGTGTGTGTTTGAGCCAGTGTGGTGTAGTGGTTAAGAGCGGTGGACTCGTAATCTGGTGAACTGGGTTCGATTCCCCGCTCCTCCACATGCAGCTGCTGGGTGACTTTGGGCTAGTCACACTTCTCTGAAGTGTCTCAGCCCCACTCACCTCACAGAGTGTTTGTTGTGGGGGAGGAAGGGAAAGGAGATTGTGAGCCGCTTTGAGACTCCTTCAGGTAGTGATAAAGCGGGATATCAAATCCAAACTCTTCTTCTCTTCTTTGTAATCGAGCCCTGGAGTCATTCTCTTTCAAAGCGCATGATCTCAATGTATCCCAAAAAAAAAGTTCACACTTGTTTGCCTCTATGCCTTGCTTCATTATGTAACCTGGTCTGCTCACTCCTGTACCTTTAACAGCTATATCATCTGTTGAAATCAGCTAGGGAAGAAGTCGTTCACCGTGCACAAACAGCACAAACAGCAGCTACAGATTTCCTCCTCTCAAGGCTGCTTTGAAATGCACACAGGAGCTAGAGAAAATATTAACAGCCCCAGAGCCAAAATGCAATTTTTATAGGGGGAAATGACAGAACAAATAATAAAACATTCTCTCAGATCTCTTGGATGTCTGAATTTTACATTTTTTCCTTCTACCTGTTGCCAGAGTGTTTTCTGAAAAAGACTAATGGTGTGGTGTGTGTGTGTGTGAGAGAGAGAGAGCGCCTTGGCCACAGCAGACAGAAGTTTTTACTAGAGTAATGAGAGTGACCTTGTGTTGCATCTCGCTTGCTCGTGGTTGACCTCCTTAGACGCTGGAGTGGTTGGGCCATTGACAAACACAGAGTACGTACAGCCAAGAAACAGAAGCTCCCCCTCTTCTGTGAGCAATAGGCAATATAAATACTTCTCTCCTGCAGAGTATCTCTTGACAGATGAGATGACCCTGTCCCTCCTGAGAACCCAGCGTAGCACAGTGGCTGTGACTCTGAGCCAGACAATTCGCTGTTCAAATGTCACCTCCCTATGGCCAGCCCTACTGTTAATGCTGGCAACCAGCAAATTGCACAAAATATTCACTGAGTGATAGTTGCCGGAAATGGAGAGGTTGTTGTTTTCGAAGGTTACCTTATTTTTCGCTCTATTGGACAGTTTTCCCCCTCCAAAAATTGAGGGGAAATGTGTGTACGTCCTATGGAGTGAATGCAGGCTTGTTCCATAGCCGCGCGCAACCCCTCCAGCAGGGAGAGGTTGCGTGGGGCTAAAGAGGAAGCCAAAGCAGCGAGCGGGATCCATCCCGCTGGCTGCCTTGGCTTGTGCCATAGCCGCGCGCAACCCCTCCGGCAGGGAGAGGTTGTGTGCAGCCTGTACGCTGCTCTTTGGGGCTGGGGGGGGGGAGGTTTTTTTAATTGATTTCCCCGTCTAAAAACTAGGTGCGCCCTATGGTCCGGTGCGCCCTATGGTGCGAAAAATACGGTAATTCATAACAGTAAGACTGGTTTGTGAAGGTCATCGGTCGTTCTTTGAGAGCATGCTTTGCCTGCACATCCATGGCGATTCCTTACAGTGCCCACATGCTCAGAATCTGGTCCTCTGCTACTTTCTGCTGATGGCCAACTGCTTCACTTGCCCATAGGTTGGGCTGGCTCTTTCTTGTTCCAGGGTAGAATTTTCTGGTGGAGGTGGCAGTACAGGAACTGCTGTAGTGTTGAAAAAGATGATGTTGCAGTTTAGTGGTTAAGAAGTGTGAGCTGAGGCTCCGGAAACACCTGGTTCAAGTCTCACCTTTGGGAGGAAGCACCTTTTAAAGGCAGGTGAAAGTGCAACTATCACCCCTGAGGAAGACATTGTGTGGAAACACAATGGGCGGTTTGGGGCAGGCTTCCGTTCCTCTTTACTTCACAGCTCACTGAGGGGGCCTTAAACCAGCCACATGCCTTGTCCACGCACACAGATATCCCTGTTTGCACCATGGCAGTGATAAGACTGGTCTATGTTACTGGTTCTTGTACAGATTACTGAGATCATGCACATATAGTGCTTCAGCAAAAGTTCTGCATGAACACAAGGTATTGTTATCATAGTACCTTTAAGGGGTGTGTGTGGGACACAGAAGTGTTTACCATGCTCTCTTTCATTCTTGCAGTAGGAAGTAGAATTTAAAAATAGCCCAAGAGAAACCTTCTTCCTCTTTTTCTCAGCTGCAAATTAGAGAAAGGCAAAAGAAAGAGTAATAATCGTAAGGATGTGATGAGTAGCAATCATAGATTTGTGGTGTTGTTGTTGTTGTTTAGTTGTTTAGTCATGTCCGACTCTTTGTGACCCCATGGACCAGAGCACACCAGGCACTCCTGTCTTCCACTGCCTCCCGCAGTTTGGTCAAACTCATGTTAGTAGCTTCGAGAACAGTGTCCAACTATCTCGTCCTCTGTCGTCCCCTTCTCCTTGTGCCCTCCATCTTTTCCAACATCAGGGTCTTTTCCAGAGAGTCTTCTCTTCCCATGAGGTGGCCAAAGTATTGGAGCCTCAGCTTCAGGATCTGTCCTTCCAGTGAGCACTCAGGGCTGATTTCCTTCAGAATGGAGAGGTTTGATCTTCTTGCAGGCCATCTTCGGCAGCACATATACTAAAATTGGAACGGCAAGAGTCTCCTCCAGCACCATAATTCAAAAGCATCAATTTTTCGGCGATCAGCCTTCTTTATGGTCCAGCTCTCACTTCCATACATCACTACTGGGAAAACCATAGCTTTAACTATACAGACCTTTGTCGGCAAGGTGATGTCTCTGCTTTTTAAGATGCTGTCTAGGTTTGTCATAGCTTTTCTCCCAAGAAGCAGGCGTCTTTTAATTTCGTGACTGCTGTCACCATCTGCAGTGATCATGGAGCCCAAAAAAGTAAAATCTCTCACTGCCTCCATTTCTTCCCCTTCTATTTGCCAGGAGGTGATGGGCCCAGTGGCCATAGTCTTAGTTTTTTTGATGTTGAGCTTCAGACCATATTTTGCGCTCTCCTCTTTCACCCTCATTAAAAGGTTCTTTAATTCCTCCTCACTTTCTGCCATCAAGGTTGTGTCATCTGCATATCTGAGGTTGTTGATATTTCTTCCGGCAATCTTGATTCCAGCTTGGGATCATCTAGCCCAGCCTTTTGCATGGTGAATTCTGCATATAAGTTAAATACAGCCTTGCATAGAGGACTGTAAAATCGACGTGAAAATAGGTGATGTGAACTTATTAGAATTAAGATCTGCGGATGATAGGCTAGAATGTATGGACTGCAATGTGAAACAGGACGAGCCAGCTCACCCAGACCCCTGGACCTCAGCAGGTGCCACTGTGATGCAATTGTCCTACAGCCCTGTCCTCACTTCTGGACTGTCTTTGTTTCCCCAGTATCTGAAGAGGAGCTGATGGCCATTGAAGAGTACAACCTCAACGTGGTGAGGCTCTGCTTCCAAGCTTTCCTCCCTGATGAACACGGCAACTGCACGCTACCCCTTGCCCCAGTCATCTCCAACCCGATTTATGACAACCGTAAGTATCTGCGAATCAGATTGCGATTCATCTCTCTGTCTCTCTTTTTGCTGCTGGGCTCCCTGCCTGATTGTTGGGATACTGCCGGGGAGACGGGGGCATCAGGCAGGGAAGAGGCAGACAGAGAAATGTGTAAGCATAACGTACAGCATTTTATTCAGCATAGTTCAGGAACAAGAAAACATGTCTGCTTCCCTTCGTCTCCAGCAAAACAGCAGCAGCACAAAAGCTATATACAAACGGAAGTTCCCAGCAGACTGTGCTGGAAGTAAACAGGCATGTGACACAATACAATCATGCCCGTACCCTTTTAAGGTGGAATGGAACTATATCGTAACACTGATGACCCCTTGGCCCAAGCCATTCTCTCTGGGTTAGGGCTGATCCACACATACATTGCTCAATATCTCTCGTGATTGGGTCACACACTCAGCCATTTCCTCATTCCCCATCTCCTCCAGAAGCCCACTTACCACAATATCCTGTAATTATCCAGCACAGCCCTAATGGAGAGGGAGGTTGAAAATGAAGGAACACAACCGGGAGGGGGCTGGTGCACTAGGGTGAATGAGGCCCCCTCTCACCAACCTCAGCATGTCTTTGGCTACTCTCCACTTGTCTGCCTTTTTTCTTTCAACCAGTCCAGGGATACCACCACATTTGCTTAATGTGTCATGTACCAGACAAAAATCAATATTTGCAGATCTTGGTTAAAAATGGAATACGCTTATACGTGACCAAGACATGTTCAAACAATAGACTAGTGACAGGAAGTACCGTATTTTTCGCTCTATAAGACGCACCTAGTTTTTGGAGGAGGAAAACAAGAAGAAAAAAATTCTGAATCTCAGAAGCCAGAACAACAAGAGGGATCGCTGCACAGCGAAAGCAGCAATCCCTCTTGCTGTTCTGGCTTCTGGGACAGCTGCGCAGCCTGCATTCGCTCCATAAGACGCACACACATTTCCCCTTACTTTTTAGGAGGGAAAAAATGAGTCTTATAGAGCAAAAAATACGGTACTAGGTAAATTTCAGCTGAATAGGTTGATATAGCCAGTTCTGACAAACGCCGTGGTCTAATGTTGTCAGTGCCATTTTGATAGACTGAAAGAGTGTGAAGATACCCTCTTCTCCCTCAGTATCTGAGGATGAAATCACAAGACTCCTTCGGGTAGTGATAAAGCGGGATATCAAATCCAAACTCTTCTTCTTCTTCAATGTTTGGCAATAGACCTTTCTGCTATGAGTGGATTGGAGATCATCTATCATTTTACACACACACACACACACACACACACACACACAATACTATACTTTTTATTCAATTTTAACATTATCACAGTCTTAACAGTGTAGAACATTTATACAGTCGTACCTCGGAAGTCAAACGGAATCTGTCCTGGAAGTCCATTTGACTTCCAAAAAGTTCAGAACCAAGGTGCGGCTTCCGATTGGCTGCCAGAAGCTCCTGCAGCCAACTGGAAGCCGCGGAAGCTGCGACAGATGTTCAGGTTCTGCGGAAGCCTCCACGGATGTTCAGTTTCGCAAACCGGTATGCTCATTTCCGGCATTACAGCGTTCAGGAGCCAAAGCGTTCAACTGGCAAGGCGTTTGTCAACCAAGGTACGACTGTACACTCTTGAATCTATGGAATACAAAAACCAGTAATAAACATTTCTGAGACATCTTAATATTATAACTATTAAGAATCAGGTGTTGACTAAAGAAGCAAAGAGATTGCATGAGATGAAATCTATAAATAGAACATAATACAGTATTTATTAAGTGCATTCATCAGCATTATTTGAGTGGCAGTTGTCTAGTAATAGAAAATTAGATATTCCAGTGAGTCTGGAGCAGGATCTGTCATTGTTTTTCATTCTTCTTTTGTCTTCTTTAGAATATCTAATTTAGGTCTGAAATTTCCACCCTTTAGATGTCCATGCATGTGTCACTTGACCTTTAAGATACTTCTGAGGAAACATCTGCAGGGCCATGTTAGATCACTGGGGCTTCTTCCTGGTTACAAATATGTAGAGTAAGGAACTGCAGACTGTTAAGCTGAGTGGTGGTTTAGTCAGTGATGGCAGCTGTCCAGCAGAATGGGTGGGGCAGATGACTGAGCAGTTCACAGTAGGTGCACCCAGAGTAGCTGGTCAACCCACAAGGTAGGTGTCATGGTTGCCATCTATAGGATTAACACAAAAAGTGCACGCCTTATTGAAGCAGTTGGTTTCCATCCATATTTTCTTGGAATTTGCTGCAAATATGTCTTTGATTTTGAGGGTGGGATTCAGTTCCATACTTTCAGTCCTGTTATGTAATTGAAGTAAGTTTGGCACTTTTGTGCAACAAACTACTACTACTACTAGTAGTAATAGTAATAATAATAATAATAATAATTTATTATTTCTACCCCACCCAGCTGGCTGGGTTTCCCCAGCCACTCTGGGTGGCTTCCAACAGAACCCTAAAATACAATAATAATAATAATGATAATAATACAATAATAATAAAAAAATACAATAATAATAATAATAATAATAAACTTTTTTGTAGCAAGGAAGATAGGAAAGCACACTGAAAAGTATGGGATGACAATTGCTTCACATAACATCATCTAACTTCCCTACACATCAGTCAGAAAGATTGCTCTGTAAATAGCAAATGTTGTTTAACCTTGGTACAAATATTATTCAAGCAAATCGGGTTGGATGCTCAATAAACAGGTGATCTGGAGGTGACCTGTGACTTTACATGGCTAACAGGGACATTTGGTGAATATGCATTTGGCGTGTTTGCAAACTGCCCTGGAGCTCTATTGCTCCAGAGGAGTGTTAAGTTTTTCCTCCCAATTGTATTTCAGCACAGTACTACGGCAGAGTTTTGTGGCAGATAGTTGCTCACCGAACAACACGCTTGCCTGCAGAGCTTCCTTTCCCACCTCTCTATTTTTAAGCACGAGTTACCGTAAACATCCTCACCGACTCTCCTTCTCTCCTCTAACGATTGTTTCCTTTTTTCTGCTTAGGGGCTCCCAATTCAGCAGAACTGAGAATCTGTCGTGTGAACAAAAATTGCGGAAGTGTGAAAGGAGGGGACGAAATCTTCCTACTGTGCGACAAAGTTCAGAAAGGTAACTGGCTTCCTCCAGACTTCCTCCTGTGTCTGCAGAGAAAGGGAAATGTGCAAGAGTCTTATGGTCCGTAAACTGGGTCTTCTGGAGTCAGGCAGGCTAGGATCCAGAGTCAGGCATGAAACAACAGGCAAACCGCTGGAAATGGTTGTTGGGCAGCCTCAGTGTGATCTCCTGATCAGCATCTGACCTGAGATCCTCTTCTGGAGGCTCAGAAGAAGAAGAAATTTGGCAAGAGCTGAAGTTGTTTTCTTGTTTGGAATCACCTGATCTTCAGGGCAGCTTCCAACATGACAACTTCCCTTTGCAGATCAGCAATAACAGTGTTAGGGTTCGGTGTACAAGGTCAGCAGGTGATTCAGGGCTGGCAAAAGAATGTCTTTTCCACACACCGTGCGTCATTAATTTATTAAATTTGCTGGTTGGCTGCTGTCTTAGATGCCGTTCAAAGAGGAATAGACAAATTCATGGAGGGGAGAGTGAATCATGATTTGGCCATGATTTCATTTCACTTTTAATTAGTATACCGCCTTTCTATATTGCTATGCAGAAGGCGATGGACAAGCTGAAGAAACAACAAAATAGACAACAAAGGCCACACACATAATAGCAATCTGATCCAGTACAGATAAGGCACAATAACTTTAAAATAAACAACATATCAAATAAAGCAATATTCGGCGATCCATTAGATTATAATAGTAATCAGTAAAATTAAATATCAGCAAATAATAATTAAGCAGCTTACACTTATCAGTTACAATGAAGAATTACTAAACTACAGTCATACCTCGGGTTACAGACACTTCAGGTTGCGTTTTTTCAGGTTACAGACTGCCGAAACCCGGAAGTACTGGAACGGGTTACGTCTGGGTTTCGGCGGTCGCACATGCACAGAAGCGCTAAATCGCAACCCGCGCGTGTGCAGACGCGCCACTGCAGGTTGCGAACGTTGCAGGTTGCGAACATGCATCCCGCACGGATCACGTTCGCAACCCGAGCGTCCACTGTATAATCAATAAAAAATAATGGCACAGCACAATGCGTGAAATACCAGAAAACAAACCAAACCATGTAAAAGGATCAAAGTGAGAAACAAGGACACACAACCTATAAAATCATTTTTTTTAAATATCCCTGAACTCCTCTTCTCTCTTTCCAGCTGCTTCTGCTGTTCACAGAGAGTGTGGTGTAGTGGTTAAGAGCGGTGGACTCGTAATCTGGTGAACCGGGTTCGCGTCTCCGCTCCTCCACATGCAGCTGCTGGGTGACCTTGGGCCAGTCACACTTCTCTGAAGTCTCTCAGCTCCACTCACCTCACAAAGTGTTTGTTGTGGGGGAGGAAGGGAAAGGAGAATGTTAGCCGCTTTGAGACTTGTTAAGGGGAGTGATAAAGCGGGATATCAAATCCAAAATCTTCTCTTCTTCTTCAGAGTCATGGCCTGGGAAAGGCTTCTAGGGCTGGAAGGTGGGGCAAGGCAGGTGGGAAAAGCCATTGCCTGGTGGCCACAAGTTGATGGCTAAGTGGAACCTTGATAATAATCATAATTAATAATAATTTCTATTTATACCCCACCCTCCCCAGCCAAGGCCGGGCTCAGGGCGGCTAACAAGCAATAATAAAAAGAAATTGAATGAATACAACTTTAAAACAAGATTAAAATATTGAAACATTAAAATATTAAAATACAGCCTCATCACAGGAGGAGAAGGAAAAAGAAAGAGGGGGAGGGAATCAAACTGGCTCCAAGCCAAAGGCCAGGTGGAACAACTCTATCTTACAGGCCCTGTGGAAAGAAATCAGATCCCGCAGGGCCCTGGTCTCATGAGACAGAGCGTTCCACCAAGCCGGAGCCAGTGTTGAAAAGGCCCTGGCTCTGGTTGAAGCTAATCTAACTCCCTTAGGGCCTGGGACCACTAGGGTGTTGCTATTTATGGACCTTAAGGTCCTCCGTGGGGCATATCAGGAGAGGTGGTCCCGTAGGTACGAGGGTCCTAGGCCAAGGGTGATAGGCAGTACCCCAGATACAAGGGCCATTGCCTTCGCTCCTTCCTTGTGGTTGGCATCCTAGAGGCATCTGGTTGGCCACTGTGTGAAGAAGGATGCTGAGCTTAATGGACCTTCTGACCTGAGCCTGCAAAAGGCGCCTCTCCTTTGCTCACCTAATCATTCAAAACTGATAATAGTGTGATGCCACGGATTGAGTTTGGGATTAGGCATGGGGGAGGGTCCTTACTCCTTCACAGCGCTCGCTGGACAGCCTCGAGCAAAGCCAATTTAGCGTGACCTAAGTTAACCTCATAGGGTTGCCGTAAGATAAACGGCAAGAGCAGAAAGCAGAACTTGGGCGGCGATGCTAAGAAGTGCTTGACTCTCTTCCTCTTCTTTTTCTTCTTCAAATCGTTGCGCTAACTCCAACGCTTTGTTGTTTTTCTGGCAACCAGATGACATCGAAGTCCGATTCGTCATGAACGAATGGGAAGCCAAGGGGATTTTCTCGCAAGCCGACGTGCATCGGCAAGTGGCCATTGTCTTTAGGACACCTCCCTTTTACAAAGACATCGGCGAGCCCGTGACTGTGAAGATGCAGTTGCGCAGGCCTTCGGATCAAGAGGTCAGCGACCCCATGGACTTCAGATACCTGCCGGAGGAGAAAGGTACTGCACTGGCTGGAGGAAGCAAGCCCCCTTGGGGTTAATAGCAGAGCTTTCTGAACTTTTCATGCTGGTGAACACACTTTTTAGACATGAATCATTTCGTGGCACAGTAATTCAGTTTTACTAGCAAACCAGAGGTTAAACAAACGCCTTTCCATTCGCTTGAGCGTTCACACTGACACACTGCAGCCAACACACTAATGTTTCACATCACTCAGTTTGGAAAGCTCTGTGTTAATGAAATACACGGTGGGAGGCAAGTTTTCCTCCCCATGTCATCGTTCTCACCATCCTATACTTCATGGGGGGCAACTGGCCAAGGAGCCTTCTGTATTCACGATTGTATCAGCATGTGTCGGAACCCTGATTTCCCAGGATTTTAAGACATGCAGGGACCCAAAGCTCTCCGATTCAGTCACCCTCCATGAGTTGTAGAACAACGAGAAGGTTGATGGGGTAGTGGAAGTAGCAAGCCATTATGTATGTCCTCACCTGACCTTCATGTACTTAGACAGTGTTAAATGTGTAATTCTGAAGAGGACTCATTTCGCACACATTGGATAACTAATGCAGGGTTTTCTAGTGCTGCTGAATCAAATCTCGGAAGAAGTTGCACAGGAACCAGATTGGTCACTGATCTTACAAGAACCTATTTTCACAACCACTTCCTCTTCCGTTTCCACTACAGTGTTGCTGCCGCCAGTGAGATATTTTTAAGACTGAAGTCAAAGACTGCTTAACTTTTAATGCTGGGCAGCTTCCTCTTCTGCCCTAATAAAAAGTTACTCTCTCAAAGGAGGAGGAGGAGGAGCCACAACCTTTAAAACTCAACACATGAAAGTCCTTTCAGAACAGAGCCTTATATTTAGTCTTGCAGGAATGTTCTGACCCCTGCCCTCCCTATTTAAGTGTAAATAGGAAGGAGTGGTAGAACACTTGCTTGGCATGCAGAAGGTCCCAGGTTCAATCCTTAACATCTCCAGCTTATATATGGGGGGGGGGGTCAAGCAGCAAATGATGGGAAAGAGATAGGCCTGGGACTCTGCTGGTCCAGTTAGTGGCCTGGAAGACCAAATAGCCCAATTCTCCCATATAAGACAATTTCCTATATTCCACTAAAAATCTGAACAGAACTCAAAACTGGGCCTCTCTTCCTCTGGAAACATCGCTAACTGCAATCCCATTTTCTCCTCCACTTTTAGATCCTTACGGTCATAAGGCAAAAAAACAGAGATCACCGATTGCTTTGCAGAAGCTAATGCAAGACTGTGGTAAGGATACTCCCCCCCCCCTCCAGGGATGTGGGTGGCGCTGTGGTCTAAACCATGGAGCCTCTTGGGCTTGCCGATCAGAAGGTTGGCAGTTCAAATCCTGGAATGGGGTGAGCTCCCGTTGCTCTGTCCCAGCTCCTGCCAACCTAGCAGTTCGAAAGCAGGCCAGTGCAAGTAGACAAATAGGTACCGCTGTGGCGGGAAGGTAAACGGCGTTTCTGTGCGCTCTGGCTCCTGTCACAGTGTCCCGTTGCACCAGAAGCGGTTTAGTCCTGCTGGCTACGTGACCTGGAAAACTGTCTGTGGACAAACGCCGGCTCCCTTGGCCTGAAACCAGAGATGAGTGCTGCACCCTATAGTCAAATTTGACTGGACTTAACTATCCAGGGGTCCTTTTTACATTTTCCTTTTACTCCCCGCTCCAATTCCCCTTGTTTTGATGTTCTGTAGTAACAGCCAAAATATTTTTTTAAGCTTCCATCACAAGATGCTTATCGTTTTGATGGATGGGCTGTGTTGGGAGGGGGGCCCTGTGCAACTCAAATACCTCTGTGGCATCGCATCCTACCCCCCCCCCATTAGGGTCCCTACCAGTGAGAGTCAGGCTGCATGGACAATACCACGGGCAAAGGGGGTCAGGTTTTGCCTTCAGCGCAAACAAGTGCCTCTAGGTCGTATTTTTCCTACAGAGGAATAAATACCATGCACTCACTTCTGTAGGGGGATGCAGAAAGGTTCCAGACTCCACTGGGCAGCGCCTGAAGGTTCTTTCAAATGTCCCTGATGATCCCAGTCATCAACAATTATTATTATTATTATTATTATTATTATTATTATTATTATTATTTACTTTTGCTACTTGCTTTCTGCAGAAGAAAAGTCTCAAAACGACTAAACGAAATGAAATACAAACAGATACATGTTTGGCTTATACTTTATTTTAACCAAGAATGTTCAGCGGAGAGTTCCTAAAATGATTGTCCAAAACACAATGGATGGATTAGGAACGCTCCCCCACTCTGCTAAAAGATTAGCACCACAATGGAGCCTAACTTACCGTATTTTTTGCACCATAACACTCACTTTTTTCCTCCTAGAAAGTAAGGGGAAATGTCTGTGCGTGTTATGGAGGGAATGCCTACGGGTGGCATGCCTACGGATTTTCCTCCTCTAAAACCTACGTAAGTGTTATGGTCGGGTGCGTGTTATAGAGCGAAAAATACGGTAATTACCAAAGGCCTGGGTAAATAGAATACCTTGGCCTGGTGTCGGCACAGGTGCTACCAGGTGTGCTTCCTTAGGGAGATCATTCCAGAAATAGGGACCCACCACTGAAAAGGCCTGTTATTGTGCAGCCAACCTCCATAACTCCTTCAGTATGAGGCACACAGAGAAGGGCCTCTCATGAAGTTTAATTTTGCCCTCAAGACCCCCTTCTTAACTGTCTTCCACCTTGCATCTGTTTGGCAGCAGTCACCACCTAAGAGGGCTGATATATGATTATTATTTTTTAGAAGAAAATGCACAGCCTAACCACCTTTTCCCCCTGGCAGGTCCATACGAGAGGCCTAAACCTTCTGTGTTCCAGAATACTGCTGGTGAGGCAAAGATAATTAAGAAAGGTTGGTTACCCCATGTTCTTCCTTTGTCTTTCTTCCTTCCCATATCTGCTTTCATTTATTTAATTTGTTTGCTAAATTTGCATGCCGCCCTTCACCCGTAGATCTCTCGGTGCCTCACAACATAATCTCTACCATGACCATGAACATTGTGTGGGGATGTAGTAGATCGCAATGGGGGCATCTGCCACACTATGCCTCTCCCAGTGAGGAGGTCCTGTACACTGTACAGCATTAATTTCCCCCTTTCTCTTCCCATATATGGGCAGTGACATCATCTTGAGGCAGGCAGCGAGAATGCACTGAGATTCCATTATGGATTAAGTTCCACAGCTGAGTTCAGGGGAATCCTGGGAGCATTCACTGGAATAATGGGACAACCCAAGTTACTTATGAACTGACATGCCTAAGGGGGCACCGGCTCTCCTGAGCAAAGGTTGGGGGTTCACAGGACGCTGCAGGTGGGCAAGGAGAGAAAAGAGAAGTTGAGTTGAGGAGTGGAAGTCCGTTCCACATACCAACAAACACTATTGAATTCAAGAATCGCTGCCTCTCCTGGTATGCCCCACGGAGGACGTTAAGGTCCACAAATGACAACATTTTGGAGGTCCCAGGTCGCAAGGTGGTTAGATTGGTCTCAACTAGGGTCAGGGCCTTTTCAGTACTGGCCCCGACTTGGTGGGACGCTCTGTCACAAGAGACTAGGGCCTTGCGGGACTTGACATCTTTCTGCAGGGCCTGCAAGACAGAGCTGTTCCGCCTGGCCTTTGGTTTGGACTCAGTCTGACCCTTTTGTTTCCCTCCCCTTATAGTTTTGATCTATGGGCTACTTTTAAAATGAGGCTGCATTTTAAATTGCATTTTCACCTGTATTTTAAATTGGGTTTTTTTCCTATTATGTTTTTACTGTAATTGTACTGGTGTTAGCCGCCCTGAGCCTGGCTCTGGCCAGGAAGGGTGGGGTATAAATAACTATTATTATTATTATTATTATTATTAATTTTATTTATATCCCGCCGTCCCCAGCCGAAGCTGGGCTCAGAGTGGCTAACAACAGTAAAATGATAAAACATTCTAAAATCATTTCATTATAAAATTAATTCCAATCAAATTAATGGCAACCATTGGGCTAGAAGTTCTGTGAGGATTGCCAAAGGAGGGAGTCAGGCTGCGCCCTGACCAAAGGCCTGGTGGAACAGCTCTGTCTTGCAGGCCCTGCGGAAAGATGTCAAGTCCCGCAGGGCCCTAGTCTCTTGTAACAGAGCGTTCCACCAGATTGGAGCTACAGCTGAAAAACCCCTGGCTTTTTTATATTATCATCATCATCATCATCATCATCTATGGTTATACATGACTTGCACTATCTCACCTGTGTTGATTCTTTCTCACAGAACTGAATATGTATCACTCTCCAGGGGATGTCCTCCTCCCGCCTCAGAGAACACCTGCACAGACCTTTCCAATCCAGTCCTACTATTCCCCTCCGATGAGCAACCACAGTTCCAATGGATGCGCTGACCCATCTCTGCAGATGGCAGGGCCCGTTAAGCAGGACGGAGCTCCTCTGCCATGCTGGCGTTCCTCCGGTTCATCTCTCAGCTCTTTCCTGCAGCAAGGCAACTTTTCAGGAGAAGCGCCACACACCAGCGCGCAGAACGGCGGCTCTCCGTCGCTGGGACAGGAAGGCAGCCTGCACTGGGCCAACGAAAAGGATGGGAACCTCTACAGAGCGCTCTTTGGAGCCACGAATGGCCAAACATCATCAGCATCATCCATGTATCAGCAAGACATGTTGAGTGTCTCCAGCGCTTCCGGCAACCAGCCTCTTCGCCCTGTAAATGTTGCAACGCCCAATGGCAATGGCATGGAGATGGATGACGCCCGGTGCTCAAGCGTAATGTTGGAGAAGGCATCCTTCACCCAAGTTTTGAATCCGAGCGATCACAGGAGGCAAGTCCAGCCAGCGTCGCATCCTGGCATGTCAGTAGCAGTTTCAGGTAGCGCATCTTCAAGTACCATCTCCAGCACCTTTGAGACGATGCCCTTCGCTTACCTGGATAGCCTCAATGAATCAAGACCGCCCAGCAACCTTGCTGTGCAGAATCCGATGAATTTATCCAATAACCAGTACTTTCCATACAGCACCCAAGACGAAGAGTTCCTTAGCTCTTTTGGGGGCAATTTTGATGCCATTATTTAAAGCTCTGAATAGCGATCAGATCAAGTTGTTGCTCCGGTAGACAGGCAATGGTTTCTTTCAACAGGGTAATTAGATTTTACATGACTTTTGCGGGAAAGTAATCTTCCTTTTCAATGCACTAGTATATGCTGGAATTTAAACAATGCCATTTTAGGATTAGTGATGGAGGGGCAATCAGGTGAGGTTTGATAGTTTTGTTTTGTTGTTTTTACTTTGCTTTGTACAAAGCACTCTGTGGTTATATTCTTGTGCTGCTGAAAAAAGTTGATTGAGAGGGTTTATTTAATTTTTTTAAATTATATTTTGGTGCATTTGTTGTAGCCAGACTCTTGGTTAAACCATGTTCAGCTGAACCAATGAGTTCTGCAACTCCCAACCCCTTATTTTTGTATTCTGGCCTTGACGGGTCTTATCTAGGGGTGCTGTACAGGGTACAGTCACATTGTTGGTTGACTGGGCACTGATGTATTAAGTTTTCCAGCAATTCTTTTAAAATGTTAAAAAAAGAAAAAAGCTTTAATGCAACATTGACTATGCCAGTGTTGGTAGCTTCGCAAGTGGAGATGAAACTGCACTATTTTTGATTCATTTCTTCAGAGAATAGTTGAGTAGAGAGCCTTTGCCCAATGCCTCCCATAGCCAGTGCCCAGCCTGTAGCCTGGGTCTTCTACCCTTGTCCTCCCACGATGTTGTCTTTTGGAGGGGCAGCGCTTGCCACATCATGGCCCCTTCTCTGCCTTCAGATTGCAATTGCGCAGGGCCTAGCTCAGTGGAAGATCACCTGCCAAGTTCAGCTCTAGGCGTCTCCAGATAGGGCTGGGGAACACTCCCAGGCTGAAACCAGAACTAGTGTGCAGGCCATGAGAAGCAAGATGGACCATTGGTCTGAGTTACTATAAAGCAGCTTCATGTGATCTTATGGCTCCCAATTCAGCTCTAGTTGCACACAACTATAGACACCCAAAAGGAATGAACCACACCCCCAGCAAAGATGCATCTAAAACAATCTGCGTGCAGATGCGAGTTTCCACCTGTCTCAGCTTGGTTTGAAGAGGCCTTCTGTGCTCAGATCTCCATTGCAGAATTTGGGCGGCACCCTTTGGCCTACACACAAACCGCTGAACGATGTTCCTGTGTACTGGCATTTGAGAGAAAAACAGCCAAGCTCTGCCTTGCCTCTCTTTCGTGGGATTGGAAATGCAATGCTTTCATTTGTTAAGAAGGAACATTTGACGTTCCTTTCCCCCTCTCTTTTTAATGCAACTTGGACCTGTGTGTTTTCTGAAAAAAGAGGGGCGTGCGTTTCGTTTTGTGGAAAAACTAGCGCTCTGGAGCGATGCAGAGTTCTTTTTCGGACGAGAAGCATGCCGCGTGGAAATCTTGTTTCCACAACCCTTTCAAATGTTACTGCTGAAATCAACGTCTTCTTGACTTGCTGCCCATATGGTCTCTTCATTCAAAAGCCATTGTGTTGGCAAAGGTACTTTGACTAAGCTCTTCAAGGTGTGGATTCATCTCTGGCCCAAAAGAAACTTAGGGCTGTTAGATGTGCTACCTATGTCAATCTGCCATATAGCTGGAATCTCATCAACTGCAGCAGGGGCCAGAGGCAAATTAGGACATACATGGAAGCAACGCAGGAAAGATGGGACTCTTCCTTCCCTTTCACTGAGGCCACCTCTGCACCTGAACAAATTTGATCTTGGACCTGTGCACCCATACTTGTGATAGAACACATCTATTTTTTTAATAAGATGGTCAAGTGTCCCATATGACACAGCCTTCAGTTCCAAAGTTCTTGTGGGATGGGGAGAAACATATTCTGAGCAGTAGCAAAGGGGAGGAGTGAGGTCAGTTGGGCTGGGCGATATATCGATCGGTATATCATCCCAAACCAGTTTGAAGTCCATATTGTGATACAGTGGTGCCTCGCAAGACGAAATTAATCCGTTCCGCGGGTCTCTTCGTCTTGCGGTTTTTTCGTCTTGCGAAGCACGGCTATTAGCGGCTTAGCGGATTAGCGGCTATTAACGGCTTAGCGGCTTAGCGGCTATTAACGGCTTAGCGGCTTTAAGAAAAAGGAAACAAACTTGCAAGAACTCGCAAGACGTTTCGTCTTGCGAAGCAAGCCCATAGGGAAATTTGTCTTGCAGAACGACTCAAAAAACGGAAAACTCTTTCGTCTAGTGAGTTTTTCGTCTTGCGAGGCATTCGTCTTGCGGGGCACCACTGTATTGGTTTCATAATTTTTGACCTGGCAATATATTGCAAATTGTGTGTGTGTGCGCGCACGCGAGCTATGCAAAAATCATGATACAGTGGTACCTCGGGTTACAGACGCTTCAGGTTACAGACTCCGCTAACCCAGAAATAGTACCTCAGTTTAAGAACTTTGCTTCAGGATGAGAACAGAAATCGTTCTCTGGTGGTGCGGCGGCAGCGGGAGGCCTCATAAGCTAAAGTGGTACCTCAGGTTAAAAACAGTTTCAGGTTAAGAATGGATCTACAGAACAAATTAAGTTCTTAACCTGAGGTACCACTGTATGGGAAAAACCGTTAAGCCAGCCAATGGCCTCCATCCTTATTTCAGACATGGTGATATATTGGTATATCACAATGTTTAGCTGGTGATATAATGCGATGTTGAAAACCAGATATCGCCCAGCTCTACTGTTCGCCTCTGCATACTTCCAGCCTTATTTCAGACATAGTGCTATATCGATATATCACAATGTTTAGCTGGTGATTTATCGTGATGTTGAAAATAAGGTATTTCCGAGTCCTGGAGGTCAGCATTGTGCAAATGCGGCAGCGGGAGCACTGAATTGGCTCGATGGCAGGTTTGCACTGTACTGACCTCACAATGCCTTGCCACTCCCCCTCTCTATCACGATACGTAGCCCAACTGTGCCAGAGGGCAGCCAGGTAAGCGGCGCAGCCCCAGCATGCCATTTACCATGGGTTGTGGATAGCTGCCAAGCTAGACTGTGTATTGAAACCCCAGCAACCCATCTGCAGTACAGATACGCTACTTGTGCTACGGGTACTTCTGCCTTATGGGTCCAGCCGCTTTATCCCATACGCACTGGTGTTTCTTCCATCGTCAGTCACCGGATAAGCAGGTTTTACAAAAGCAAGGACTCCCATTTGATAAGAATTGCAGGCAACTGAACTTTCGAATACTCTCGATTCCTAGCCTTTTCCAAGGCAGGGTAATGTGCTTTTACCATGTAAGGGCTGTTAACTGATATTGCAATCTTATTGGAGTTGAACATTTAGGCTGCGCTTCTCTGCACACTTAGTTTGGAGCAAGGCACTTTTAATTCACTGGGACGTCCTTAAAAATACAGTGGTACCTTGTGTTACAGACACCTCGGGTTACAGACACTTCAGGTTACAGACTCCGCTAACCCGGAGGTAGTACCTCAGGTTAAGAGCTTTACCTCAGGATGAGAACAGAAATTGCATGCTGGCGGCACGGCAGCAGCGGGGGGCTCCATAAGCTAAATGGTACCTCAGGTTAAGAACAGTTTCAGGTTAAGAAAGGACCTCCGGAACGAAATAAGTTCTTAACCTGAGGTACCACTGTAGGTATGAATAGGATATTAGAGTTAACTTGGTTAATTAATTGGCCAGGATTTACTTAATTAGCTGACAACCCGACATGTAACCACGTGACTATTGAAAGAAATTGGTCACTCTTTTTGTGAACTGTCTCTGACTCAAAATAGCTACCCTTAATTTACTCCATATTAGCTCTTCAGGTTCCTTTTCAGCTCCCTGCTGTTCTTGAGATTGACATTGAGCACTGATATTTTTGTTTGTTTGCATTTAGGCAAATCTACATTTAGATGATAGTAATGACTGTGTCATTGTGAATTCTTTTTTGGGGGGGAAAAATCAAAAGATGCCTTTGAAACGTGTTGGCGTATATATATATATATATATATATCTTTAACTGAAACTTCCAGAATTCTCACATTGAGGAGACCACCCTTGCACAGATATGAGGATGCTGTTGTTGTTGCTTTTCCTTTTTCGTTTCTGCTTGGTTTCTAAATGAGTGCAGTCAGTATTCAAAAAATACAGTGACAAAAAGGTTTTAACACTCCCTTTGGGTTTTCCTTGCACTGTGAAAAGTAATTTGTTTTTTCTGTCCTTGTGAATAGATTGTAAGGGTGGAGGGATGTTAGTTTGATCCTCAACGTCTTAGGATACTATACCCCCCCTCCATTTTTAGTGGTGCTTCCAAAGCAGCGAAAGTGTTAGTAAAACACTTGGGTTGGGGTGTTTTTTTATGAACAAGTGGTATATAAATTTTATGATGTCGATATAATAAATTCTATTTTTGTAATACTCAAAATGGGAGGGGGGAAGAGTATTCCTTCTAGCCAGTAGCAATATTTGGCGCAAGAATTTCTGGCAGCTCAATGAGCATGTCAACATGAAAAAGTTTTATGTAGTTCGAAACGTAAAAGTTCTCAGGTTCTAACTTGCTGTTACTGCTGTATGACATTTTTATTTTGCATTTTCTTAACTGGTTGTGTGTGCGTAAATAAACCTTTTTTTGAAGAAACCTGTTCAAGTGTACATTGTCGGCGTCATCATTAACCCTCCTGCATTGTTCTTTCTAAATACACAGTGAGTGTAAGCTAGAAAATCATATAATAAAATTCCCATTAAAAGCGTAAGATAAAAATCAAATAATGTCACAAATACATAAAACAATGGTGGGCTGGCAGGAGCCACCAATGGGGAGAGATGCCCTGTTGTTCTCGGGTTCTGGTTGGCCACTGTGAGAACAGGAAGTTGGGCTAGATGGGGTTCTGGCTTGATCCAGTAGGGCTCTTCTTGGTCGCAGCCAAAAGCCTCGCAGTGAAATGGTGAGCCCAACCCACACTGCTGGCCAGCTGGAGAAGGCAAGGCAAGTAGGGGCTGCTATCCTTTCTTCATGGTCTGATTATTGCTCACTTGCTTGGGTGAGAAGAGGTGAGGTTGTTGTAAACAAAAATTGCTCTTTTCCCTTATGGGGTATCCAAGAGCCCATATAGAGTCCTTACATATGTTCCCTATTGGTAGGAGAGAATAACAGAGGCCAACCAGAGAATATTGAGAAGCAAAGCAGCTAGTAAGCTTGATCTTTATTGATCTGTTGCAACAGGGTGCTCCCCTCACCCGCAGGAGAGGAAGAGGAACCCAGAAAAATGGCACGCAGGGCCTTATAAAGACTTTTGAAATTGCCACCCTGTAGATCAAGACCACCCCCAGAAAGATCATACATACATCACAGAAGGGGTGTAACCTAAGACCACCCCTCAGATACATCACACTTACATCACAGAAAAGGCGGTCTAAAACAGAAATTTGAATATTGTTTCTCTCCTGTTCTTGTTTATCTCCTGTTTGGCAGGTTACTTGACTGGATTGCCTGGGGAGCCTGGCCATTCTATTGTAGTGATAAATACTTAGTTCCTGGGCCAGGTCACAGGCTCACACCCTATTTATATCTTAAATGTGTCCTTAAGAAAGGATTTGTGAGGAAAGAGATAATGGGGAGGTTTCCCACTTTGACCTTGCAGAGAAAATATTGGGTCAGTTTAGGAATCAAAATGGTTCCAGGTTGGCCTTCCTGTGCTGATCTATGTATGTGCTTGGTTGGTACACTTATGAACATTACCATATATCTAAGACCATAAAATTCCTATCACAAGGTACAGGTCCAGGGGACTGGCAAGAGGATCAACTACTGGGAATTGGGCTTCAGCAGATGCTCAGCAGTGCCGATCTGATGTGCGCCAATCCAAAATTCACAATCTGCTTGAGCACCACACACAGAGAAGCTGCAGCAAAACTGTTGTCCAAAGCTAGGCACTTGCATCAGATAACAGCTCAGCAGTGACATCTGCAGGCTTCCTGATCAGACTCAATCTACAGCCAACCATGCAACGACATGACCTGCAGTCTAACTCTGGCATTGCTTTAATAATAAAAAATAATAAAATTTTATTTATATCCCACCCTCCCCAGCCGAAGCCGGGCTCAGAGCGGCTAACAACAGTAAAATAATACAGCATTCTAAAATCAATTCATTATAAAATCAGTTCATATCAAATTAATGGCAACCATTGGGCTAGAGTTCTGTGAGGATTGCCAAAGGAGGGGGTCAGGCTGTGCCTTGGCCAAAGGTCTGGTGGAACAGCTGTCTTGCAGGCCCTGCGGAAAGATGTCAAGTCCCGCAGGGCCCTAGTCTCTTGTGACAGAGCGTTCCACCAGATCGGAGCCATAGCCGAAAAACCCCTGGCTCTGGTTGAGGCCAGCCTAACCTCCCTGTGGCCCGGGACCTCCAAGATGTTTTTGTTTGAAGACCGTAAGGTCCTCCGTGGGACATACCAGGAGAGGCGGTCACGTAGGTATGAGGGTCCTAGGCCATATAGGGCTTTAAAAGTTAAAACCATCACCTTAAACCTGATCCTGTACTCCACTGGGAGCCAGTACAGCTGGTATAGCACTGGGTGAATGTGATTTACTGGCAAAGATGAGGTGTTGTTCAGAGTTGACCCTACCATTCAGCAAAGCAAGGGGCAGCAGGGGCAGTTCCTCCTGATCACCTTTGTGTGCCAGAGCTGGGGATGGGTAAAACTGTCAGTTTTGGTTTCTGTGTTCCTGATTTTACCCCCATCTTAAATTCAGCTCTCTACATCTCTACATCATAGCACTGTAGAGCTGGAAAGAATCTCAACTAAAACATCCTGGACAGATGGCCATCCAACTTCTGCTTATAAACCTCCAAGGAAGGAGAGTCCACCATCATCCGAGGGAATCAATCACTCTGTTGAACAGCTCTTACTGTTAGAGAGTTCTTCCTGATGTTTAGTCGGAATCTTCTTCCTTGTAAGTTGAAGCCATTGGTTTAGGTCCTACCCTCTGGAGCAAGAGAAAACAAGCTTGCTCCATCTTCCCTCTCGGCAATCTGAGAGAGCGCTGCCAGTCAATGTAGGCAATACTAAGTAGACAGATAAGGCAGACCCCAATGTTCCTTTTTTCTATGTGGAAGAGGAACCTTTCATCATGTGAGACTGTTGCCCAACACACATATTTCAGTCATTTTGAAGCTAGCGATGCAGCCATTTTGCTTTGGTGTGAGGAAATACAGTGGTACCTCAGGTTACAGATGCTTCAGGTTACAGACTCCACTAACCCAGAAATAGTACCTCGGGTTAAGAACTTTGTTTCAGGATGAGAACAGAAATTGTGCGGCAGCGGAAGGCCCCATTAGCTAAAGTGGTACCTCAGGTTAAGAACAGTTTCAGGTTAAGAACGGACCTCCAGAACGAATTAAGTTCTTAACCTGAGGTACCACTGTATCTAAGGTCTAAGAGAGTGGCTTGTCCAACGCTGGAAAGATTTATTCTTCAGGTACTTTCAGAAGACAAAATGGCTCTTCATCGGAGGAGAAACCATTTCAGATGTCAACCGAAGGTCCACATCCGGCTTACTGCCACATTGCCCAAAATTTGAGCGAAACTGATACTTCATTGGTGTTTGTGAAACACCAAGTGTGAGGCAGAAATGATGAGTTCTGCCAGAGGCGTCCATCTGAGAGGCAAAGTGATCCTTGCCCGCAGACCAGAAAAGAAGCAAAATTTACCACCAGTTATGGAAACAGCTGCAAATTTCAACAAAGACTGGAACACTTGAGAGAGAGAATTTTTTTATAAAAGTTTATTTTCTTAGTAAAAATAAAACTCGGAACTTTTTTGGGGGTACAGTTGCCTCTCACATTAAAACATCATTCATTATTATGTCACACTATCCTTTCTTCCCCATTACACAATTCTGGCCAAATACCACTTTCTGAAGAGAAAGGGGTGGCTCTGGACTGATTTAGAATTACGGCATGTCCTTGCAAAAGAGTAAGCAAATCTTCCTCTACTATTAATAGGAGATGCAGTTATTCAGGGCTGCCTTTACATTGGTACAGATCCAAGACTGATGCTGCAATCCCATGCGTACTAAAATATCTGAACTCAGTGGGACTTACTTCCAAGTAAACATGCATAGGATTATCCCCTTGTGCAATCTGCGCTGAATGGCATCAGCTCACCCAGAAGTATCAGAATCCTGGCAATCATTGCACTCTGACTGGAATTGTATTGTGAACAAACACAAACCCCTGTGTTGCAAAATGTAACTATCTACAAAAATGCAAACGCAACATACTGGCTAATATCTGTTAGTGAATATATAACTGGTTATGATATCATTCAAAATAGACAAATAAGCCATTTCAAAATGATGTATGTATCATACAACACATCTCACAAAATACACAAGTAACTACAAGTTGTTAATTGCAGCAGAGTCAAAGAAAGAATCAATATAATCGGTTATGATCTCACAAAATATACAAGTAACTACAAGTTGTTAAGCAGCTACTCTATCCAGTGAGCACTGATCCAATAGCATAATCCCTACTAGTATGAATATTTCATTGATAATTATTCGCTGATGAAGACTTTATTCCGAAACAGTTGAACGATTCCGGCTATACTGTCCTTTTGAGACTTCGGACGTCTTCCTTTGAGATACAGATTGGCATTCCTTGCCGTTCATTGATCTGTTTGATTCTTTGTTTGACTCTGATACAATTAACAACTTGTAGTTACTTGTATATTTTGTGAGATGTGTTGTATAATATATACAGTGGTACCTCGGGTTAAGTACTTAATTCGTTCCGGAGGTCTGTACTTAACCTGAAACTGTTCTTAACCTGAAGCACCACTTTAGCTAATGGGGCCTCCTGCTGCCGCCGCGCCACCGGAGCATGATTTCTGTTCTCATCCTGAAGCAAACTTCTTAACCTGAAGCACTATTTCTGGGTTAGCGGAGTCTGTAACCTGAAGCGTATGTAACCTGAAGTGTCTGTAACCCGAGGTACCACTGTACATCATTTTGAAATGGCTTATTTGTATATTTTGAATGACATCATAACCAATTATATATTCACTAACAGTTATTAGCCAGCATGTTGTGTTTGCATTTTTGCAATTATATTGTGACAGGCCTCAGATGATCAGAGGACAGATGGCAACTCATTTTTAGCTATTTAATAGAGAACCAAAGCCTGCAGAAAGAGCCAGAGGAACGCCATTTGGCAACCCAGTGAGACCAGAGTTCGCAGGCTGTGGGAACAGGGAACTCTGCTCCATTTTCAAAGATATGTTTTGAGAGACCATGTTATCTTAGAAGCACAACCAATTCCGCTGGCTGGGCGTTGGATATATATGCATTTACAAAGTGGTTGAAGTACCAGATGTTCTTCATTATAACATAGTTTTTTTTAGTTTTTTTTAAAAAATAGATCAACATGATCTAAAAAAGGGTAACAATTTTTTTGGAAAGCCAACCAGTTTACAAAACACCCCGGTGCTGTAACCAGTCACTGACAAGACTGTCGCCCCTTCATTCTCCACATCTTGAAAGTTAAAACTTCTCATTTATCATCCAGAGTTGGAGGCCAGTCAACATCCACCGACTGCAGAGAGAAGGAAACAAAATGCAAGCATTAAATCACAAATGCGAGACTCCCATTTGTTAATATAGCATATATGGATCTCTAGCCAGAAAACGGGTGGTGCTGTGGGTTAAACGAAAGAACCTAGGACTTGCCAATCAGAAGGTCGGCGGTTCGAATCCCCGTGACGGGGTGAGCTCCTGTTGCTCGGTCCCTGCTCCTGCCCACCTAGCAGTTCGAAAGCACGTCAAAGTGCAAGTAGACAAATAGGTACCGCTCCAGGCGGGAAGGTAAACGGCGTTTCCATGCGCTGCTCTGGTTCGCCAGAAGCGGCTTAGTCATGCTGGCCACATGACCCGGAAGTTGTACGCCGCCTCCCTCAGCCAATAAAGCGAGATGAACGCCAGAGTCAGTCACGACTGGACCTAATGGTCAGGGGTCCCTTTACCTTTAGCCAGAAAATGGCTGAAATGGCATATGAAGAAGAGAAGAAGAAGAGTTTGGATTTGATATCCCGCTTTATCACTACCCGAAGGAGTCTCAAAGCGGCTAACATTCTCCTTTCCCTTCCTCCCCCACAACAAACACTCTGTGAGGTGAGTGAGGCTGAGAGTGTGACTAGCCCAAGGTCACCCAGCAGCTGCATGTGGAGGAGCAGAGACGCGAACCCGGTTCCCCAGATTATGAGACTACTGCTCTTAACCACTACACCACACTGACTGTCTATGAGGGCATGGATGCGTCATAACTTTATACCTGGAAGTATCATGACAATTCTATGATTGTTACTACAAAGAGGAACAAGGAAGTAGCACTCACTTCTACATCCAGCTCCAAGATGTCAGCGGTTGTGCCCAAGAGCGTACCAATGTTCGGCTTGGTTCTTCCAAAGTCTCCATGAACAAACTCTTTAATGTAACTAGATTGCCATTAAGGACAAAATGAGAAGGGTCAGACGACCCCACAAATCTTGAACGGTGGGGGGCGGGCAAAGGAAGGGCTGACGCTCAGTGATAGAGCATCTGCTTTGCACGCACAAGGCGGCAAGTTCATTCCCCAGCATCATCACACAGGGCTAGCAAAGGCTCCTGCTGGAGAGCGGCTGCCACTCTGTGTTGGCACTATTGGGCTGGAGAGTGGCTGCCAGTCAGTGTTGGCACTATTGAGCTGGATGGACCCATGGGATGATTTTGCATAAGGCAGCTTCCGAAAGGGCACAGTGTGTGGAGCCCAGAAAGGGAGTGTGGCTTGTTCATTAACATTCACCATTGATCCTGCAGCATTAGACCAAGTGGGTGGGCTGTACCCCAAACTGGGGTTGTGTGTACGCTGTGTGTTTCACTAATCACTCTGCAAAATCTTGCCCCAAGAAACACTGGATTATGCAGCCTACACACATCATGGAAATTCAGAAAGCTTGTTATCCTGACCTTCCTCCAAGGAGTTCAGGGTGGTGTATATGGTGCGGGTTTTTGGGGGGGGCATTGTGATGTGGGTGGTGCTGTGGGTTAAACCACTGAGCCTAGGACTTGCCGATCAGAAGGTCGACGGTTCGAATCCCCGCAACGGGGTGAGCTCCTGTTGCTCGGTCCCTGTTCCTGCCAACCTGGCAGTTCAAAAGCACGTCAAAGTGCAAGTAGATAAATAGGTACCGCTCCAGCGGGAAGGTAAACGGCGTTTCCGTGCACTGCCAGAAGCGGCTTAGTCATGCTGGCCACACAACCTGGAAGCTGCATGCCGGCTCCCTCGGCCAGTAAAACAAGATGAGTGCCGCAACCCCAGAGTCGGTCACGACTGGACCTAATGGTCAGGGGTCCCTTTACCTTTACCTTACTGTGGCTCAAAAAGGATACGTCCCGGCCTGCGTCTTCAGATGGAGACGGAAATGATGCTCATCTATGTACTCCGACTGCATGGTGTATATGACACGAACCCTGACGGCTAGCGGTCGCCGGTGGAGGACGCGCAGTGGAGTTTTTTGATCGAGCTTTAATTCCTGTCCAAGAAATAAAAAAACCAACCAGCAGAAATGCAGAGCATTAAGTACAGCAGATACACGAGGAAATATAAAATTGTTTCTGTGCTGCAAAAACCCTCATGCCGCTGAGTTATAGGGCACATAGCTGTGCTATATAACTCTTACCAGTTATGACGGCAGACTTCTTGCCCTCGCCCTCCCAGTCCAAATACCAAACTGATGGAAGCAATAACTTCAGTGTTTGGAAGGCGATATTGCAATTAAGCACATCTCTGTATGCTAACGTAAGTGGATCAGGAATCCACAGACCTCACTCAGAAGCAACCGTGGGTGTCAACAGTAAGTCCAAATCTGCAAACACGAGCATGGCCGAAACTAGAGATGTCAGATAAATTCGATTCAGTTTGCCTTTACGGTTAACCTATCTAAATCACACTTCTGTAAACAGTAAGTTACCCGAAGCACCGCCAAATCTTCAAAATTCACACTTCTCTGAATTCTGCAGGGCAGTTCTCTAGCCAAAGCAATGCATACTTTGTGCACATAAACTAGGTATGTAAATGAAAGCAACATGCAAAAAAGTATTGCTTTTTCGGGGAACCGCTTCACAAAAATGTGTATATCAGGCAAAACTACATAGGAATATGTGTATATTAGGAGAAATTTGCACTAAAGCACTGGTGAATTTTCATTCATGCGGGGGGGGGGGATGCAAAATGAACTTAAAAGTGGGAAAAGAAGAAACTACCATTGACAAATACATCCATCCCTAGCCAACAATGAACATACATCTTATTTTAATGAACTGACTTTTGCACAACTTTGGAAAGCATTTACAGAGTTACAATTAAATTCAATAAACTCTGCTTATAGAGATGGGAGACACAGAGGCATACCAACAAACGAACGTGTTTGCATTAGGGGATGTCCTGAAGTAGAGGACCTTATGCATTCTATTTTGCACTGCCCCTTATATTATGAAGCAAGAGAAAGATTTTTAGCACCTATAATGACAAGGTCCCCTGGCCAGAACCCCTATGACATGATTTTATATCTCCTTGCAGACATAGATAAGTATGTGACCTGGCGTGTAGCACTCTTTGCAACTGCCGCTGGGAAAATTAGAGCAAATTATATAGCCAAGGTAGCCACCAACTGTAAAGGAGATGAATTTATTTGACCCTATCTACATCAAGCTATATTTTATCCTTATCACCAAACCTCTCCATTCTTAAGGAAATCGGCCCTGAGTGCTCACTGGAAGGACAGACTGGAAGGCCTGAAGCTGAGGCTCCAATACTTTGGCCACCTCATGAGAAGAGAAGACTCCCTGGAAAAGACCCTGATGTTGGGAAAGATGGAGGGCACAAGGAGAAGGGAACGACAGAGGACGAGATGGTTGGACAGTGTTCTCGAAGCTACAAACATGAGTCTGACCAAACTGCGAGAGGCAGTGGAAGACAGGAGTGCCTGGTGTGCTCTGGTCCATGGGGTCACAAAGAGTCGGACACAACTAAACAACAACAAAAAATTCCAAGTCCAACATTTGGCCCACTATACTCTGTTGTCTCCCTTGCCACAATGTGCAGGCTGCAATGGCCTGGCTGCCTGTGTCTTCCTGTCAAATGGGAGGAATTTTGCCACATTAACAAGAGCACACAGGGAGCAAAACAGGCACCTTGCAGGAAGGAAGGTGCTTCTGTAGGCAGAACCCTCGCAGAGATTGTACTCTGTTGTGCAACTACAGCGTGAGTAAGACGGCCTGCACAGAGATGTGAGCCTAAGGGTCATGAAGAGGCCGTGGAAAATCTGAGTGGGAGTAGAATTCAGTTTCCCTTCTTCTGAAGAATAAAAATACAGAGGAAAAAATGAGATTACTGTGTAGCCCTTACTGGTTGTGAAGCTATGCTTAAAACTGGGCTGGACAATTTCTAGTGAAATCTCAAAAAGGCTGGTTGCGGGGGCCGAAGAAGAGGTTTCTCATGGCTGGGCCTGCGGCATAATTAGCAAAGCCAGAATAAGTTTTGAAAACTTAGAAGGCAAATCAAGACGTGTTCAACGTGCAACGTGAATTGATATGGGTTTTGCACTCCCTGGGTGCCTAGTTTGAAATTTAGACTTATTTATTCTCCTGAATCAGGAATGTATACGCCCGCAGAGCAACGAGAAGAATTGAGATAGTATACCGTATATTGCCGATACAGTCAACTCTGGTTTCCCCGTGTTATGATTTTAGATTCTGGAGAAACATGCAGATGGACATTCCCACCACACAATGCCCATCTTTCGCACATTAGCGGAGAATGGCATATCTCAGATATTACGGGCATTATAGTAAGATCTGTTAACAGCACACACAGTCAGAGCACGCAAAAATCTCATCCCTGGTTACTCCAAAGTTCTCTGTGTCTCAGCAAAAGGGCGTTTGTTTCTGCTACTGTTATACAACTGCCAGTCAAAGTCTTTGCTCATCTGTTGTTGTTGTTTAGTCGTTTAGTCGTGTCCGACTCTTCGTGACCCCATGGACCAGAGCATGCCAGGCTCATCTACTGGTAATTAACAAAGAAAGAAAGAAAGGAAGGAAGGAAGGAGGGAAGGAGGATCTCTGGCGTCTTTTAATTTCGTGACTGCTGTATGGAAGTGAGAGCTGGACCATAAACAAGGCTGATTGCCAAAGAATTGATGCTTTTGAATTATGGTGCTGGAGGAGACTCTTGAGAGTCCCATGGACTGCAAGAAGATCAAAGCTATCCATTCTGAAGGAAATCAGCCCTGACCGCTCACTGGAAGGACAGATCCTGAAGCTGAGGCTCCAATACTTTCCTCATGAGAAGAGAAGACTCCCTGGAAAACCCTGATGTTGGGAAAGATGGAGGGCACAAGGAGAGGGGGACAACAGAGGACGAGATGGTTGGACAGTGTTCTCGAAGCTACCAGCATGAGTTTGACCAAACTGCGGGAGGCAGTGGAGGACAGGAGTGCCTGGCGTGCTCTGGTCCATGGGGTCACGAAGAGTCGGACACGACTAAACGACTAAACAACAACAACAGATCTCTGGCTGATTTGCTGTAGAGCCTGATCTACTTTCTGCTGCCCACCCGGGTCGTGCACAATGAAAACAACAAACAAATGTGATAAATACCACCCCAGAAACGCAACCTTCATGTTGTCTAGAAGCTCAATGTCTTCATTCCGGATGGCTTTTTCTGTCCATATTAAGGCACTGTAAGTTTTGGTCTTTGCTTCCTCGCCTTCTTTCATGTGCCCAATGGCCTCTCTGAAAGACAAGCAAATAAATGGGCAACGGCCACAGGAATCTGAAAGGTGAAAGGACTCCTCAACAGTTCCGGTATATCTTTATGAATGGCTTGGGTGAGTGTGTGTGTGTGTGTGTGTGTGTGTGTGAACCTTCTCTCTTTCCCCCATCCTGCAGGGTACAGTGATACCTCGGGTTACGTACGCTAACCCAGAAATAGTACCTTGGGTTAAGAACTTTGCTTCAGGATGAGAACAGAAATCATGTGGTGGCAGCGGGAGGCCCCATTAGCTAAAGTGGTGCTTTAGGTTAAGAACAGTTTCAGGTTAAGAACGGACCTCCAGAACGAATTAAGTTCTTAACCCGAGGTACCACTGTAGTGTAATGCCTGTAGGCAGGGCTGTGGCTACCTAGACATTCTGCACCCAGAGATTCCTGGTTCTGCAACCAGAATAAATTAGGGAAGTAAAGTAGGGCTGCACTGTTTAAAACAATTAATTGGTTCACAAAATGACTTTATAAACACACACACATTTTTTTATCAAAAAAAAAAGTGGCCAGGTTAATTGGTTAGTATACTTCCTTTTAAAAAGTAAAATAAAAATAAAAATACAAGTGCTAATAAAAATCGCAGGGTTTAAAAAGACAGATCAGAGGGGAATGCCTGTAAGACAATGCCTCCTACGGCATATGTTTATCTTTTTTGCTCATATGCACATTTGATTAATGAATTGCAGAATCCACTGAAATCATATAATTAATAATAATGAATGTTTTCTTTAATGGAGTGAGAGCCCTAAACCAAGGCAAATTCCCCTACACTTGTTTTTCTGTGTGCGTAATTTGAGTCTCACCCCACCCTCCACCAACAGGAGGACTGCTTAGCACCCTCCTCTTCTGGCTTCTGAAATTTCGCTAGGGACTAGGAACTTGCTTTTTTTAAAATAAAAAAAAAGATCTCCATAATGTGTGTGACTATGCAACACGTTCACAGCTATGAAAAAGCAGTATGCTGGACGTGCCTTGCTTTAATTAGGACAGCTGAGCTATACTAAGGGCTCAATTTCTGTTACAGATCACAAAGGCCCAGCTCTGGAATCCATTTACAATCTCGGCTTCGAAATATGTGAAATGAAATCCTGCAATGTAACGGAAGCTCTGCCTTCTGCCTCTTATCTCCCTCTAAGGGCAACTGTTGAGGGCAGAGAATCGAACTGCGATTGCATTATACCATTTCTGGACAGGTGACTAGAAGGATACTGTTGAAGGAAACAGTTTAGTTTGTTTTGCCTGTCCCAAAACCCTCCCAAATCAGAGCTTTCTTTGGGCGCGCTTCAAGGGCGGCAGAATCCCCCTGTTGTTGCTGCTGCTTCTTCTACTGCCATTTTGAAAGAGCTTCACAGAGATGGCACAAGGTTACGGCCTCAAATTCCCTGCTTTTCCACACACCAAAATAAGCTTTATTCAAGTACCAAAACACTGACCTGGTGACGAGCTGTAGATCACGAACTTGGACTTTGTCTGAAGAGTTATTTATTATCTATAAACGAACAAACAAAGATTACCTCAGCCTCATCTGACTGTTTAAAAATTTAAAAAGATTCCAGGGTTTTGCAGTTAAAAAACAGAAAGGCAATGGCAGTTCCCTCATACAATGGTTTGAGAAGAAACTGCCTTTTTTCTGGGAGGAAGAAATAGCCAGAACCAGTGAAAGTGCCCAATTTTTGTTCTGCTTTTTAAAAAAAGCTCCAATCTAAATACAAAGTGCTGGTGGCCGCAGTGTGTAGAGCACAGCTTTCCAAACTTCTCATGTTGGTGACACACTTGTTAGATGTGCATCATTTCATGACACAGTAATTCAGTTTTACTAGCTAACCAGAGGTTAAACTAACCCCTTTCTGGTCCCGGGAGGAATGCAGGGAGCATTTGCACGACACACCGACACACTAACATTTTGTGACACACAGTTTGGAAAGCTCTGGCGCAGAGTGTTGGGCTAGGAGTGGGGAGACTTGGGTTCAAATCCCCCACGTTCCACTACCTTCCAACCCATCACAGAGTTACTGCAAGGATAACACTTGTGGGAACTGTGCAAACTGCCTTGAGCTCCCTGACAGAAGACCTGGCTTCTTTAACCAAAAATAAATGAAGTTATAATATAGCGAACGGTAAGCATGAATCAAATCACAACACTGAACAGCTCTTACTCCTTAAAATATTTTGACTGCATCTTGATACAAGGCAGCCAACAACTCAGTGTATTGTTTGCCATCTCTAACCTGTGCGTATCTGAAGCCAGCGCTGCTAACCTCTACCTTTCTCATTGATAACCCTTTCATTAATCGGCAGCCGTGGGAGTGTCTGAAGGAGTGTCTCCACCCCCATCATTCAGCCTGGACACTGAGGTCCAGAGCCAAGGGCCTTCTGGCGGTTCCCTCCCTGCAAGAAGTGAGGTTGCATGGAACCAGGCAGAGGGCCTTCTCGGTAGTGGCGCCCGCCCTGTGGAACGCCCTTCCATCAGATGTCAAGGAAATAAACAACTATCTGACTTTTAGAAGACATCTGAAGGCAGCCCTGTTTGGGGAAGTTTTTAATGTTTGATGTTTTATCGTGCTTTTAATATTCTGTTGGGAGCCACCCAGAGTGGCAGGGGAAACCCAACCAGATGGGCGGGGTATGTATGTATGTATGTATAAATATTGTGCCATTCGTTCACTGGACATCCAGACCTTTAGCAAATTCTGTATCCTACCAGCTTTGCCTCCCATAAAACTATGCCATTGAAATGCTCACGTAATCCTTCATTATTAGGCAGGTTTTGTGTAGCATTTGTATATCCCTCTAACTTGCTATTGGACTCAGAACTTTCTCAGGAGGTCTCCCACCCAGGGACTCTTTAGCTTCAAAAAAGTGGTCGCATCCTATGCCTCCAGATCATGTCCTGGGAATGGTTGGAAGGTGAACCCATGTTATCAAAGATGTCCTAAAGGAGGAAGGTTTCACTACAGAACTGTATTTTTAAAAAACTGCCTAGGAAAAAAACTTCAACAAATAATCCTCTACCCACCAAAATAGCAAAAAAAAAAACCGAAACAAAAAAACAATTTGTATTAGGGGTAGTTTTGGGAAAACCTGTAGAGTAATGTACCGTATTGGCCTGAATATAAGCCGCACCTTTAAAATTGGAGGGGAAACAATAAAAAATACCCGAATGTAAGCCGCTCCATTCATCACGGCTCCTGGCTGCATATTGGGGGGGGGGGGGGAGAGATCATGTTGCATTGCCAGCGGCCTTCCCCCTTCCTCGCTCTCTCCCTTCCCGGCCTTGGGGGAGAGGATGGGGGACTACGCACGAGGCGGATGCCGCTTTGCCATGCTCCTGGTGCTGTTTGCCCCACGCTTCTGGCTGCATACCCCAAGGTCACGAATATAAGCCATACTTTAAGTGAGGTTTCTATTCAAGCCAATACGGTATTAAAAATTGTAATGATTCCCTGAGCGTGACTGGGTAAATTCCAGAGAACCCTGAATACAGTGGTACCTCAGGTTACAGATGCTTCAGGTTACAGACGCTTCAGGATAGACTCCGCTAACCCAGAAATAGTACCTCAGGTTAAGAACTTTGCTTCAGGATGAGAACAGAAATCGTGCTCCGGCGGTGCGGCGGCAGTGGTAGGCCCCATTAGCTAAAGTGGTACCTCAGGTTAAGAACAGTTTCAGGTTAAGAACGGACCTTTGGAACGAATTAAGTTCTTAACCCGAGGTACCACTGTATCAGGGAGGCTAACTTTCCACTTTTCTTACTATTCTTTTATAAGAGGGGTTGGGATGTGCAAGGCACTGGTCTTAATGGATTGGCAGGATCCGTAAGAAGGGACAGCCCCTTAGGTATCCTGACCCCAAGGTGGTTAGGGCCTCAAAAGGAAACAGCCAGGACCTTGGGAGGAAAGGGTCAAGACTTGTGTCTTGATGCCCTAAAAAAGGTTTCAATCACAGACGGGTAGCCGTGCTCGTTTCTTGCAACAAACACCAGAAAGAGTTTTGTGGCAGCTTAAAAGTGGCTTTGCAGACCACCTGCCAGTGTACCATTTCCAACACCTTGAAAGCCATTTACCTGTTGAAGCTCCTTCATTTCCTCTGCAGCCAAGCGGACTTTCCGAGGATTCACGAGCTCAATCGCGAAGGGCCTTCCTGTCAAGGTTGGAGCGACCATGAGGTGCAGTGGGGGGAAATGAGGACAGGGAGTTGCAAGTGACTGCATAATAAGATATCCACAGATATTTTTGGTGGAGTAAAAGGGGGGGGGGTAGTAAAGGAAAACACTCTATTCGCAGGGCCTTGAAATGCTTTTACTTTGTAAACAGCTCTGGGAGCCCATTTGGGGTGCAAAAGCCATAAATAATAAGGCATTTCTAAATCCGTGACTTTGTGCTGCCAGCACAAAAACTGTATGAAACTTTTAGAACGTGAAATCTAATTGCTACACAGATATTTGAATGCAAGGTGCAGGCACTATTCTGACCCACCACCAGAGGGCACTGTCTGCTTAAGGGGCTCCAAACATACCAGCTTGTGCCATTGACAGCGCAATCCTTCTGAATCCAATGGGGCTTACTCCCGGGTAAGTGAGTTTAGGATTACAGACTTAGGCTGCGAGCCAAGCTTACCGTTGCCCAGTGTTCTCACATCCACATCTTCTCTTCCGGAGGATGAAAAATTAAAACCTTCGAAACAGGAAGGAAAAGGTCAGCTGAACTTGCTAACTCACCAATGCCAGTATCCTTTCCACACAACCCTGAGCCCCTGTTGCTGGACTCCACGGCTTGGGGTCAAACGGAAAAAAGTGCTCTTAGCTCCATTCTATAGTTTCCGAGCACAATTCAAAGTGTTGGTGTTGACCTTTAAAGCCCTAAACAGCCTCGGCCCAGTATACCTGAAGGAGCGTCTCCACCCCCATCATTCTGCCCGGACGCTGAGGTCCAGTGCCGAGGGCCTTCTGGCAAGAACCAAAGCTACAGGGAACCAGGCAGCGGGCCTTCTCGGTGGTGGCACCCGCCCGGTGGAATGCCCTCCCATCAGATGTCAAAGAGATAAACAACTACCTGACATTTAGAAAACATCTGGAGGCAGCCCAGTTCAGGGAAGTTTTTAATATGTGACATTTTATTGTTGTTTTTCATCTTTGTTGGAAGCAGCCCAGAGTGGCTGGGGAAACCCAGCCAGATGGGCGGGGTACAAATAATAAATTATTTATTATATTATTATTATTATTATTATTATTAAGCCCCTGTAAGAGCAACACTAATGGGGAACCCATCTATGGTGTGGACAGGGAACAGTACGGATATGAAAAACACTGGACACATTTGGGGTCCGTGCTGAAGAAGCCCACAGGGCACCCCCCAGCCAGCAAGGCCACGAATTTCATAGGGGGCCTTTCAGTCTGGAGTGAAGACAAGTAAGAGGGGGCCATGTATAAAAAATGGATGGTGTGGAGAAAGTGTGCAGGGTGACATTTCTCTCCCTCTCTCATAATAAAATAAAAACTTGGAGCCACCCAATAAGGCTGGATATTGGGAAGATTCAGTACTGAGAACAGGAAGGAGTTCTTCACAATGTCAGTTTGCATTTCTTAGTACAGAAAGTATTGATCTGGTGTGTAAAGATCTTTCCTATTCTACCAACTTCAAGAGGGTTCTGGAAGCTTCTCTGTGTGAAAGAAGCAAGCAGAAGGTTCATGATGTTTGGGTTATTCCTTCAGAGAAGCTGAGTAAAGCTGGTTTGAACTGGTTCTCTTATCTCTTCTGTCAAGAGGCCAAAAGGAGCCCGGGTTTCACTTTCTCTTTCTATCTCTTTTCCTTCCGTTGTGGTGTTCTGTACACAGTATGCTTAGTGTTAAGGTTTAGACTTATTGTAAGTTATTGTAAGTTTAAGTTAAGTCTGCTGCCACTGGATTTCCTGACTATATTAGATTTGTGACCATTACAGTGGTACCGCAGGTTACATACGCTTTAGGTTACATACGCTTCAGGTTACAGATTCCGCTAACCCAGAAATAGTGCTTCAGGATGAGAACAGAAATTGTGCTCCGATGGCGCGGCAGCAACAGGAGGCCCCATTAGCTAAAGTGGTGCTTCAGGTTAAGAACAGTTTCAGGTTAAGAACGGACATCCGGAACGAATTAAGAACTTAACCCGAGGTACCACTGTATGCTCATTTGCCTTCAGTAGCAGTAAAGCTCTGCTGGATGAAATATAATTGCCTCTGGTCTATTTTTTGGAAATCCTGCAACGTGTTTAAGTCTTTACTCTGCTGACCATACGCTGGAATCTGCTCTGGATCAATATTGAGTGGAATTCCATGACAAGTTAAACTATGGAATGAATTCCCACAATGGGTAGTGATGGCCACCAGTCCGGTTGGCTTCAAAGGAAGATTGGAAGATAAAGTTATGAATGGCTCCTAGCCACAGTGGTTGCGATCTACCTTCAGTGCCAGAGGCACTACGTCTCTGAATACCAGCTGCTAGGAAACAGATTCTGCTTGTGGACTTCCCACAAACCCCTCACTGGCTTCGTTGAGAGCGGGATGTTAGACCAGGTGGGCCTCTGCCCTGAACCAGCAGCCAGGCTCTGTTTATGTTGTTATGAGGGGAGCTGCAGCCCAGAAACACCCGGAGAGCAGCAGGTTCCCCACCCTTGCTGTGTGGGCAAATGCTTTTCCTCTGGAAGCAAGAAGAATTACCGATGAAAGAAGAATGGCGGATGAAATTAATGCACTATGCAGAATTAGATAAATTAACAGGAAGGATTCGAAACCTGTAGGACCAGAGATTCTTAGAAGACTGGAGTAAATATATGAACTATTTGAAAAGCAATTGTAATGAACAGATTACGCTAGTAGGACTGCAAGAAGTTCTGTAAGGAGAACTATTTGAAATATTACAAGAAAATGAAGAGAATTATTAGTTAATGACAATTAAGAATAAGAGAGAAAATAAGAAATGTAGAATAAGTGATAAAGAACAGAAAATCATCAGAGGTTGTTGACGGAAGTCTAAAATATTGTATAAGATAAGAAGTTATGTTAAATGATTGTTGAAAATGATATGTAAAAAAACCCAATAAAAATGTATTTTTAAAAATGCTTTTCCTCCACCACTGAGGTTTCATCGAGAGGACTAACGGCAAGGAGATGTTCTCTTGGGCAAGTGAGCCACCCTGTTGCATGGGGAAGGGTGGTCCAAAAACGAGCCATTAGATTTTTCTACAGGTAGGTTTTTACCCAAAAAGAAAGGCTTCTCCAGAACAAAAATGGCACCCAACCTCTTGGCAAAAGTAGGTTAAGGTGGGAGTACAAACAGGTGATTCTAAGAAGGGTGTTCCAGGATGTGGGCACTACCACTAAAAAGGCCACGCCCTGAATGTAACTTTCCATCCAATAGATTTTGGGTGGCTTGATTAAGTTATGCATGGAAGACATGCAGGTATAGGGACGCGCACTCAGTGCATACAGAAAGCACTCACTGTCTGCTTTGAAGGCAGCCGTGAGATGTTCTGAGATCAGTTCTTCGACGGAAGACTCCATCTTCCTCTCTCCATCTATAATCCAGGGAGTCTGGGGTAACGTTCTTGAATATTTGTTATATCTCCCTGTAAAGGAAACAGAGGGTATTTAGTACCCTGTAAGTTTCGCAAAAGTAGCAAAGATTTATTTATTTTTACTTGAAGCAGGGGAAACAAACAGCACAGCACTATTTATTAATTTATGCACCCACATAATGCCCAAATAGGCTTCTAGGTTTTTTACAAGTATATCAAGAGATGACTGCAAGGGGTGGGGGGAAGACCCACTATATATTTATGTACTGTATTTTTCGCTCCATAAGACGCACTTTTCCCATCCTAAAAAGTAAGGGGAAATGTGTGTGCATCTTATGGAGTGAATGCAGGGGGGAGGCAGGCAGGAAAAGCCCCCAAGAGCCACATACAAGCTCCGGGCGGCTCTTGCGGGCTTTTCCCCAGGAGGAAGAAGGGACTAGCGCGGCCAGTCAGTCCCTTCTCCCTCCTCGTAGAAAAGCCCGCAGGAGCCGCGTGCTCCTTAAAGGGTGCGCGGCTCCTGTGGGCATTTGCGGGAGGTGGGGGTATTGCCATAGCCACGCGCAGCCTCTCCCTGCCAGAGAGGTTGCGCGTGGCTAAAGAGGAAGCCAAGACAGTGAGCGGGATGGAAAGGCTGCGCGCCTGTCCACTGCTCCCCGACCTGCTCTTTGGGGCCCCAAAGAGCAGGTCGAAAGGAACCCGAAGCCTCTGGAGCGCAGCGGGAGTTCCCACTGTGCTCCAGAGGCTTCAGGTTCCCTTCACTGAAGCCTGGAGAGCGAGACGGGTCGGTGTGCACTGACCCCTCTCACTCTCCAAAGTAGCCGCCTAAAGGCGACTGGACGCACCTTGAACTGCACCTTGTTTTAGAGGGGGAGAACAAGAAAAAAAAATCTCCCCCTCTCTGCGCAGCTCCTCCTGCCGCTTCACTTAAGGGACGCTGGGCAGAGAGGGGGAGAATTTTTTTTTCTTGTTCTCCCCCTCTAAAACAAGGTGCATCCTATGGTCGGGTGCGTCCTATAGAGGTGCTTCCTATAGAGTGAAAAATACGGTATTTACCGGCAACGAAGATGGCCCCATTGGTACACTGAATGTCGACAGCTGTGCAAGGCTCCTTGGGTGAAGTCAGAGGGCATTGAAAGTTTCTGTATAGGAGAAAATAAAGGAGCGAGCCATTAAAAGCACACGACAAGACCCTGGCAGGTTGAAAGAGAGAGAAAATGGCCTCAGATGTATATTACAGTAAGCCATAAAGCTACCTCAGAGGTTAAAAGCCTAGGAAAACAGGAGAGATATTTGCCTGGTGCCTAACTGCCATGACTTAAGCACAGGTATGGGCCCCTGGGGTGAGAGTTGACAACCAAGGTGTTGTAGCTGAAAAGGCCCTCACTCCCATATGGTGGAGCCACTTGGAGGAAGAGGAACAAGACATTAGACCCCTTGGTTTTCTGAAATTCAGTATGTCCTGCATAAGATTCGACTGAATCAGTATCAGAGTGGCTTGTGCAGAACTTCACAAAGCAGAAGGATCTAACGCCTTGTTTCTTCCAGTAATTTGATGTCCTTATCAGAGTTCAAGCTATTCCCATGTTGAATTGGAAATGAAGTGTTAGCTGTTTTCCAAGACTACCTTTCTCTAAAGCCAGAGATTGAAATACTGAATTTGTTTCATTCTCAGTTGCCCCAGAATGCATTCAACTGCAATTACTGTCAGAGAGAGAGAGAGACCTGTCAGAAATCACACAACTGAGACACACAGTGGCCAAGAGAGACATACATGCAGATCTGAAATCACAGTGAATTTTGGGGTATGGGGAACCAAATGCAGACGCCACACCCATTTAGACTCAGAATGTATTAACCCATTTACTTATTACTTCCAGGTTTATATGACATTTTCACCTGTAACATTTCACTTTGCTCTTTGATTTTCCTGATAAATTCCCATACACCAAGGTTAAAATAGGTTCAGAGCTCACTTACTTAAGAAAATCTTCTTCGCTGATCATATCCAAAGCCTTAACCACAGCCATTCTGGTGAAGACAGACTGCAAATGAATAAAGTATCAGGTATTTCGAAAACAATTCCTCTGTTTAATTCACTTCAGCTGAGTCAATGAAATGTCGTTTCTCAGAAACTGTTTCTCTGATACTGTTATTTTAATTAATACTTAATTGTTATTTTGGGTTGCAACACTTAGCTGCCACAATGTCCCACTGAATCCCGCAGGACTTACTTCTGAACATATATTGGATTGCACTGTTAATCAGAATCTTGCACATCACCTTGGGAAGCTTTGTTACAGAAAGATGTTAATACATTTTGTTGTAATTTTTTTGGATTCTAACTGTAAGGTGCTTTGGAAACCAATCTTGGCTGGGGAATAAGTTTTAGAACTCACACACAGTAAGGATGTAATCCAAATCCAGGACGTAAATCCCACAAGAACAGAAAAAATGAAGAGTAACTTTACTACACAGTATAAGGAGGGAGGAAGGAAGAACAGTAACAAGTTTGTGATGGCTTGTGACCCTACTAAATTCTGATCTTGCAAAAAAATGGGAAAGAGAATAATTTCCCAGAAATTGCTTACCTGCTTGTTCTTTTCTTGTTTGAAGCAACTTGGACATGCTGAGGCTCTAAATGGAAAAACAAACAGCATTTAATTGTTTGAAAACTTTTTTTAGACATGGTGTCAGAACAGATTCAGTGAGGACAAGGTTGCAAAGGCCTATGCACCTGGTGTCTAAGTCAGAGAGCATCCACCAAGAAGATCTTTCCTCTCCTTCCTGACATCAAAACATTGGCTGCTTCTTGGGTACAGATACCCCACTCTGGATATTGTGTCTAATGTTAATCGAAGGTGCTGCCTACTCTGGGTGGATGCCTGACAGTGTGTATGGAGGTCCTGGGCTACCCAGACGACAAGACCCAACCCCCTTGGCTTGGCTGATGTGGTCCAGAGGAAAGCAGAGCCATACATTTGGCACCAGCCTGGCTGCAGGAGTTGCCGAAAGGAGGCGTACAAGGCACCATCCAACCGTCTTAGGGAATCCACTCTGGATTTGTGCAGGAGTTACTCCTTAGCCTTTTCTCCTCCCAAAGATGTCCCTGTGAATGTACAACGCCATTATTCATCACATCCCAACTTACAGGAAATGGCAGTCCTCGTCTGTTTCTGGATGAGCGAAGACCACACTGACTTCAAACAGGCTCTGAGTCGCAATTTAAAAGACAGTGGAAAGTTATTGTTTAATTCGGTAGTGGAAATGTAACATTCTCCCATTCCCTTCTGTAGCCTTGAACTCTGTTTGGGTACCTGCCTGAAACTCTCTCCCTCGCTTTAGCTCTGCACAAAGAAAACGAGCTTGTCAGGAGGAAAGGTTCTTCCCTCGCTCTGAAATTTTCCATGTGCAGGGATAATTAAACTTCTTTTTTTTTAATTTAGAGGAGGATTCAACCACCCATGCACCATTCTGAAGTGGCGCAGACCAGGCACAGAAGGCCCATGACAATAAAACACTGTTGAAGTTATATAGTTATACAATACCTTTCCATCAGCAGGGACCCCCAATTGCTCCAGGAACAGGGGGTGAATAATCCATTTGTATGCTTCCTTTAGCTGAACAAGGTCTTCTTTTTCTGCTAAAAAATCCTGTTTCCTAAATGATTTTTAAAAGTAAGACTCAGCATCTTAAATCAAGCGGGAGGAGTGGGGGGGGGGAGAGAATATAATCAATTCTGTTTAGTTTCAAAATACTCATTTCAATCGATAGTTTTGAAATTGTACCTCTACTCTCAAGAATTTTATAACCCAAAGTACTAACAGCAACTAGAATACATGTTGTAACATTTGCTAATGGAAGGACCTGCCAGCAAGAAAGAGGAAATGACTAATTAAAAAGGGCAGTTCAGTAATGCTGTGACTGGAGCAAAAAACCCACAACTGATTAGAAGTTTAAAAAGAAAGGGGCAAGGATGAAACGCCTAATTAAAGTATCAGCTGGTGTGAGAAGCAAGGCCTCTACTGAATGGGACTTGCTTTTCATTAAATATTATGTTAGGACCTTGCCTGCAAAGATGCGCTTTTGTGGGATTGTTGTGGGGGAATTTAGCACTATGTGAAACAACCGTGATGCTTCTCCTTCCAGCTCAGTGCAGGAACAACAATGGATCAGTGCTGCTAAGGGGCTTTAGTATTAAGACGATAAACTGAGTTGGGCAATCAGAGGAGTTAACTACCAAGGGAAGAGGGTGAGATATTGCACATTACACCCTCTCAATACGATTCCCCTCACACGTCCGCCAAGCACACACCAAAAGAGAACAATACAGTGCCAATGACATTTGAAAACCTAGCACACAAGGCAGGATGGAAAAAACCCCACCAGGAAGTACTCACTCCATTTCCTCTTTTACTAGCAACCATGCTGCATGCTTCAGGCATGGACCGAGAAAAAAACAGAAAAATGAAAGAGAAAGGGGGGGGGGCAGAGAGAGAGAGAGAGAGAGAGAGAGAGAGAGAGAGAGAAGTGGTAAATTAAATGGCTTCATAACCTTCTCAGCTAACTAGCTGAAAAAACCCAGACCAAGAATCGGCTACATTCACAGGAATCAAAGCCACACAGGATACACAACATCAGACGTGGCCAAGTCTCCCACACCAATTCAAAAAGCCAAGCTTCAGATCAGCCTAGCCCAATTTGCCCTCCCTCTCACTCACCCCTCGCCCAATTGCTACTGGCCATGTATTGCTGGATGCCACACATGGTGTATTTCCTAACAGGCGAAAACAAGTAAGTTTTTTAACCACCCCTGCCCCCTTTCCTTCTCAACGAAGGCCATACTCAGAGCACAAACAAAAGCACAAGCAAATACTCACCTCCCTTACAGATAACTGTGGGGGGAAAGAGACTGAAAACACAAAGCTGGTAAACTGGTATTCAGAAGAATTAATCTTGTGGCACACCTGAAAAACAATGAACTATGTTTATTATTGTTATTTAAATATAAATACACACACACACACACACACACCCCCCGCTATGCAATTAAAAAAGTTCTCAAAGCAATTGCACCTTGTACAAGAAGGCTTGCAAACATGTTTGAATAAAATTGTTTTACATTCTCATCAAGGACAAGCTTCCCTATGTAGATGTGCTTGCTTCTACCAAAGGAATTCTTCTGTGTAGTCAGGACAGCTCACTAACAGTCCCACTGCCTGCATGCTTACTTGGAAGTTAAGTTCCACTGTGTTCGTTGGGGCTAGCTCCCAAGTAAGCATGTGTACAATTGCAGCCTAAATGAGATTTCAGCAAGGAAAGTTCAGTAAAACCCTTAGAGATATACAACTAAGTTTTAATCGCAGTAGACCCATCGAAATTAATGAACATGATTAAGTTAGGTTCATCTATTTCAATGGGTCAACTCTGAATAAGACTTAGCTGAATGCCACCCACTACATGCATGCTGTATATGTGTACATCCATGGGAAATGCTGCAGTTTTTTTCAACAGTAAAACTACCAACCAGCCGACACTTACCGCTTTGACAAAATCCATCTCACAGAGCTCTTGCAGAATTCCCAGGCAGATGCTACACACAGCTGGCCTTAAGTTCTCATCACCACCAGCAGTTCTATCATTCTCCGCATTAGGTACCTGGTGGCTTCCATTTGAGGTCTGTTCCTCCCCTTCTTTGACACTATCCAGTTTGATTCGCTTATAGGGAGGATTTGCTGTTTCACAAGGTAATTTGTTCTCCTCTGTAGTGTTCTCCAGAAACTCATGCAGTTTGCTAAGCAACTCCTGATCGATAAAGGAAGCAGAGTAAAACTTGGTAGGTAGAAGGGTGCCAGGGGTGGCTTCAGAATGTACTGTGAGCCCAACAGCCAGGTGTCCTGAAATCAACAGCTCCTGTAAATGCGCAACAGTCTTTCAACAGAGAATAATGTCAAATAATCTGTTGCCTTGCAAATTAATGTGGATCTGCTAAGCAATTAAAAAGGTCTTTGATATTGTAGTCCTGTGCATATTTAGGTAGGGGTTAGACTCACGAACCTTGTGGGACTTAGTTTTGAGTAAATGTTTATAGGATTCATATCCTATGTACATTGGTATCATACGTGTTTTGAGTAAATGTGCTTAAAATTTTATATATGGATATTATATGATGGCCTACACTTGAAACACCTAATACAGGTTTGGTGAGGAAGAAGAGGAGGAGTAAATGTGCACAGGAGAGTATCATAAAAGTGACACCAGAAGTGAGAAGAGGAAGTGCACTTGTTCTTAGGAACATAGGAAACTGCCTTATAATTAGTCAAGTCAATGGTCTATCTAGCTCAGTAGTGTCTATGCGGAGTGGCAGTGGCTTTCCAGGGTTTCAGACAGGGGGCATTCCCAGTCCTAACTGGAGATGCTGGGGACTGAACCTTGGACCTACTGTGTGCAAGGCAGATGGTCTACCACTGTGTCATAGTCCTTCCTCAGAGCTGCAGGTCTTTCCTATACTTCTTAGACAGATAATGGGGAAGAATGTGGACTGGACTTCTGGGTAGGTGGAAGACACAGGGGAACTGGAGAAAGTATATGATGGAGGGAAAGGAGACAACAATGGATTTTAAATAGGTCGACAGCTGTTTGTTGTTCCTCATTTTGGGGTTCTGCAATTTTTGTCTCCCCACTCCAAATGCCCCAGCCTCCTTTCATTCCCCAAGAATATGCCTCTTGCTTTGAAAGGAAGACCTGGATCAGAGAGATCTGAAAATGAATTAAAACCACCCCATCATTATCATAATGTACTTCAATTTAATCAAACCTTATAGGGTCGCCTGTACAAATCCTGAGATCCTATCCGGCAAAACCTGAAGATACAACGCGGGCATGCTCCAAAATTCAGTAACTTCTGAGCAACAGACTTGTCCTTTTCAGACAGTGCAGTTGTGCTGGTGCTCATGTTGGTGAAGCCTGTATTTGAAGAGAAAAACCATCAGCAGAAACACTGCCACAGCAGGCTGGATTGAGGGAATTGAGGGAACACTCATTAAAATAGCACAGCAGTAATTCAAAAGGGAGGACACAGAGATGCTGAGGACCATTCAGAAAAGAACAACAACGAGCATGGTCCCATGTATGAAATCATTTCCTTGTGAGAAAAGTCTGATTACTAGAAACCGAAGAACTAAATCTGGGCCACTGAAGTATGAATTGCCTTATACTGAAACTATTGGTGTATTTAGCTCAGTACAGTGGTACCTCGGGTTACATATGCTTCAGGTTACATAGGCTTCAGGTTACAGACTCCGCTAACCCAGAAAAATTACCTCGGGTTAAGAACCTTGCTTCAGGATGAGAACAGAAATCGTGTAGTGGCGGCACAGCAGCAGCAGCAGGAGGCCCCATTAGCTAAATTGGTGCTTCAGGTTAAGAACAGTTTCAGGTTAAGAACACACCTCCAGAACGAATTAAGTTCTTAACCCGAGGTACCACTGTACTGTCTATGCTAAATGGCAAGGGGTATTCTCAGCCCTGCCTGGAAATCCCATTGAGGACCGAGACGGGGGCGTTCTGCATCCAAAGCAGCTGCTCTACCACTGAGCTGTGGCCCTTCCCTTCTTCCTGCACTGTATTTTTCCTGCACTGAGGAATACCACTCCCGTCTCCTCTTTCCACTTCCACCGCCACTAGAGTTTCCGCTACTTAGGCCGTCATCACTATCTGATAACACAAGCCATACTATTCTAACGCTTAAATTCTAAGGTGAAAACCACATTTACCTAAGAGCAAGCCTCGACTTGCTTTCGAGTAAATATGAGCATAGCGTTGCGCCCTACCTCCCTCCTCTCTCAGATTTTGCTAAAAGCAACTCACTGCGCCCAAATAGCTTAAAGAACCCCCCACCCCTCCATTCCTAAGAAGCCGAGGTTATTTTCCAGCTCACCTGCCTCTTTTCGCTTGCCAAACATAAAAAAAAACCTATGGGGGAACCATTCACCCGTTGCACCCTCGGTCCGCTCATCAATGAGTTCCGCTCTCGTAGGGAGAGAAAGGGGGGGAGAAAAGGAAACAGCCTCCCAGAAACAAGAGTTCCGCCTCCAAGTTTGCGGCGGCCTGCAGTCGAGCCTATAGGGTACCCAAGCTTCTAAAGGCTTTCCGAGCTATACTTCCGGATCCCAACAGCCGTTCCGTCGTGAGTGACCGTGCTTTAGAAAACATCTTATTGCTCCTTCCGCAATAAAAACGAAACAAAGCAGCTATAGGCTTCGTTGGAAGACCCTGTGCCATGTTGGCTGAGCTCCAGAACTCAGGCGTCGCACCCCATTAAATGGCAATAGTTAACAATATGAATAAACTTTGAATAATTCAAAAGATAAGAAACGGGGCATTTGATGGGCGGTGGAAGAAAAACATTAAAAACACACACATTAAAATCGGCTAAAAACATCGGGAAAACGCAGGTCCAGATTTAGGTTTGATGAGGCCCTAAGCTACTGAAGGTAACGGGGCCCTTTATATGCCCAGCTGACCTTTGTCAACAACAAATTGTCACTGTTTTTTGTGTTGAATATACGCTATATGGTAATTTATGGATCTAATAGCAAATAAAGGTAAAGGTAAAGGGACCCCTGACCATTAGGTCCAGTCGTGGCCGGCTCTGGGGTTGCGGAGCTCATCTCGCTTTATTGGCCGAGGGAGCCGGCGTACAGCTTCCAGGTCATGTGGCCAGCATGATTCAGCCGCTTCTGGCGAACCAGAGCAGCACATGGAAACGCAGTTTACCTATCCGCCGGAGCGGTACCTATTTATCTACATGCACTTTGCGCTTTCGAACTGCTAGGTTGGCAGGAGCTGGGACCGAGCAACGGGAGCTCACCCCGCTGCGGGGATTCGAACTGCTGACCTGATCGGCAAGTCCTAGGCTCTGTTGTTTAACCCACAGATAACAAAATATGCATTTTAACAAAGTAATTGTTGAACTGAAATACAGTTAAGAAGAAGTATATTAATAATGAAATACAATTAACAAGTAGTATATTAATAGTGAAATAATTAAGCTGTAAATTAAAATTCATAAACTTAATAATGCAAACACATTGGCATTTAGCAATAACAAAAGTTAACTCTTTAGAAACACAATTTACAAAGACTCATAATCTAGTCTCTAGAAACTTGTTATAACATGAAATAATAATTTTAGGTTTTATTTTATTAGTTTTTTATCTTACATTTTGGAACTGTACATCCAGGTGTTTTTTCCCCTTTAATTTTTTCGGGGGGCCCTCAAGAGAGTGGGGTCCTAAACTATAGCTTGTTTAGCTTATACATTAATCCCTGGGAAAACGTGCAAAATCTGTTTTCGTCGGTAGCCGAGCGGGGGCGATTGCGTTCCTTTGCTTTCGCCCGGCTTCCTTCCGCGCGCACCTCTTTGAGCTCGAGCCGCCACCTGCGCGGCGCTACGCCGACGCCGCAGCCAGAGACGGTCGATCCCCGAGCTCCACGCGTCGCTTGCGAGGGGCGGGGCCTCCTCCCTGGCGGGACCGACGGCTCGGCGCTCGCCTCGGGAGACGGCCGAGCCTGGGCGAAGGTCCGGCGAGGAGGAGGCGCCGCGAAGACGATGGCGGCCAACCAACCGCCGCCCCCGAAGCCCTGGGAGAACCGGAGGCTGTGAGTGCGGCTGGGGGGGGGAAGGGGGGGGAGAACCCCGAGGCGGAGCCGCCGCCATTCCCTCCTCATCGGTTTATGGCTGTTAATAGGTTCCGGGGCTCACTTGCCGCCCCAAGGAGTGGGGGGGCACTCTGTACATGCTCAGGGGCCACGCTCCTCCAAGGTCGTGGAGTGGCCAAGGGTGGGGGAGGAGGGAACACAAGCAGGTTCCGGGGCTCACTTGCCGCCCCGAGGAGTGGGAGGGGCTGGCAGTCTGTACATGCTCAGGGGCCACACGCCTCCAAGGTCCTGGAGTGGCCAAGGGTGGGGGAGGAGGGAATACAAAACAAACAGGTTCCGGGGCTCACTTGCCGCCCTGAGGAGTGGGGGGGGGGGAGGCACTCTGTACATGCTCAGGGGCCACACTCCTCCAAGGCTGTGGAGTGGCTGGGGGGGGGAGGAGGGAACACAAAACAAACAGGTTCGGGGCTCCAGGGAATCATTCCCCCCCCCTCTTCTTCCCTGAGCCCCCTGCTGGATTTCATCCTTCCAGGACCTTTCAGTGTTGGGTGGAGGTGAGGGGTTTCTTTTTCGCCCCACCAACATGGGATTCCTACATTGCAGGGGGTTGGACCATAGCTGTCAACCTTCCCTTTTTTTGCGGGAAATTCCCTTATTTCAGCGCCGTTTCCCCGCTGCTATTCCGGATTGTTAGATATCCCGTAGACAGGTGAGGCTGCTGATCCCTTATTTTCAAATCCAAAAGTTGACAGCTATGCTGCTGATCCCTTATTTTTGAGGCCGCTGATCCCTTATTTTCAAATCTGAAAGTTGACAGCTATAGGTTGGACTAGATGACCGCCAGGGTCCCTTCCAACTCTGTTGTTGTTGTTTAGTCGTGTCCGACTCTTCGTGACCCCATGGACCAGAGCACACCAGGCACTTCTGTCTTCCACTGCCTCCCGCAGTTTGGTCAAACTCATGCTGGTAGCTTCGAGAACACTGTCCAACCATCTCATCCTCTGTCGTCCCCTTCTCCTTGTGCCCTCCATCTTTCCCAACATCAGGGAGTATTGGAGCCTCAGCTTCAGGATCTGTCCTTCCAGTGAGCACTCAGGGCTGATTTCCTTCAGAATTGATAGGTTTGATCATGGGTAGGCAAACTAAGGCCCAGGGGCCGGATCTGGCCCAATCGCCTTCTAAATCCGACCCACGGATAGTCCCGGAATCAGTGTGTTTTTACATGAGTAGAATGTGTCCTTTTACAGTGGTACCTCTGGATGCGAACGGGATCTATTCCGGAGCCCAGTTCGCATCCAGAAGCGAATGCAACTCACGTCTGCGTGCGTGGGTCGCGATTCACTGCTTCTGCACATGCGCATGACGTCATTTTGAGTGTCTGCGCATGCGCGAGCAGCGAAACCCAGAAGTAACGCGTTCCGTTACTTCCGGGTCGCCACGGACCGTAACCTGAAAACGCTCAACCTGAAGCATATTCACCCCGAGGTATGACTGTATTTAAAATGCATCTGGGTTATTTGTGGGGCATAAGAATTTGTTCATTCCCCCCCTTCAAAATACAGTCCGCCCCCCCCCGCAAGGTCTGAGGGACAGTGGACCAGCCCCCTGCTGAAAAAGTTGGCTGACCCCTGGGTTTGATCTTCTTGCAACCATGGGACTCTCAAGAGTCTCCTCCAGCACCATAATTCAAAAGCATCAGTTCTTTGGCGATCCTTCCAACCCTACGATTCTATTATTTCTCTTCCTCCCCACTTCCATGGGGAAATATCACCCCCTCCCCCCATCTGATATGCCACTTTTCATTCAAATGAATCGCAGAGCGGCTTACAAACAATAAAGAATAACAACACAATAGAACATCACAAACGCAGCATAAATAGTGTAGAACAATTAACATCATCAGTGAGACAATTGCAGCCTATAAAACACTGCTAACGACATCTTAAAAACAGGCTGAACGTCACAATTGAAGCAAAAGTCGTGTTATAAGATTAATGAATCAATGCAGCATATATGATCTGTAAAACAATTTTAACAGCAACAAAATACCAGCCCCAAAATAAGCTAAGCACTGTTCTGTCCATAAGGGATGTCTTCAGCAAACTGGCCCCCTTTTCTTTTTTCTCACACACTTGGGGGGCAGGGAAGAGCAACAAGCCTCTTTCTTCTCCTCCTCCCCTTAATGGGGAGACATCCTCTCCCCACCCCCATAAAGGGGTGTATTCAGCCTTTCCCTTCTTGCTCCCACGCAACGCCCCACTTACTAAGGGGACGGGAGGTGGCAGGAGAGTTCTCTGTCTTCAAGGGGGAGGCAGATTCCCCCACCTCGCACTTATTTCATAAATAATTGCTTTATAAACTGCTAAGGAGGACTGTTTCCTCTCTCGTCTTCTTCCCCAGCCAGGCTCATCAAAGGGCCAGTGTCCTGCATAGGCACCCACAATAATACAGACACACAAAAATAGGGAAGACATTGTCCTTCACCTGTCTGGTGCTGTCAGTGACATTAATGACATGAAGGGGCTTGGGGAAAGGTCGCGCGCTTGTTTTTCATTGCTGTTATTTTTGAAAGGTTTCACTTTATGCTGCTTTGGGGTGCCACCCAATGTTTTAGGAGCTAGGTGAATAATGGTTGTTGTTACTATGATGATGTTTGGATTCAGTTTCTGCTATCCTCACCTTGGACTCTGAATCGTGCATGCATTTTACAAGAGAGAGATAAGTGTGAGAGTGTGTGTTTGGACAAATGTTGGGATATGCGGGTTAAAGCTCCATACAGATTAACCCTTTGGGAATTTGAATTCTTCAAATCCTTTTCGGAAATCTTAGGACTCAGTGCTAGGATATATACTATAAGCTGGAATTGAAGAGTAAAAGGATAGTGTGTTTTGCAATGTGGTATTGTCCCACATCATACCCCTTTTATTATTTTGATTTTTCTTTCTTCATAGAATCATAGAATCTTTCAGTTGGAAGGCACGCAAGGGTCATCTAGACCAACCCCCTGCAATGCAGGAATCTCTGCTAAAGCATCCATGACAGATGGCCATCCAACCTCTGCTTAAAAACCTCCAAGGAAGGAGTCCATCACCTCTCGTAGGAGTCTGTTCCCCTGCCAAACAGCTCTTACTGTCAGAAAGCTTTTCCGAATGTTTAGTCAGAATCTCCTTTCTTGCAACTTGAAGCCATTGATTCGAGTCCTACCCTCCAGAGCAGGAGAAAACAAGCATGCTCCCTCCTCCATGTGACAGCCCCTGTGATATTTGAAGATGGCTATCCTATCTCCTCTCAGTCTCCTCTTTTCCAGGCAAAACGTACCCAGCTCCTTCAAGCGCCCCTCATAAGGCTTAGTTTCCAGGCCCTTGATCATCTTGGTTGCCCTCCTCTGCACACCTTCTAGCTTGTCAGCAGCCTTCTTAAATTGTGCTGTCCAGAACTGGACACCGTATTCCAAGTGCGGTCTGACTAAGGCAGAATAGAATGGTACTATTACTTCCCTTGATCTGGACACCATACTTTTGTTGATGCAGCCTAAAATAGCATTAGTTTGTTTTGTTTTTTTGCTTCATCACACTGTTGACTCATGTTAACCTTGAGGTCCACTAAGACCCCTAAATCCTTTTCACATGTACACACCACAAGACCTTGGTGTTACTGGTAGCCTTGAATTTTGCTCCACCATCTGCACGCCGGCGCTCAGGATGGTCTACCTCCTTGTGGAAATTTTCTCGGTGAATCAGCAGCAAGTTGTTGCTTGTGTTCTGCTGCAATTTAGTGTGGGTCTGACATTCTTCCCCACCTCCCTCCCCTTTCCCAACAAAATGGGTGTGTTGGCACAGGAGTTCCAAAGTGGTTAGCATTACTCCCTACTCCCGGCAGATTAGGGTTGCATAACATGCCCACATATGTTGTGGTCCTGCCTACATGTAGGAGGAAGCTAAACGCAGTAGGACTTGATTTCTGGGTAAGTGCATACATTTGATCCGGAAAGATATTTTCTAGCGGCATTACGAGATCTCAGGAGCCATGTAAAAGTAAACACAAGTCACATTGGGACTTCCTGTAAGCTTTTACTGCTTGATATGCTTCCTGTAAGCTTTTGCCGCTTGATATGCAGAAGCAGCTTCCGTATGATCATTTTGTAAAATAGGAAGTGGGTGCTGATTGGCTAGTGCATTGGCTGTCAAAATAGCTACTGAAGGAAAGTCCATGGAGTTCCAGACACCTAAAATTAAGCAAGAATGCTGTTGGGACTGTAAAGTTAATAACTATCCTGTGATGTAGTTAATGATTCCAGATTTGCAAATAGCTGTCTTCCTGCTGTGTCCGCTAGCAAGGAAACCTAAAGCTTTTAGGCTGTGTATCACTGACATAGTACGTCTGGGCAGTCTGGCTAGTTGTGAGAAATGTCGTGGACCTATTTACAGGGTGGTAAAGGTAAAGGTAAAGGTAGGGGACGCGGCTGGCGCTGTGGGTTAAACCACAGAGCCTAGGACTTGCCGATCAGAAGGTTGGCGGTTCGAATCCCCGCAACGGGGTGAGCTCCCGTTGCTCGGTCCCTGCTCCTGCCCACCTAGCAGTTCGAAAGCACGTCAAAGGTCAAGTAGATAAATAGGTACCGCTCCAGCGGGAAGGTAAATGGCATTTCCGTGCGCTGCTCTGGTTCGCCAGCATGTGGTCATGCTGGCCACATGGCCCAGAAGCTGTACGCCGGCTCCCTCGGCCAATAAAGTGAGATGAGCGCCGCAACCCCAGAGTCGGTCACAACTGGACCTAATGGTCAGGGGTCCCTTTACCTTTACTATCACTGACACAGTATGTCTGGGCAGGCTGGCTACTTGTGAGCAAGGAAATGTCATGGACCTATTTACAGGGTGGTAAAGGTAAAGATATCCCTCACTGTTAGGTCCAGTCGCGGACGACTCTGGGGTTGCTCGCTCATCTCGCTCTATAGGCCGAGGGAGCCAGCGTTTGTCCAAAGACAGCTTCCGGTTCATGTCACCAGCATGACTAAGCTGCTTCTGGCGAACCAGAGCAGCACACAGAAACGCCGTTTACCTTCCCGCCAGAGTGGTACCTATTTATCTACTTGCACTTCCCATTTTATACAGTGAGCAATTTGGATTAAGAGCAATCCAGTGGATCAGCTGAGACCTCAGTTTTGAACCCAGGTCCAAGGCTGTCCAATCAGTCTGTCCCTGCTGATATTAGTTGTGTCAACAGAATGTCTTCCGCCTCTTCCAGGCCATTCGGGAGTTGCAGCCTGGATTTGTTTCTGGTTTCAGCCACGTGCTGTGTAATCTGCATGGGCAGAGACGGCAGAGGAGATTGGCAGTTTCGCAATTAACCTTTGACACGAACCTGCAGCTCTAGCCTCCGACTTGAAATGGTTGTGTTGTATAAAGTCACTCAAAGGACCTGAACCTGCGCCTGTTTACTAGAGAAAGAAGTCCCACAGGGTTCAGTGAAACCTGCTCCCAACTGAAAAGCAGAAAAGAGTATTGTGGCACTTTGAATCAGTCCCTGAAGATCAAGAGTCAGCATTAAATCTCCTCCCATCTCCACCAGTATGGGGGTGGGAGGGAAACAGCTCTGTCTTGATCTTCAGGTATCGTTCAAGGGAGGAGAGGAAACACATTTCCTGTCCTCCCCATTGCAGCGCAGGGCTAGTAGGAAGGGGACTTCTGCCCCCAGCCGAGGGATGTGATGGAGAGGAAAGCCCCTGACAGTTTGCAAAGGTATATCACCTTCCTCTGGTGTGGTGCCATGCTAGACAGTCTTGGCATGCAGGAAATGGGAAGTTGCATTCCCGTATTTTTCACTCTATAAGACACACTTTTTCCCTCCTAAAAAGTAAGGGGAAATGTGTGTGCGTCTTATGGAGCGAATGCAGGCTGCGCAGCTATCGCTGAAGCCAGAACAGCAAGAGGGATCGCTGCGCAGCGATCCTTCTTCCTGTTCTGGCTTCTAGGATTCAGAATATTTTTTCCCCTTGTTTTCATCCTCCAAAAACTAGGTGCGTCTTATGGTCTGGTGCATCTTATAGAGCGAAAAATACGGTAATTTGCGATGCAGGAAGTGGTGTCTGATTTTGGGAGAGGGCTGGCAGACCACTGGGAATGGCTTCATGGGTCACAGGTTTTTTTTACCACCCTTGTTTTAAAAGACTAGCAGATTTTTAAAGTGTTCATGGGCTAGATCTCGCCGCATGAGATGCATTATCTTTGGCAGAGAGAATGCGAGAGATGTACACAGCGGGGGGAAATGTAAACAAAGGGGCCTAAAGCCTGTGAAGTGTAAGCGTAATAACAGTCTTATGAATAGGCTGCTGCTCTTATCTTGCACACATTTGAGTTTTGTGTAGAAATGTCACCGAGCTATTGTACAGCTTGCATTCCATGGTCTTTTACACTCACTGTTTACAATCTCCCTCTTCTCTCTGTGTGTATATATCTGCAGATTGAGAATGATGTAGGCTCTGGTCCACGAAGCTTACACCATGAATAAAACTTTGCATTTTTAAAGCGCCACGAGTTCCTCTTCTTAACAGCAGACTTAACAGTGTTCCCGCTCTGGAATTTGTCTTCCTGCCTCCAAGCATGGTCACATCTACACAGTGGGCAGGATTCACAAGGACTTTCCCGTGTGCAATGGGGCTTTCTCCCATCTCCTCCCTCTCTGTGCCCTTTGGAACCCCTGAAATGGGCTTAGGGGTGGTCAGGATTGCTCCATCTGACAAGCTGCAATGCTTGAGCAGATGGAAAGTTTGTAATAGCACAATGTGGAATTCCACCCCATACGTTTAAAGTGCAGGGCTTCCCCCCAATAATTCTGGGGATTGTAGCTTATGCCTCACAGGGGTATAATTCCCAGCCTCCTTAGCAAACTACAATTTCAAAGATTCTTTGGAGGAAGCTGTGTGCTTCAAATGTATGTTGTGGAATGTGACCTAAGTGTTCCCAAGATTACAGCCCAAATTTAGGAAACCTTGCAGCTTCAGATTTCAGTTCATACCTTCCGGGCACTCACAGCAGCCAAGATTTTCTAAAGGCTGTTGCCATTCAATTAACGATTTGAACACATAAAATATGGGGTTCATCATCCCCATAACTTAAGCTCCTTTTCTGTGCCGGTGAAATGTCTTTGGGTTTCATTGCTAATTAAAACAAGATGCACTATTGCAATATTCCGTTGCCTTAATTGAAACCTCCCTCTTGAAAACATTATGGCTTCATGTTTGCAAAGTAAGCCATTTTATTCCCTTGAAGAGCCTGATATGCAACATGTTTTCATTAGTATTTTGCAAGTTCAGATTCCTTTGAAAATTCGGATTCCCAAATTCTTACATTGGACAAACTTCCATATATGAAGTTGCAAATAACCTGTATTTTGATCAGAACAGATGCACACACATTGTATTTTAAGAGATGTGTATTGATCTGCATGTTATGTGCCATTTTTTAAATTTTGTTGCATGTAGAGTAACCTGCTTTGTGTTAGAATGCCACAAGATATGTTTATGGCCATTAGCTTGGCATATTTATTACATTTAAAACAAAGTGCCTTAGTTTGTACAAGCAAAATTGCAAATAGACCCAGTTGTAGTCCACTTCCTTCTTAAAAGCTCAGTTTTCACCCAGACTTTCAGATCTTTCCCCAGGAGTGTTGGCACCCACAACAGGTTCTTTGCCATTTCTGCCACACCTTCCTCTGACCTTTCGAATCCTCCAGTGAGGCAATAAGTTGCCTGTTTCCAAATCGGTAAGCAGGTGTCTGTGTCACAGACATTTGAGGGGAAAGGTTGATAACAAGGGAGAGGACAAGTCTAAAAAGGCAGCAGAATTGGCATACTTCTAGTTTCTCCAAATAGACCAAAGGTCGCCAAAAGAAGGAAAGCAGCAATACACAAGCAATAAAGGACCTGAATGTCCCTCTTTGGTTGATGGCAGCATCCTGAAGGTAGCACATCATCTGCAGGGGCCCACATAGGCTATCCCTGCTGCAAGTGCAGAAATGCATTTTAGGATTTATTCCTTTGTGTGTCGTGTATATCCTTTTAGGCTTACCACTGGTGTTTCATGTGCGGGCTTGGGTGTGGGGGTTCCACAATGAATGTTGATTCTCTACAGGTAGAGATGCTTTCGTTCTCCCCAGGGCTGTTGCAGGATGCGTTGATTGAAGGCATGCATTTGTGACGGCTATTCGCGAAAGGATTTGAGTGCAGGGCAGAGCACCTGCCTACATTCAGAGTCCTTAAACCTCATAGGCAAGGAGGCTAAGCACAATTCCAATAGAAATAGACCACTGTGGAGCACAGCTGCTTGATTCCTTTGTCACGTTTGCATAAGCCTCTAGCTTTGCACAACCATATGCAGAGCGAAGCTTTAGGAGTCATGGGGCAAAAGGAGTATGCCCAGATAACAGCAAGGCAGAGCATATCGGTAACATGCCCCACCGGGTGACTAAAGACAATTTCTGTTCCAAATTCATACCTAAATCCCACTTGGAATGGATAAAGGAAACCATCTTCACCCAAGACCACCCGGAACTGACCAACAACCACTTTTTCAAGCACTTTGCCTCGGAAGGGGATGTTTGCCACAGGCTTGCTGTTTTCAGAAGTGGCCTTGTTACAGCTTCCTTTAAAAGAGCTGGAACCTCTTCCTCTCTTAAGGAGGCATTTTCTACCCAGCAGACATCCTCTCCCTGCCTCACAGCAGCTCATGCACATTCAGCTGAGACGTATTCATCCCCAAACAACTGTTAGGTAATGCCTTTATTAGGACAGACTAATGAAACTTTATGAATTGGTCCTAATAAAGATGTTGCCATTCTGCTTCTGTTGAATGTCCATCCCTACCAACATTGGTTCAGCACAGCTGAACCGCAGTCTTTGTTCAATATGAACTGTCTATTGAGATTCAACATTTTTCATGTGTCAAAAACCAGAGCAGAGGGTCAGTGTGTGGGGTTGTTGTTTTATAAGTCTAGTGTTTTAGTGATGCCTGAACCTGGGTCCAAAGAGCATAATTATTTGGAAGGAGCACACTATTTGGAAGGAGTGTGGGATGAGGGATTATTTTTTAGCATAAAACCGTCCCGTGTGCTAACATTGAACTTGTGCATTTTAGATCTGCAGATGTGGGAGTTAGTCAGCTGACACGGCCCGGGCAGCCCACCCTCACCCGCGTGCCCCCTCCCATTGTGCCAAGGCCATCTCAACAGACTGGGAGCACGGCCCTGAGCTCTTTCAGGCCTTCGTACAGCAGCCCCTTCAGCTCAGGCTACGGCACGTACGGGAACTCCTTCTACGGAAGCTACAGCCCTTACAGCTACGGATATGGCGGCATGGGCTACAACCGGTTTCGGATGGACGACGTTCCCGCCAGCCGGTTTGTGCAGCAGGCTGAGGAGAGCAGCCGCGGCGCGTTCCAGTCCATCGAAAGCATCGTGCACGCCTTCGCCTCGGTCAGCATGATGATGGACGCTACCTTTTCGGCGGTCTACAACAGCTTCCGAGCCGTCTTGGATGTAGCCAACCACTTCTCCCGGCTCAAGATCCACTTCACCAAGGTGTTTTCGGCTTTTGCCTTGGTCAGAACTATACGGTACCTTTACAGGCGGCTGCAGCGGTTGCTGGGTCTGAGAAAGAATTCTGAAAACGATGATTTGTGGGCAGAAAGCGAAGGGACTGTGGCCTGTGCTGGCCCCGAGGAAAGGGCGGCCAACTCTGCAAAATCCTGGCCCATTTTCCTATTCTTTGCCGTTGTTCTCGGGGGTCCCTACCTCATTTGGAAGCTGCTGTCCACCTACACTGAGGACGAAACAGGTAAAGGAGTTGTTTGGGTTGTGGGGATCCAAGCACTTTTACAAATATTTCCCGGTCTATGCTGCTGGGCTGTGGGTAAAGCGAGCAAGTGGCAACACAGAATCAGGTTTCAATGAATGACTATGAAGGCAACCTGAAGGTGGTACCTCTGGTTGCAAACGGGATCCGTTCCGGAGGTCTGGCCGTATCCCGAAGTTTTCGCAACTGGAGAGACTGCTTCTGTGCATGCGCGCACGGCGGTAGGCCGCTTCTGTGCATGCGCGAGCGGCGAAACACTTCCGGGTTTGCCGCTTTCGCAACCCGAAGTTTATGTTACCAGAGGGTAACGTAACCTGAGGTTCCACTGTATAACAATATGGACTTCAAACCGGTTTTGGACGATATACAGTATTGATTTATCCCTCGGCCCTAGTGTACATGACAGTGTTACCAGCAAGTCCACAGTACAGTGGTACCTTGGGTTACATACGCTTCAGGTTACAGACTCCGCTAACCCAGAAATAGTACCTCAGGTTAAGAACTTAGCTTCAGGATAAGAACAGAAATCATGCTCCGGCAGCGCAGCGGCAGCAGGAGGCCCCATTAGCTAAAGTGGTGCTTCAGGTTAAGAACAGTTTCAGGTTAAGAACGGACCTCCAGAACTAATTAAGTACTTAACCCGAGGTACCACTGTAGTTACTAGCAGCCTTCCAGATGGGTCCACAAAAGTTAGTGGCTTGCCTGGCTACAGACCTTTGCGGCCCAGTAAAGAATTTTCTCTCTTGCTGATCTGTCTCTTCACCTGGGATACTCCTTTGCCACAGGAGACCAGGCAAGCAGCAAGTTAAGAGCCAACCAAGTTTCAAACACCCCCTTCTGCCCTCTTCAGCCTGGATTTTACCCTCCCCTCCCTTTTCTGCCTTATCCATAGGTCAGTGTTGTGTTTGCAGTGAGGCGAACCGGCATTTGGCAACCTGCTTCATGTCGGAAACCCTGGTTTAGCATACATTCACTTAATTTTAAAACATCTAAGCTGCTTCATATTTCAGCATCTCTTTAAGCAGTGTTCAAATATACAGCAGGGGAAAAACGAAGCAGCATAAGAAAAACAGAGATACAACCTAACAACCAGTATTATAAAAGCATGCTAATAATAATAATAATAATCAGGAATTCAGTAATAACATGGTCTGATCTTCATGTTGTGTGGGAGAAGGGGATTTTTTGTGTAATTGTAGGTAGGATTAAGGGACGCGGGTGGCGCTGTGGGTTAAAGCCTCAGCGCCTAGGACTTGCCAATCGAAAGGTCGGCGGTTTGAATCCCCATGGCGGGGTGCGCTCCCGTCACGCGGTCCCAGCGCCTGCCAACCTAGCAGTTCGAAAGCACCTTCGGGTGCAAGTAGATAAATAGGGACCGCTTACCAGCGGGAAGGTAAACAGCGTTCCGTGTGCTGCGTTGGCTCGCCAGAAGCAGCTTGCCACGCTGGCCACGTGACCCGGAAGTGTCTGAGGACAGCGCTGGCTCCCGGCCTATAGAGTGAGATGAGCGCACAACCCTAGAGTCTGTCAAGACTGGCCCGTACGGGCAGGGGTGCCTTTACCTTTAGGTAGGATTAATAATGGTTAATGTGGGAGGCAGATGGGGAAAATGATAGCAAGCTGAGGTTCTGAAGGCGTCTGACACATATATTACTGCAGAGCTCTACAGCCTTGGACAGTAGCCAAAAGGGAAGTGAAATAACAATAAAATAAAGAGAAATAGGGCCTTTTGCTGCAAACCAAATGGCAGGCACGTTAAGTGTTAAGCTCGTCTTTTACCTGGTGCTTAGATGCTCTTTACACCCCACCCCAAGGGTAGAATTGATTTGTCTCAGAACAGGAATGCACTATAACATGACAGGCCTCTCTGGTTTTCTGCAGTGAGTGTGAGTTAACCATATGCTCTTACCACCACCCTGAAACAAAAGCTCTGCCCCTTCCAACCAGCCATGCAAACAGTGTTCATCAACAAATATTCTCCATCAACAATCCTGCCTATTGCAAACACTAACTGCAATTTATTTTAAAAGCAACACTTTATTTAGGCTTTGTATTCTTGCTTGCTTTTGTGTTTGTCTTGTTTAAAGTTTGAAATAAGCTGTCTACAGCCAGCAATATGCTTGAGTTGATAGAAACCAAAAACATTTGATGTCACCCTCTCTTAATACCCATGGCATTTCTCGTAATTTAGGAAGGCACCGTTTTCAACCTGATCTCATAACAGGAGATGTCATTGCATTGCACTTTGCTCAGCGATGGCAAAGACTGGACTGGGAATTTGTAGTTCAGCTGTCAGCTACTTTCATGGCTGAACAGAGAATCTAACCTCAGGTCTCGCATGTCCCACTCTGTTCCAAGGCCACAGCGCTATGCTTGGTATTATATGCGGGTCCTGCCAAGAGATTCTAAAGGAGGGTGAGAAGAGCAGGTTTAGATACTGTGCTTCCCTAATTTCAGCTTCGAGGTGGGAGGTAGGAACAAATCTTGCTTTTATGTACCAGTATAATGAAAAGGGAATTTAGAACACGTTCCAATACCTAGTGAATGTTCAGTGTTCACCCTGGAATTTGAAATGCTTTGCTGGAAAAAGGCTTTGAAGGCGTAAAACACTTAAGTATAACACATACGTATCATGGGCTGACTTGAACCGATCAAGTTAAGCACTTTAATTTGTGTGCACCCTGGCCTTCTGCTAAGGGGTTCAGTCAGGTTTGGAAATCACTTCTTGGTTGGTTGCCTCTGGCAAATTGAGATTGTCTCCAAACAACCACTTACAAAAAATTCTCTCTTTCTTTGTAGCTCACAAATGACATACATCAGTTGTGTGTGTACATTTGAGCTTTCCTGTTAGCTTTTGAACTTATTTATGAGTCTGAGAGGTTTCAGCCTTGGCACAACAACTAAGGGACTTGAATTAGGGCAGCCTGAAAGTTGATAGCTTGGCTCATGAGCTGTGTAGCAGAGTACGGAATTGAACTGGGTTTCCTGTACCCCTTGCACCATACTGACTCTCAAAGATTGTTTTCTAAGAGACTGTACTGATCCAGCAGAGTTATGTTGACTTATTTATCCCTTGTTCTGTGGAACAGTTTCCAGCAATTGGGCAAGTGGAGAGGACGATCATGTTGTTGGGAGAGCAGAATATGATTTCAATGCTGTTTCAGAAGAAGAAATATCTTTCCGTGCTGGTGAAATGCTAAAATTGGCACCCAAAGGTAAGATGGTTTTGATTCATTGTGATTTCCCACCCCCAGATATGCCAGTGCAGTATCTAGGAAAACAGAAGAACATTTACGCTCTTGACGTAACTGTATGTTAAGGGACAGTTTGAGAACTTTAGGGGCAATTTGTTTGTCTAACAGGAAGCAGTGGCATTTCTTGCAGATGGTTACTTGTTCCATAGAAATACCTACATCTGCAGTCTTTAGATTTGTTGTATAACTTGTGTCAATGTACTCAAACTAGAGGTATGCAACTAGAGTTGACTGGTTTAATATATTGTATGAAGTTTCTGAAAGCTAGGCTTCACTGTTTCTGTTAATGACATTTGCTAGTTCTTTTTGAAATCTTGACATTTCAGAGTCATTGATTTGGTCATTGAACTGTTTTATTAATCATTACGTCTCAAGTGTGCTCTTCAGATTGGTTTTCACTCAAGTCTCAAGGTTTGAGAAGGTCACACAAAATCTAAACGAACTGGTCTTTGCAGAATTCTCCAAATACTTTCAACAACTCAGTTATCTGTTCATGGGCTCCTCTGCTAACCACTCACGTCTGTCTTTCTTTTTCTTGCCAGAACGACAACCCAAAATACGTGGCTGGCTCTTGGCCAGCCGTGATGGCCAGACTACAGGACTTGTTCCAGCTAATTATGTCCGAATACTCGGCAAAAGGAAAGGAAAGCGAGCCGTAGAGCTGGAGAAGGTTACTGAGCATGAGCCGGCACTCAGCAACGCCACTTTGATCCCAGGAGCCACAGCTTCCGACACCCTGGAAGAGCAAGAAGCTGCCTTTGAGTCTGTTTTTGTAGAAAGTAATAAAGTCCCTGTCACATCCAGCTCTGCTGTGCTTGGTGGAGACAAACAGGACCTTTGATGCATTTATCAGAGTAAGCCTGTGGTGGTCACAGTAATTCTGTAGGGTAGGCATTCAGTAGTGATGTAGCGGAACACTGTTGTTGACGGTATCCAGGTACTTGCTGTTCACACCTGGTAGAGTCATTGGGAGGGATGTTTTCAGTCTAAGCCTGTGCTTGGTTCTTTTGGCATTGAACAGTTGTGTTAAGCAGGCTAGCATCCATTTCATTATCTCAGGCGCGGGTGAGTTTTGGAGTGCAGGAGACTTGGCACCTTGTCCTGTTCAACGGAAGGAGCTGGGCTGAGAGGTTCCTCAGGCAGCTATCTGCTTTGAAGTCCTCCTCAAGGACTGAATACAGCGTCATTGTGGCCGGTTCCAAGAAAGAACATGTTTTAACCAAGTCTTCATGCGTAGTGCAAGATTGGTTTTCTTTCCCTCCTTACACCCAGTTTTTGTGAGATGAAGAATCTCTGGCTCATGGGGATATCAGGAAACCTTTTGGGGGGAGGTGAATTAATATTTCCATAAGTTAGTAGTTCCGTATGGAAGGCACTTTAGAACTGACAGCAAGCCTAGTTAATTGTAGTTCCAAGATGTGAGGCGACATGTGCTTGGTCCTCTTTTCATAGATAAGCTTTCTACTCTGAGCTTTGAAAGTGGCTCCTTTGTGCTGCCTTAGACCCCTGTGCTTGAAGCTTCATTCATTCTTCATGTCATTCTTTGCCCGGACTAGTAGGCGATTGCTCTTTAACTAGAAATACTGCATTACTTTTTCTTCCAGTTCAGGTTTGCGACATCTGTGGCTCTGCTTTTTTCCTGTCAACTGCAAGCTGATCTATCAAGAATACCTCATTGAGGCTCAAACTGCACGTGACAGCAGATCTGTATGTTTTAAATCCAAATCTGCCACTATTACATGCAGTCTCAGCTTCAGTGTTTAGTAAATGTAATATATAAATCTGATCTTCTCATCCCTTACAATTGCAGGTATGAGCTGATAGTCATCCTTTGACATCGCTCTACTAAGGATGCTAAACTTTGCTCCTATAAAGGTTGAGGTGTTACTTTACAAAGCTGGACTGACATGAAAATGAAACTTGTTTTCTGAAATCATGTTTGCTACTGTATTGATGCCACACTATTCTGAATAGTGAGATAAAAATCCAGGTTGATTCTGGGAAGATGTGATAATTGATAAAACTAATTTCATGCTGCAGTTTCTTAAAGTGGTAAACCAGAGCTCTACAATTTATGTAGCAGCTATGAACTTCCAGTGTGACACAACTCATATTCATCTTTGTAGACTGTTTTAAAATAAAATACTGAGTCTGACACAAGTGCATCTTGGATTCTGTCAATCTTAAATCACAATCCTTCTATGGAGTACCTGAAGCCATTAACTCACATGGTCCTCTGGTAACCATGTGATGTTATAGCTGCTCTGGGTTAGGGAAAATCAGGATGAGATTTCTGGATGGACCAACTGCATTTTTGTTATTTTACTTTAATTTAAAAAGAAAAAAAAACCTTACATCCTGCCAGTTTTCAAAAAGGAATCCAAGGTGGCTTACAGCCACAAAAACAACAAGCAATATAAAAATGAAAACCACAAGATACATTAAATTGCCATCATCATAAAACAGCAATTAGCACAGGAAGCAAAAAATCCCTGTATGTAACAACCCATAAACAAGATTAGGTAAATAGAGACACCACTTGTGCACCCCATACAAGACAGATTACACAACATAGAAATCCAAGGGCACTTCAGATTCTTCTCTGGTTGAGTGCAAATACGGCATCTCTCAAGATCCTGCCTCATAGCTCCTAGGAGTGGCCATCCTGGGAAATAAGCCTTGGAAGAAGCAGACACACCTGACCCAAGTTGCTCGCATGACTATGGACTGATCTCTTTCGATTTGCAGTCTCTCTGCACAGAAAAAGAAGGGAAAAAATGGGGCGGCTGAAATGTACTAGGAAAGTTATCTTCACATGTAAAACTTCAAGATTTTAACTAAATATTTGCTTCCCTCCCCTCCCCTCAAAAAACCCCAAGCCTATTGAAAAATAAAAGTGGCTAGGGTTGGTAGTGGGAAAATGTTCCACATTTTCATTAGACTTACACTTTGTGAGATCTAAATGTTACAGATTATTTTTTTCAGATGATACTGTAGTAAAATCAGCAGGTTGAAAAGTGTTTTGCTTAAAAAGGATTCATTATTGATTTACTAAATTTCCAGACAGGTCCTAAATGTATTCACTTAGAAGGAGGTCCTACTGAATTTGATGGGGCTTGTCCTAGGACAGGGGTGTCAAACTCAAATTCATCGGGGGCCGCATCAGCAGTTTGGTCACCCTCAAAGGGCCGGTTGTATATTTATGTTTGTGTACAAAAAAACACACACACCCCACACTCTTCCCCACCGGGCGACCCACCGCTCACCTTAGCTGCCATTGAAAACAACGCCGCCGCAAGCGCCCTGTCACGTCATCACCACGCGCCGCCGGCCACGCTCGCGTCCTTCCCCCCCCCCACCACAGAGCGGAGGCTTCCGCTGGCCTAGAGCGGACCGGAAGGGCAGGCGGGGCGGGGGCGTCGCCATGGCGGCCGAGGGCCGAGCCGGCCAGCCGGCAGCGCTGACAGGGACCGAGATGCATGCGCTGAAGAGGCGGGAATAAAAAAAAAAGCGAGAATAAAAGGTGAAGGCTGGCGGCGTCTACACGGGCCACATGATGAGGTCTGGCGGGCTGGATTCGGCCCGCGGGCCTTGTGTTTGACACCCGTGTCCTAGGAAGTACCCTTGGATTGCAGTCTTTACTTTATACTTGCTTGAACTATACTTAACAAACTGTCATATCTATGCCTATTGAACTTCAGTAGATAAGTATGTATAGCGGACCTTGACTCTGACACTTTGACTCTGCTTGTTTTATTGGCGCCAGAATGAAAATTGATGTAAACAACCTACTGTAGATATACTAAAGGTTTTATCATGCGGTTGGATTAACCTTGATGAATCTATTAAATGCCGTTGAAACTTGATTGCAGCACTGATTTTTTTTTAATTCACACTGAAATCACAATACAATTGAGTGAAACTGGGGCTATGGGAACATTTCAGGTAGAAAAGTGGCTTTTGATGTTTCCCTTCTGCTCTGTAATCTTATAAATTGAGGAAATGACTGTATGGGTGGGTGGGCTTCTTGGGGGGATTTTATTTTAATCACACCTGTGGAACAGATAAGGGAATGTGTCCTGTTGTGTGTGGGGCATCAGAATGCAGCTATATTGAGAAATAGCAGGAAAGGTGTACAAAGGTGATGGTGGTTTTGGAGTCGCAGAGTACAAAGGCCACTTAAGATTAAGCTGCTCTCGACTCTGAAGTTAATAATGCAACTTGAGGGAATCACAAAATGCTGTTTTATACATGCTTAATAAAACACAAATTCCAAGATGGATTTTTTGCTTTTTGGTAAAAAATATATTGTTTTATCAGTTCCATAAATGCATAGGAGAAACCTAGCCAAACAACACACAAATTGCTGCTGCATAACAAGGTACAGAACATACAAATGTTTTATGGAAGGTTGTTTTTTTAAATAATGTTCCAGTAGATGCCAAAGCACGTTTTCCTTCTCTCACCTTTTTTGCATTGAGTTCTTTTTCAAGTTTTGTTTTGAGAATGTGTGATTTCTCCATGAATTTATTTATTTCTCTCCTGAGTTCATCTGTCTGTTGTTGACGTTCCCTGCAAGAAGGAAAACAAATTCCATGAGGCAGTTTCATTACAGTTAGGACAAGTCATTTATTGTTGTAATAGAGTTATTTATTAAGAAAAGCCCTTCTTGACCAAAGATCCACCTAGCCCAGCATCCTTTTTTTCTACAGTAACCAAGCAGATAATAGAATCATACCCTCCGGAGCGGGAGAAAACAAGCTTGCTCCATCCTCTATGTGATACCCATTAGATCAGGGTTTCCCAAACTTGGGTCTCCAGCTGCTTTAAATAAGTGAAGATGGCTATATCTCCTCTCAGTCTCCTCTTATGAAGAAGAACCTTAATTTTACGATTCATGAAGAGCCTCCCTATGTAACAGCTGATGTGTGATCTTATGATACTTTGAACCGTATATAGTTTTGATTCTACCATATAAATAGTCTGCAGGTTTGAGGTTCCATAAGCAGTAAATCCATTACTATTTCGCAGTCTCATGCCCCATATTATAAATGAATGAGCAGTAAACTTAACCTGCTGCCCTGCACAGAAAGAAGCTGCTTGAATAATCCATTGATTTCAATGGGATTAAAGACAGTCTGTTAGTATGGATGGCAGCCTTAGTTAAAAGTTACATCTTCAAGATTAGAATCATTTGAGGAGATCCTGCTTTCAGACATTTGAACACCGTACCGGGATTTTTCTTGGAAGGTACCAGAAATATATTGCTTTATCTTGAGAATATTTTCTTCTCTGCGCCTTATATCAGCCTCACTCTGCTTTTTCATTTCGAGCACCAGCTCCGCATGCTACAAAAGGAAGCGACATCACAGTGTGATTACTAAAGACTGAGGGATTACTAAATACTGAGGGATAAGTTTAGTGTGAAAAATGTTTACTTTCCAGATAAGGTTTTAATATGCATTAGAATTAAATAACAGTAACCTAAATAAAGCAAGAGCAACAAATTATGCCTGTTTTCCTTTGTGACAAACCTGTGTTTCTTGCTCCTGAATTATTTTTCTGTAACGTGCTACAGTTTCATCAAGCAACTGGCTCTGCTCCTTGACTAAATGTTCTGATTCTTCCAGCCGCCTTTCAGTCTCCTTCTGGTGTTCTTTTTCTAATTCTATTGCTGTTCTATACTCAGTAGCCTGTTAAAATAATAATAGTAATAATAATAATATTCAACCCAATTATACTATAATCCTATATTTGCTTATTCAGAAGGAAGTCCTTCAAATCCTTCCTCAAAACAACGTCCTAGTTTCATTCCTGCTTCCTAGTTTCATTCCTAATCCTAGGTACAATAATAGAATCATAGAGTTGGAAGGTACCTGAGGGTCATCTAGTCCAACCCCCTGCAATGCAGGAATCTCAACTAAAGTGGCCAATAAATACATATTGTTATAGGTTGTGGAGGGTGAGGAGCCTCGTGATTCTCCACCTGTGAAGTTAGAATCTACATTATGAAACCTGGTGTACCGGTCAAACAAGTTCCTTGGGTGGCTTCACCAGTGTCTTAAAGAGTTCTAAGAAGAGAGGTTTTGCAATAGTGGCAACTGCTGATGCTTCCAGGAGGGGAGAAGGCACCTGGGTAAATGCCCGAAGGAGAACAAAAAGCCAAGATGGTTAGTTTTTTGATTTGGCTGTGTTGAACCCAAAGCTAAGCCCCCTTGCAGGTCATCTCTAGGAAGTTAGTGAAGAGGAAAGATCTATTAGAGTGTTAATGCTGTGGTCCCTTCCGTCCTATGCTCAGGTTGTATACAGGTAAAAGTAAAGGGACCCCTGATAATTAGGTCCAGTCGCGGACGACTCGGGTTGTGGCGCTCATCTTACTTTACTGGCCGAGAGAGCTGGTGTACAGCTTCCAGGTGATGTGGCCAGCATGACTAAGCCGCTTTTGGCGAACCAGAGCAGCTCACGGAAACGCCGTTTACCTTCCCACAGTACCTATTTATCTACTTGCACTTTGACGTGCTTTCGAACTGCTAGGTTGGCAGGAGAAGGGATCGAGCAACGGGAGCTCACCCCGTCACGGGGATTCTAACCGCCGACCTTCTGATCGGCAAGCCGTAGGCTCTGTGGTTTAACCCACAGCATATATAGTTGTATATAGAAGTCTACAAAACCATATATCCTAAAGGCACCACAGTCTTCATTGACTTTTGTTCCAAGGAAACGGAACCCTGGGTCCCCCAGGAGTCTCTCACTGCTCAGAGAGTAGGATGCATGCAACAATATTCTTTTCCTGCAGGCTCTGGCTTGCACATGGATCTCCTTTACCTGAAAAAGCTGCTGTAGAAAAGTAAATGCAATGAAAACTCCTTTGCACACACAGATTTGTTCTCCTGAAGCAAATGGAGTAGTCTGTGTTAGGGCTATGCACAGATCCCTGCCCCCGCCCACACACTAACCTGGGTACCACCTGCCCTGCCCCGGATTCAGCCCCGAATCAATTCAAGGGTGGGGTTAATGGTTTAGTTAGTGTTTCCTTCCCCCCACCTCACCCCAAGAGCAGGAGGGTGCAATCCTGCAGAGTGTTGCTTACAGGTGCCTTCTCTGCACACAAGGGGCTCTAGAACACAACACGTTTTTAATTACAGTGGTACCTCGGGTTAAGAACTTAATTCATTCTGGAGGTCTGTTCTTAATCTGAAACTGTTCTTAACCTGAAACACCACTTTAGCTAATGGGGCCTCCCATTGCCGCCGCACAATTTCTGTTCTTATCCTGAAGCAAAGTTCTTAACCCGAGGTACTATTTCTGGGTTAGCGGAGTCTGTAACCTGAAGCGTATGTAACCCAAGGTACCACTGTACAGCATTTCCACATTTATCAAACGAGGTTCCATATTTTCAACAAAATCATTATTGGAAGCTAAGTCTTCACTCCACATCTAAAGATCAACAGAGTAGAGTCTAGGCAGTACTTGTCATTGAGGACGTCCTTCCTATTAACAGCCCAGTTCTATGCATGTCTACACAATTAAGTCCAAACAACTTCAAATGGAAATTACTCCTAGGGAAGTGTGCACAGCATTTCAGAGTATGAAATCTGAGAACCCAAGATGTTTTAGATGTACAGCAAAACTGCAACATGTGAATGTTACAAACAAGTATTTGAAAATACATTATTTAGATATAATCCTCAGATTTGCTGTGTCTTCTCAAGGAAAAGTGGATTATTGAGCCTCTGGTGAACTGCCTGCCATACATGATGGTTAGGCTAAATTTGGCTTGACGGGGTCACATGTTGTACGGGTTTGATTTAACGCTTCAGTGTCTCATAAATCAGTGAATCTGAATTTACAATACCTGGTCTTTTATTATTTTAGTTAATCTTGATATTGATGTCTCCTTTTCTTTTAGAATACCTTTGAGCTGCAGGTGTTTCTTTTGCAGAGCTTTAAACTTTTCCAGAGAATTGTTCTCTTCGCCTAAGGATGCCTGTTTGATAATAAAGATGCTTGTTGAATTATGGTTAATACAAATGCAAAATGAACTAGAAATTGTTTTCATGCCCCCTAGTGGTTACAACTAAATTAAGAGCACAAATGTGGTTGCATGGCAGATTTGTATAACAGCATTATGAAATTGGCAGTTTTATTTTCAGTTTCTTTCCTAGTGATCTCTAGCATGAAATTTGGCCTTTTCATGGTTGCTGCACACTTCGTTTACAGTTTTAATCGAGCTATCTACTATGACCCCAAGGTATAGTGCATGCGCATGAAATTAAAGATTTTTTTGCTCCAACCTGCATCACTTTACACTTGTTTACACTGAATTGCATCTGCCATTTTATTGCCCATTCTTTCAGTTTGGAGAGATCTTTTCGGAGCTCTTCGTAATCTCTTTTTGTTTTAACAACCACGAACACGAATTTACGGTCATCAGCAAACCTGGCCACATCACTGCTCATTCATTACATCATTTATGAACAAGTTAAAAAGCACAGGTCCCAGTACAGATCCTTGGGGGATTCCACTTTCTATTTCTCTCCATTTGGAGAAATGTCCATTTATTCCTACTCTTTGCTTCCTGCAACTTAAACGATTCCTGATCCACAACAGGACCTCTCCTTTTACTCCTTGACTGCTAAGCTTACTTAGGAGCTTTTGGTGAGCTACTTTGTCAAAGGCTTTTTGAAAGTCCAAGTACACTGTGTCAACCAGATCACCTCTATCTAAATGCTTGTTGTCACTCTCAAAGAATTCTAATAGGTTTGTGAGACAGAACTTTTCCTTGCAGAAGCCATACTAGCTCTGCTTCAGTAAGGCTTGTTCTTCTATGTGCTTGTTTATTTTATCTTTAACAATACTTTCCACTAGTTTTCTGGCGACAGACATTCAGCTAACTGGCTTGTAATTTCCAGGATTCTCCCAGATCCTTTCTTAAGAATTGGTGTTACATTGGCCACTTTCCAGTTCTCTGGTATGGAGGCTGATCCAAGGGGTAATTTACATATTTTTGTTAGATCAGCAATTTCACATTTTAGTTACTTGAGAATTCTCAGGTGGATGCCGTCCATACCTGGTGATTTGTAGGTTTTTATTCTGTCTATTGTTTTGGCTGGAACTTCATCTTTTGTCATCTCTGTTCTGTAACAATCCCTTCCTCTGTTCTCTGAAATCATGACTTTGTTCATTCATTTTTTATCAAACAGCCAGATAATGTAATTTCCATATAGCTATCTTCTGATGTTTGCTGTGCACTCTTTCCGTGTTTCCCAGACATGATTTGTGGCAATTATGCTGGTAGCAAAATGTAATTGCAGCTTCAGCTAACCCAGGGTGGACACAAGAAAAGCACTGCTAAGGCTTTTCAGGGCTTCTATGCCCTTAAACACCTCCTTTCTTTAGATTCAATCTATTTTATTGCTCCCTGTTGATTATAGCCTGTGTTTGGTCATCTTGACATTACTGGCTTCCATTTTTAAATTCTACGTATACCACCAAACATGCACAATGTCACCTCTTGCTGTTGTTTTTTATGTGCCAGAATATTCTAATAAAGAACAGTCACTATTTCAAAATATATCACCCTGTGTTGATTTCAGCTTTAATCTATTCTATCTCATCTGTTCTTGTGAATTATACAGTGGTACCTCGGGTTAAGAACTTAATTCGTTCTGGAGGTCCGTTCTTAACCTGACACTGTTCTCAACCTGAAGCACCACTTTAGCTAATGAGGCCTCCCGCTGCCGCTGCACCACCGGAGCATGATTTCTGTTCTCATCCTGAAGCAAAGTTCTTAACCCGAGGTACTATTTCTGGGTTAGCGGAGTCTGTAACCTGAAGCGTCTGTAACCTGAAGCATATGTAACCCGAGGTACCACTGTATAGGGGACCTATAGGGGTGAGTTAATGTTGTTGTTGTTATTGTGTTCTAAGTGGAAAAGGGAAATCTCGCATGCACTTTTTGTCTTACCATAGGGTCACTCCCAACTTTCCTGCTTCTTGTTTCTTGATTTCCAGTTGCCGCACCAACTGTGCCAGGTGTAACTCTTGGTTTGATAGCCCTGTCTGTAAGAAGTGATCCAGGACTGCATTGTCTGAATGGTTCGTGGTCTTTAAAGGCACGTCCTCTAACTTTCAAAGCTTGGGATTTCATATGGGTCATTTTCTCTGGTGTCTGCTCTCAGGTTGGCTTACCTATATGTAGAAAGGTAAACAGATGCTGAAAGGTGCAGTATAAATGGATAAAACAAATACATTCACAACATTCTGTCGGTTACACTGTAGTGTGCACAGATGGAGAATCTGTGGCCCTCCAGATGTTATTGGATTCCAACTCTGATCAGCCTGAGGGATGATGGGATCTGTTCTCTGGTGGGCCAAAGGGTCCCCATCCCTGCTCTAGGATGACCAAAAAACAGAAGCTACCTACTGTCAACTATGTCGCTTGCTTTTTGAGGGGCTGTAGAGGGTAGGGAGAAGCAACATTAGTTAGTAAGGAAAATGTAATACAGTCATACCTCGGGTTACAGACGCTTTAGGTTGCGTTTTTTCGGGTTACGGACCGCCGAAAGCCAGAAGTACTGGAACGGGTTACTTCCGGGTTTCGGCGGTCGTGCATGTGCAGAAGTGCTAAATTGAGCTTTGTGCATGCGCAGAAGCGCCAAATTGCAACCTGCGTGTGTGCAGACGCAACACTGCGGGTTGCGGACGTGCATCCCGCACGGATCACGTTTGCAACCCGAGCGTCCACAGTAAATAAATAAATATTATGTATAATATATATATTATTTATATATTATATCTGATTAGATTTTATATATATATATAATGAAATCATACATATAATTATATGAAATAACTTGACGTCAACAGACGGAGGTTGTCCTGCGAGTGACGTCACGTCGCAGATAAGGTGGGCCCGGGTGACGTCACGACCAAGCAGACGTGGGGGGTTTCGCGGGAGAGCCCGTCCCGTTACGCTCTCTTTTCCCTTCCCTTCCAAACAGCTCTCGCCTTCCTCCCTTCTTCCCCCTCAGAGAGAGAGAGAGAGAAAGACGCCTCCCCTGAGAGGCTCCGCCAGCGCCGCAGCCGCCGCAGTAGGCCCGATGCCGCCGGTTGCTAGGCGACGGGACGCTGAGGGGGCGGGGCTGCCCGCCGCGGGAGAAGCGAGACGGAGAGAAAGAGAGAGAGAGAGAGAGAGCAGAAGGGCGGCAGGGGAAGGGAAGGGACGGGGCCGCTGCACTGCGGCAAAGCCAAGCCGCGGGCGGGCGCTCACGCCCCTCCCCTCCCCGGCCCCTCTCATTGGCCCGTTTGGAGAGAGCGGGTGGCGGGGAAGGGCCGGGCGCGGCGAGAGGATTGGCCGGCGCGGCGTGACTGACAGGGCCGCCTCTCCCGCCCGCCACAACAACCAACCTTTCCTTTTCATGAGGAGAAAAGGGCGGTATAGCGAGTGGGAGAGGTGGGTTGCCAAAGGGAGGGAGAGGGAGAGAGAGAAAGAAAAAGAGAGAGGGAGAGAGAGAGGCAGGCAGGAGGAGGAGGAGGAGGTGGGCGAAAGCGCGCGGAGGGGGGGGGGGGCTCACTTTAGCCTATGAGAGTGCAACCCCCCTCCGAAAATAAACCCTTTTTATTCTATCAAATAAAAGTTAGCTTGCACTGAAGGTCAGGAGATTCCCTCAGTCGGTGGCTAATTTAATTATTATTTTTTAAATTAATACTGCTGTGTGGTAATTAGGTTTGCTTGGGTAGTTCGTGTGTGTGAGAGAGAGGGATAGTGTAGTATTAACTAATTTTATTGAGTGTGGGGTTGTTGCTTTTTGGTCCCAAGAGCCAAGAAGTTAGGAACATGGGGAGCCTGCCTTGGACCCTGGGCCCATCCAGTTCAGTATTGCCTACACGGACTGGCAGCAGCAGCAGCAGCAGCTCCCCCCAGGGTTTCAGGCAGGAGATGGAGTTCTGCATCTTAGCCTGGGGGGTGGGGGGTTTGAAGTCAGGTAGTTCCCTGGAATAATAATAATAATAATTTATTATTTATACCCCGCCCATCTGGCTGGGTTTCCCAGGTTGCCAGGTCTTCTTCCAGCTTCCCCACCAGCCAGGGGTGCCTCTTGACATAACAGGAGTAAGGGGGCAACCCTTCGGAGGGGCGTGTGCCTGCATTGCTCTGGGCAAAGCTCTGGAGGGAAGGAGCCTGGGGGTGGTGATGGTCGCAATGGATATTTCCCTTCCTCCAGCCCCCAGGGAGGTGGGGTGGTGCAGGGTGGGGAATGCAGGGAAGAGGGTGATAGGGAAAAGATCCGGTCAGAGGAGCAGGGTGGTGCCACTGATCAGCTTGGGATGCAAACCTGCCTTAATTGTTTCCTTTTTGGAGGCAGAGCTGAATCCATGCGACAGGCGAAGTGATACTCTCTGGCTCTTTGTCTCTCTTTCTCTCCTCAGGATATAATATCTGTCTGGTCCCTTTGGCCCTGCCCTGCCTGCCACTGTGTTTTCCCGAGAGGCACTTTCATTGCATTTTGGATCCCATCACTTGGCAGCACCTCGCTTGCGTTGGAGCATCCTTCAGGTAACTAGTGCTAGTTAAGGGGTTTCGTGTTTTTTTGGTCTGCTTTCTGGATAACCTCCATCCCTTCTTGTCTGTTGTTTATGCAACAAAGAGTTTAGACTCTACAGAAATTTATGAAGCGGTCGTAACTCCGAGACCTTTTCAGGATAGGAAAAACACTTATCACTTACCTGTTCTGGGAAAACTTCAATGTTGGTAAGGCTACTGTATTATATTGTAAACTGCCCTGTGATCCTCAGTTGAAGGGCAGTATAGAAATTTAATAGATGATGATGATATCACAGCCACATGGATGCTTTGGGTTGTTTTTTCTTTTTTGTTTTGTATTTGATCAAAAGCTTTGTATCTCAATTGTCATTTTGGATAATGTTCATTATTATTATTTTGTCTAATAATATATTTGATAATGTGCTATCCACATGCTCTTTGTTGGGTCATGTATGCAAGATAATTGAACATTTTTGTTTATTTTGTTTATAGTGAAATAGAATTTTTTCAAAGAAAGAAATTTATGAAGGATGTGAGATTTCAAGGGCCCTTTCTACATTCCAAAGATGCTATTTTCAGCTAGACTGTTGCATTTATAAGAGCTGCAGGTGAGCCGAACAATGTCTGCAGTGAAGTGACGATGTATGGTGGGAAGGAACATTCAAAAAAATCTTTTCAGTTTTTGTCCTGAGGCAGTGCCTTTTGTTTCAAGCATGATGGTTTCCTCAGATCGGTTAATATGATTAACCTCGTTTCTGAAAGATACTAACTAAATCTGACACATTACAGATAGGTGACATTAAAGTACATTTAAATAATTTTAATTTTCTTTTATAATCATTTTATTAGGATTTATCTATATAAAACACAAACAAAATGCATACAATAATATATATACTATTCACTAAATAAGCTTAGAGTTTATAGCTAAATAATTGCACTACTTCATCTTTACAATTTACAAGGTATAGTGAGGGGAGGGGAAGATGATGCGTGCAACAAAAACCAGCAATTAAATTATAAGGATAGATCAGATAAATTTTATTTTCCCAGGAAGGTTCTTGCTGTTGTGTTACAGGATATTATTTTCTGTCTCTCTTCCTGTGGCTCGTTGGTCTGAGGTGTTTGCTTTTCTAATACTAAATTCAGCTCCAAAACTTTTTGGAACCAGTAATTGGTTTCAGAGCAGTTCTGGCTTGCTGGGATTTTCTTCCATATAGAAGTGAATTACTTCATTCTGAAGAATCATCTAGCAGCTAGTTTTCTGTTTAGGACACAATAACAAATAACTGTCATGTGTGTCTTCATTCCTTCTAGCATGCTCCTTGGGCTGTAGCTACAGTAACAAATTTGATACCTTAGATTTAGGAGAATCTGTTTGTTCTCTGTTTCTGATCCTTTGGCTACAAAGCATCTTTTTAAATTCCTATGCCAACTTTTCTAAAATAAAATAAAAGGTTGCTGATTTGGAAGGAGTAACACAGGCTCAAAAATGTGCAAATTTTAAAGTCATTTTTTATTTAAGGATGTATTGAATAATTGGCTTATTTTGGAAATACTGGATGAAGGGAACTTTTATCTTTTATCCAGCTGTATGATTCCTAGGTATTAGAATTACATACTGCTAAACAAATTATGTAGGTGTATTAAAGGTAATGGATATGGACTTCATTTTTCACCCTATGATAGGTCATACATTTTTTTGTTATATGGATCATTATATGATGAGTTGGAGAATTTACAATAATATCACTTACTATTATTTTTATTTCTCTTTCTTTAGCTTGCCTTTAGGCCCAGACTGAATGAGTTGCTTTATTTCGGACTATACATATATCAATGATTTCCTCTACAAATAAAGTTCATCTTACGTAAGAAAGGTATCTGACTAAACTGCATTCCAGCTTTCTTCTCCTTTAAAAATGTTGCATACTGTTAGGTAAATGTTGTGCAACTGATGCTTGCCTTAGCTATTCAAACATCAGTTTAAAGGCCTCTCTTTTTTTAAAAAATATTTTTCTTCTAATAACTCACACCCATATATAGCTTACTTTCCTTTCAGAGCTTTTGAAACAAAGGGTGCAAATGAGCTCTATGAGACATAACCCAGTTAAGTCACAGAGTTTAGAATGTATTCCTGAAATCAGTGAGTCTTATGGAATCTAAATCTATTTAATTGGAATAGCCCCATTGATATGTACTTCTCTTACTTAGAGTTGAATTCAAGTCAACTTCAATAATTGGCCACTCAAAGGGCCACAGCTTAGGAGGAGAGCATCTCCTTTGCATCTTAAAGGTCCTAGGGTCAATTCCTAGCATCTTCTGGTATGGCTGGGAGAGATCCCCATTTCAAATCCTGGAAAGACACTACTAGTCAGTATTACTGAATTAGGTGGCCAGATGGCTTAACTTGGCATAAGACTGCTGCTTATCTTCCATGTCAGTCATATTTCCATGATCAATTTGGGTCTGCCTATTCTATGTGTAGAGTGCTCCATGCTCATGCTGGAAATTGATGTGAATTTGCATGTCTTTATAATGGGCAAGATTGGACGTAATTCTAAAGCAAAGTTTAGCATTACAGGAAATGAACCTTTATGATCTTTTGGTTCATGCATTCTCTCTCCCACCCCCCTTTCCACAGCCAAAAAATAGGGGTTTGGAAGTTTTTACTTGTGTCCTAAATGAATAGTTTGCTGTGATCTCTGAACCCAGACAAAATGTGAGTCTTTACTACCCTTAGTGAAAACAAGCCATCTTCAAACAATGGGTTTTGAAGCTGGCTTGTTTCCACTCGTTCTTGTTAAGATTAACCACAGCTTTAGGATTTTGACATAATGATAACCTCTAGTTAAATCTGAAGTGAAAGCATCCAGTCTCCTTCTGATGGCCCTGGTGATGGAAGGAACTCAGGAGCCTGAGGCTGACTGGCGCTCATCCTCATAACTAATCTTGGTTTGCTGAGCAGTAAACTGATGTGTTCTACATTATGTGCTGCAAACAGCAGTGTATGTTGGGAGTGGCTCTTGAAAGAGGAGCAGGCTATCCCACAGAAATATAAATGGTCGTTGTTTGAAACGGCTATAAAGGAGTGCTTGAGTGGATGAAACTGTGTTTCTGTCAGTAAAACTTCCCCACCCACCCCCCGACACACCTATTTATTCATCTTTTTAATAAGGAGCCAAATCTAGGTTGCATTTTACAAAGCATGTTGCTGCTAGACAAAAGCTTCATGCCTGTCTGGAACTATCATCGTGTGTCAGAGCACCTGTCAACTTCGCACAGCTAAGATGCCTGATAGTTTGAGAGATGCTGAGGTATTGGGTTTGCTCCGTGTTGAGGCTATGTTAACTGATGTATTTTTAATAACTGTCTACAAAGGCTTTTTCATATCATGGTAATAACTATAGTAAGGAAGCCATGGGATGATAAGGTGCATGCTTTTGGGAAAACTTGAAGGGTAGGGTATTTTAGCTGGCTTTAGTTTGCATATTGTCCCAACGCTGTTGTTTTTGCTGTTGGCATTCATTTAGACCAGGGGTCGGCAAGGTTTACCAGCTATGGGCCGGATCACTCCCATGGAGATAGTCCATGGGCCAGACTGGTGCAGCACGGTGCTGGAGATCGTGTCTGCGCATGCCCAGATGCCAAAAATCGCGCCTGCGCAGAAACAATTTTCGGCGTGGACATGCGCAGATGCGATTTCCGGTATCTGTGCGTGCGCAGACGTGATTTCTGGCGCCACTCGGCGAGTCTCCACGCTGCGCTGTGCTGGTTTAGCGCAGCATGCAGGGGAATCACCGGGCGGGCAGCTCGGTTCGGGGGCCGGTAAAATAGTCTTTGTGGGCTGCACATTGTCGACCCCAGATCTAGACATCTGGGGATTTGAAAGCCAAGAGGTATGGTTTTATGGAGTAATGGCTGACATTGTGGCAACATTTTTGTTAATCACTAATAAGGAAACCAAACAGTACAAATGGATTCAAGATGGCTCCTATTCTACTAATGTCTCCTTAGTATTTGTACAAAACTAGGGAACTTTCAGCACCATAGAAAGCATTCTCTGACTACACTCTCTCAGGGTACATTGTAAGAAAGGAACCACATCTTCTCCCTAAGTTAAGTGATTGGGCCTGTCCCCTCTATGAAAATTTTATTTGTGATGAAATGGATATGGGCGGGGTCTAATCCTTGCACAAAGAGTCAAAGCTGTGCTGCTGCTTCATTCTTTCTGAGCTGTTGATGCTGCGAGTGTTGCAGAAGATGTGGGGGGGTGTGAATCCTCATGTTATATGAAGATGTCCTGTCTTCTGAGTAACTGAGCAAGGCAAGGTAGTTATTTCAGCAGAGTGCTTTATTACACCTGGAGAAGGAGGTGGTAGCAGGTGTTGGGTGTGGTTGTGTTACAGATTAGGCAGGATTAAAAAAAAAACGATCAAGGGGAAGTCTCAGGTCTGGTTTTGGGAACTTTTCAAAGCTCACTGCTGCTGTCCTGACAGAATTAGTTTGTGTCAAGTTAGGAACAACTATTTTATTTATAGATGCAGCTTCCTCTGAGCTGGAAATGAGTGTTTGTTTATAGCCCTACTGCATACATGTCCTATTCCTACTACAAACAAGATGCACTCTTCTTTTGTTACTTGGCTGTCTACCTGGAGAACCTATATGAATTAATTATATGCTACTAGCAAAGGGGTTTTTTGACCCCTTTTATGCCCTCGGAGCACATGTGGACAGAGATCCAGAAAACTACTTCAGGAAGCAGATTTGCTTTATGCCCAACACCAAAAATTCCCCTTGAAAACCCATTGTTTTTAAAGAGGACTCCTATTTCAAAAGTTTAGAGTCTCTTTGATTTTACAAAACTAGTTGTGTGGGTCTTCAGGCAGTGACCACTGCCTTTCTTAACCTCCCTTTTGCACTGAAAATTTTGGTGAGGGCTGGCCTCTGATTCAAATTGCAGCATCTCTGTACCCTTGCTTTTCTGAACTCTCTGAAGCCTCACCTTGTCTGTAATGTAGGGAAGAACCATGCTGTGCGTGTTTGCTTTAAGGATTAATGTGATAATGCACATGAAGTGCTCTGAGTATTTTTTTTTCTTTTTGGGGGGTGAGGGAGTAATCTTCATTATTGAAATCAGTTGAGGACCAAACTGTGTGGTCTTTAAATGCAATCCCATTATATTTAATGCTACTGCACTGCAGAAGTTTCAGTGGCAATGTAATATACTGTTTTTTCTGATCCTTCAGCAGTAATCAGGCCCTGCCCTCCTCTAAATGAGAGACTGGATTACTTCTGTATGAAGAAGTAAGCCTTATGTATGTATCAGTGCTGCCCAGTATATAGAGGATTGAATTTTATTTGTTTTATTTCTAGTTATTTTCGTTCCTTATTTAAGTTATTTATATGGTGACATCAGTATTCATGGCACTGTAAAAGAGTATAAAAATATAATTTGTAATCTAAAATGTCACATGTGGAAAAACAGAGGAAAATGAGAAAGTGGAGACATGGATGAATAGGAAAGCAGTATCAACTGCACTTGCTTAGGCTTTGTTATAAACTGAACTAAAAGCCTATGATGTTTACAAGTCATTCAATCTTCTAAGTTCAGCTGCTCACTAAGTTATGGTTAGCAGGGTCAAACTTTTTTTTTTACCAGCTGCAAAATTACAGAAACAATTCAAAAACTTGATGTAACCCACAAAAAAACCCATGTCTGTCTCATTTAGTCTTCTGTAATTCTGATACCTGAGCAATGGGTATGCTCCAGGAGAAACTCTTCTAGCTGCTTTGCAACTTTCAAAGCCTGCAGTCATCATTGGATAATGTGCTGCTGGATGAGAGAGACAAATTTTCTGGTGGCTTAAAGTTAAAGTAAAAAAGAGAAAGAAACTTTGCTTATTTTTCTAGGATGATATGTCTCCCTGGACAGAATAAATGTACTAGAGCTGCCAATGGATAGAAGTTGGCAACTTCGGTTTTACACTGAATACTTGTGAGATAAAATAAAATCCAAACTGTGCATTTGAATTTGCTGTATCATGGAACTGGAATTAATGTTTCTCTCCCCCACTCCTGGCTGTTTTTCTCCTTCCTGAATTTTCACATGGTTGCTTTCTGCTGTGATTCATTATTTAAGAAATGGGAGACTATAAATAGCAGCACATAGCAGTTTCCTACTGAGAAGCATTTTTCTCCCCTTCCATTGTAGGTGTCAAAATGGAAGACTTGCACTGTGTTTACGCAGGGTAAATCTTAACATATGAAGAAATTATATTCTTAGTTTTATTTTTTTAATATTGGTATAGGATAGCAGTTGTCAAACTGTTGGGGAAATACCTTGAGTTTCTCAGAAGCTCATCAGGCTTCCATCAGTGACAAAGTTAGCAATGTTGCTTGCTCAACATTATTAGTCTTCCCATGTGCAAACCATAGCATTGTGGTGGGTCAGAGTATTCTGCAGCGTGCTCTCAATTCCAGTGGATTGATGGTGGTGCCTGGCAGAACTGAACAATGTTTCTCATGAACCGAGTGTGTTTCCTGAACATTTGTCTGGATTAAGCACGGATACATGTTAGCCATGAAGGAAATTCTTGGCAGACAAGCTGATGTGGGAAAGGTTCTGTCAATGATAAAAGTTTGAAAACCACAGCTGTAGGATGCTGATTTTTTAAACTATGTGATAAAATAGGGTTCTTTTGGTTCAAATGTAGTTTTATTTCCTGTTTTATTTTTATTGGAATCTGGATTTTAATATCAATAACAGTGTTTAACCTTACTGCTGTTTGGATAACTTTCACTAGTTTAATCCAACTGCCTGAGAAGCTGAAGTCACCTCAAAGATTGTATAGCTGTATTTTGTCTATGTGTGTGTAGTTAATGAACCAATTTAGGCCCAAATATAGCTAGAGTGCTAGAAGCCAAAAATGCTCCCTGTGGGCTGGACTTACAGAAGCTCTTAATTGCTTAGCAGACTCTTCATTACATTAGCATTTCTCATGCCAGTGCTGCCTAGCTTTTGGGAACAGGCAGAGGAAGTAACTATGTGATGAGAGTTGTCATGAAACACTGGAAATTACTGCATGCTCATAGGAAAAGTATTGAATGCTCAAGGAGGTGGAACTGGCAGCAGAACAGACATGGTAATGCTGCCTCATTCAGGATCTCCCTGTTTCTTGAGTGCTGGTGATGTTTAGACCTCCGTTTGACTCTATATGGAGAATCCCAAAGCTGTTCATGTTTTTGGTGTTTGCTGCTGCCAAATTATTGGAAGGCTCCAGAAAACCACTCACAGGATCAGGCAAACAGGCTGGTGATTCACCATCTCTGACCTTAAAGAAACAGAAGTTAGCATTTCTTATGACTGTGGGCGTTTTTCTGAATAAATGATATGCTTATGGGGGTGTACTGTTTGAGACGTTTGCAGGTGTATGTGTATAGAGGTGGATGAAAGACAGAGCAACAGTCTGAAGTCTGAATATATGGAGGATCCTACAGAGAGCCATGAATTGGCTGAAGCATCCCCAAGGTGCAGACACTCTCTTTGAGAACCTGTTTAACAGTGATGATATTTTCTTTTGTAGAACGTAAATACTTACATACCTCTATTGGTATATTTGTTGAAAGTTTGTTCATGAGTAAGGCAAAACATACACAGCTAAATTCGGGTGCTGGCCATATAATTACTCTGCCTAAGAAGTGTGAAACAAATTGAACTGATGGCAGCTAATGTACATTTAAGACAACCAAAGTTGTTAAAGGAAAGTGCAATTATGTGTTTTTCTTTTTTCATGTCTTTCTTTCTAGTGCCAAAAAATGAGCCGTGGATATTCAGAAAACAATAACTTCCCATACGACAATAATCAAATGGTTTTGGATATGATCCTCTGCTCTTTATTCAGTGTCCCTCAGCCTATCAATTGGGACAACGTGGCAAGGCTGGTTCCTGGCTATTCATCTCGAGAGGTACGTTTCCCCTTATTTTGTAATGTAGTTTTAATTCATTTTGATCTTTGAACTGTTTAACATAGTTGCGTTGAGATGGTGATGATGTTGTTGTTGATGTTGTTGTTGTTGATGATGATTTATTATTTATACCTTGCCCATCTGGCTGGGTTTCCCCAGCCACTCTGGGCGGCTCCCAACAAAATATTAAAAGCACAAAAAAATCCAAACATTGAAAACTTCCCTAAACAGGGCCGCCTCCAGATGTCTTCTAAAAGTCAGGTAGTTGTTTATTTCCTTGACAAAGCTTTATTTACATTAGAGCGTATGACATGCAACAATCACATAAAAATAAAAATAAAACTAAAAGCACAGTAAACACTCAGATAAACATAAATGGTATTTTGTATCAATAACAATTGGAATTATTTATAGGAAGGGGGAGGGAGGGGAAGGAAAAAAATTAAAATATTTACTTCATGTACTTCAGACTGTGCTGCAAACTATGGGTGCTGTTCTACCACATGCCTCATTATTTGTGTAATCAATAAAGTCACACAAGAATGTGTAATAATAGTTGTTTCTTTTGGCCTTAAAGAGGACTAAAGAGCAGAGGATCATTGAACTGATGGCAGCTAATGTACAGTTAAACACAACCAAAGTTGTTAAAGGAATTACACCTAAAGTCAAATCCAACATTTGTGCTCAGTCATAAACCAGCTGAGAGAAAATCCTTTTGCTCCCTTAGCAGTGTTTTCATGCTTGACAGTCTTCCAGGCACTTAAACCTCACATTTATTTTATGTTGCACATGGACGCTGTGAAGAATCACATGTATATTACAGCCAGTGTGGATTTGTTTCTGTGGTAGAAGCCTATTTTTAAAATCATAACGCAAGGCAAACAAACCTGCCCTGAAGCCCCCAACAGCAACAAAAACCTAGACCCAGCAGGTGCAAAGTAAAAGAGATAAGACAGTAGGAGGCTGAACAGAAGGTTGATTTAAGAAACTATACAAAGAATAAACTTTGAAGAAATTTTGGCTTAAAGAGCTCTAAGGTATTCAGATCAGATACCATTTAATTTACTATTGTTATCATGTCTATTAAATATTACTTTGACTGCCAGGTCTAGAAGCTCCTTTGTGCTCATTCTTGATGTCTGATGGCTTCTATACCTTCCAGTGTTGAATGGTGAGGCATAAAACAAAGCTGATTTTAAGTATTGTATGGGAGGAACACTTTCCATTGACCCTTCTGCTGCACAGACTTCCACTCCTGCAAAGCTTCTGTCAATCTAACAAAGAGTCAGTACTAGTTATCCACTGTGACATCACTTGTTTGCTCTGCTGCTTCTGAAAAGAATGTTTGTTTATGGAGTTCTGGAAAGTTGTGGTGCTCTATAAGGATGATCCAAGTTCTGAATACTTCTCAAGCTCCTTTTCTACTCATGTGACTGGCTAGCAATATTAGGGGAAGGTTTCAGTTGGATTAGGCTTACTCTTCTAACTATACTTTCACTGAAGGTGGGTACAGTGGTACCTTGGTTTATGAACTTAATCCATTCTGGAAGTCCATTCTTAAACCAAAGCGTTCTTAAACCAAGGTGTGCTTTCCCATAGCAGCGGGGGACTCAATTTACAAATCGAACACACTCAACAGGATGCGGAACATGTTCTGCTTCCAAGGCAAAGTTCACAAACCAAAACACCTGCTTCCAGGTTTGCAGCACTCTTAATCCAAGTTGTTCATAAACTAAGCTGTTCTTAAACCAAGGTACAACTGTACCTAATGCAGAAGGCAAATGTTCTCAGCTTGTGAATGTATTGAGATCATGGTAGTAGCACTGCTCAGGCAGCGGAGGTCCTAGTTTATCCAGCTGCCATCATAGATCTGGGCCTTAGTTTTTCTATCACTGTTGCCTTTTCCTTCTGAGAGAGAAGAGATGCATTTATGTCTCATAGAATCTTCTTGCTTGATAAAAATTCTATACCTATGGAAGATCATGTATATGTTTGCTGGGAAGGACCCTTTCCTCTTTGTACTCTTTGACAAGTCCTCAAGTGCCCACAGGGGATGCTGCTATCCTTGTCTGAGAGAATAACTGATTGTTATATTGAGTTAGCAGTATTATAAAGTAGTTAAACGTCAATTTGCAACCTAACAGTAAGTCCTCTAAGACCAACAAAAAAAATGGCTTCATTATGCTGTCTGAACACAGCATCTCAAATTATGATGTTACACCATGGGCTATGAAATGGGGCTTTAGCTCAGAGGAAGGACATGCCCTTCACACATAAAAATGATGCCAAGTTGAATCCCGTGCATCTCATGTTGATGGTGGGTTTAGGGAAATAATTCTTGCCTGCTATCTTGGAGAGCCACTGCCAGTCAGAGATGGTTTAAGGCAGCTCCTTTTTATATAGCCTTTGATGCAGACAGATATGCCTGTTTCAGAAAAACAAAACAGCTTTTCAAAATCTGCCCTTACAGGCAAGCACTGAAAAAGCTGCCAGATTCTTGGATGCCAACAAAAAAACATAGAAACCAGGCTTAAAGGCTTAGTCACTAGCTCTGCACAAGGTTAATATCAGTTGTTGTTTATTTAGATACCCGGAGATGAGCATCTATGTCCTAGGCATACCTGGGATTTCTTCCATCAAGTACTAAAACTGAAAATCCCTCCTCTTTTATCTTCTGACAGTGTGCAAAAAGGTTTGACGAACTGAAAAGCAGTGGGAGTTCTCCAGTTGATAACCAGTACAGTCCACTAATGGCCAGTGGTGGGAGCCCTATGGAAACATTGGCTGGTTATATCAAATCATCGCTTCTTGATTCCCAGGAAGAGTTACAAGAGCCTCCTAGTGAAAAAGATGCAATTTCTGTAAATGGTAGGCTTTCAGGCAGTTCTGCTACTGCATTCAAGACGTTGTGCATGCTAGGTTTCATCCATTTGAAATCCTTAACCTGTTCTGAGCAGAGTCAGCTGGTAACCCTTAAAGTGCTGGTGCTCGTCATAAGTATTGGTCTCTAAATTACAATCCCTCCTGTAGTTTACCTATTTACTTTTCAAAGTCTCAGTTAACTGGTGGTTTAATATAATTAATTTTTATTTCATTGTCACTTTGCCTTGAACTGTACAGTGGCCTTTTTAAAAGCTAATACACTTGTCTAAAAGAACCAAAGGTGAAATTGCTTATTGTGGGTTGAGCTTTTATCAGTTATCTGATGTGCCTGCAAAAACTCAGGTTGCAACAAGCCACATACAATAAAACCATATGATAAACCAGCTAACTCCCTAAGCTGTCTTTGAACTGTGTTACTACAGTGGACACTAGGAAGATCCCAGGTTTGTGCTCTAGTTTGGGGTGAAAGGTCTTGAAGAGTCCATCAGTCCGGTGCAGCGTGGCAGATGGTCAGCAATGCTAGGAGTTCCTCTGTTCTAGTTAAGCAGGTCTGTGAGCTGTCTCTGCCGGAGACCATGCCACTTCCACATAGGAGTAGACTAGCGACTCAGCAGAAACCGCATACAAAGTGTTGGATGTGTTTTGCGGCTGAAAAGGAGGAGAAGGAAAAGAGCCAGAAATGCACAGCAGTGAAATCGTGGTGGGGTTGAGTGGTAGAAATGCAGGTGGTGCAAGGGAGAGAAGCAGAAGCATAGTGAGCATGTGATAGTACATAGAACATGAGAGAAGAGAAAAGAGCTGAATGAAACCAAGAGCCACACCCGAGGGAGGGCATGAAGTTGTGCTGTGGAAGGGACAGTCTCCCAGTGAAAAGTAGATTCTTAATTTGTCTCAATGGATTAGGTGGCAGGAGGGTTCTGTGCATTGGAATTTACCATTGGTTGCAAGCCTCCAGTTAGTATATTAATGCCCCAGGGCAATTCTTAATCTGCCTTGTTCAGCACTTACTGCTCTTGGGTTTTGTTTCTCTTGAATGCTCTCTGAGACTTAGCATTAAGTATATTCCTAATGGGAAAGTGAATAGTAATGGATACTCCTGCAGTGGGCTTGTTCATGAACCTTTTAAAGAGAAAATCCAGATAACAGGAACCTTCTGTCTCCATGTTTGGTACTTTAACAAGGAACCTTCAATGTAGGAAGTTGTTTTGGGGGTGGATGAAAGGCAAGATACCAGGCTCCACTGTGTTGTGTTGTGTTGTGTTGTGTTGTGTTGTGTTGTGTTGTGTAGTGTTGTGTTGTGTTGTGCTGTGAGTGTGTTTAAAAAAGCTATACTTTTCCTTTTGGCTGTATGGACATCAGGCAGAGGAATCCCAGTATTGATGACATTATGATGTCTGTTACTGCTCTCCAAAAGAGAAGTGTAAAAGAGAAGGTCAAACGCATAGCCATGACAGTTTTGTTATTGTTTGTAATACCATTGATTTATTGATTGCCTTCTAAACAACTGCCTCAAGGTGATTTACACATAATTAAAATACAAAAACAGCAAATACTTTTAAAACGAGACCGAAACTTTAACAAAGTAAACACTTGTGCTAAAGACCTACTTATTCAACTGGGAAAGCCTGTTGAAACAAAATTGTCTTTGATTGTTTCTGGAAGGTGCAGTTAGTTGGTGACTGTTGTCTCTTGACAGGAATGCGTTATTCTGTGGAACTGGGGCAGCCACCCTAAAAGCCCTGCTCCGCGTTACTGTGGAGCAGGCTTCTGAGGTCCTTGGGAACTGACAGGAGAAACCCTCCCACAGATTTAAGCGATTTTACATCCTCCTTTTTTGTATGTGTGGACATGCACATGGTGACTGAAAGGATTAATCCCTCAATTCCTCTATATGTTTCCACCTGGACTGGATTGATTTTAAAAGCCAGCCTTCCTTTAAAGGAGTGTGTGTGAAAAGGATCCATCTAGTAAGTAAGTGGACAGCTCCCTTAGATCGCACTTTATTCTAGGCATAGGACTACCACTTACCAGGCGAAAATGAGAAGACCATCTCAACACTATGTCTTAATGCTTTTTCTCCCCGCTTGCATTTAAGGAAGGCCAAGTGTAGCTTCCTCAAGGAATTGCTCTGCAGAAAGTGAGAAGGGCCCTGCACATAAAGGTGGAGAAAATGCTGATGAAACACAAGGGTAGGAAGATGGTTGTTTGATTTTGGGAAAGCTAGATAAACCTGAATCTTCGACATTCGTTTGTTCTCTTCTACGCTTGGATTATATCTCTGTGTATTTGTGGGATTTCTATTGGGTGGGTGAAGGATTGTGGGGGGCGGGAGAGTTACGCTGGCCTCATTTTTTAACAAAAATTTAGACAAACAGTAACTGAGGAGAAGCTCTTGTGAAAGAGTACCTTCAGGGACTGGCAGGCATTAAAACGCTGGTAGCTTCTCCTCTCTAGAACTGACTCTCCTTTCAGGTTTGGAATCTGTGGTATCCTGGAACCTCTAAGCTTCCCATAGGGTGTTTTTTTTTGCCTTCTATTCAGTAGAAATGGCTGTTAAGTGCAGCTTGGAGAAGTAAATGTTTAGCCGTGGCTGGGTGGGACAATGCTCCCTTGTGTGCTAACTTGACATGTGGAAGCAGTCAGTGGGATGTGTTTCTGTATCCCCTCTTCCGGTTAAATGTAGGCAAGCTTTCACTTCCTTTGTCATGAATAATAAATCATCTGTTGGGGTTGTAGATGGTATGAAATATGAATGCCTGTTTCCCCACCCCCTGCCCTCCATTCAGCCATCTTGCAAAGCTTCTCCATCACCTTCGTAAAAAGGCTTGAGTAGTGATGTTGTCTTCATCCTGCTGTCGTTTCCGCTGTGAACCCTGAAAATATATGTCGTGTGTTCACAGGCGTGTTGTAGAGCAGCTGTTTTCAAAACTGGTCCAGGTACTTTTCTACTGTGACTGATGCTCACTTTGAGGAACACCTGGCAGCTTTCCTTGCAAGACAGCTGCTCTCCTAACCTTTCTACATTCTTGGTTCCCCTGGGGAGACAGCGAGGGGGTCAATAGACCTCAGACCTGGCCTAACACCCTCCTTGCTTTTAATAAACACAGATTGCCAGATAGGAGATGGCAGAGAATCCTCTGCCAGTAGAGGTTAATATATGGATGGCTCTTTGCTTGGAAATCACTTTTGCAAAGCTTGCAGTCTCTCTCGCCCTAATCAAGCAAGTTCTGCCAGACATGAAGGTTCCATTTCATAAGTATACACTTATTTTTGTCGTCAGTGAGACCTTCCCTGTTCATTTCAATTGTGGTTTGGGGACCTCTGGCCTAAGGGTCAGATGCAGCTCCCTGTTTAATTTCATTGGATGTTTCCAGAGACTTCACAAAGCAGCACAGATTGGGGCTGAGGATGGCGTAGAAGGAAGGAGCTTGGCAACAGCCCAGGACTATCTTCCTAGGTGTTGTAACATTTATATTTATCATAATAAAATTATCTGTAATAGCCTGTGATACATTTCATTAATATTTGTGTGTGGCACCTGATTGCCCACCTGTGTGGGACATAGGCCCCTGGTAGAAAAAACGTTCTCCACTCCTGAATAAAGCAGAAAAAATACCTTTCTGCTTTTGTGGAATGCTGTTTTTTCTTTCTCTTTGCCCCTGTCTGCGACTAGAAAGGCAACTTGCATCCATTGAAAATACATGTATGAATAATGATAGATATGGGGCCATCTCTCAGGAATAATGAACAGGGTAGCTTTATCTTGACATAGGTGTTCACTATACCCCTTCACTAGAACTTTCTTAAGAGCTGAATGTTGGAGTAGCCTGAGGATATATCTGGTACTGGAGAACCAAAACCCCAGAATTTGCATACATTTCCATTCTTCCTAATGTGGAGAGGCTTTATTTATAGTAACTCCTTGATGATTTTGTTGACCGCAGTTCAGTGAACAGTTCACACCACAAATGTAATTGGGGCTGGGTAGTAACTAGAACAAGACCTATTTTGGGTATTATTTTTCTTAAATATGCTGCATGCTTGTGTGTGTTCTGTGTTGCCGCCACTCCCCCAGGTTCTGTGATGTGTATAACATAAGCCAATTAATCATACTTGTGAGACTTCTCATTTTTCATCATTTATTCCGGTTCCGCTAGTCCTTGACTGGAACTGGAAGGTTATGAAGAGCAATAAGCTCCAACTCCAACCAGTCTTATTTAGCCACCCCTCTGGCCTTGGAGAGGTCAGCCAGCATAATCTACACATTTGAGTTTTAAGGTTTATGTTGTGCCTTATCACACGGCAGCCTTAATGGCTTACAATAACGGTTTAAAACAAACAACAATAACGTCAAATCATATGTGCTAAAATCATTTAATAAATAAATAAAATAAATGACAACTTAGGGCCAAACTACTGCCAGACAGTAGATATTTGTGAGTGTCTTCCAGCCATTTTTTAAATGAAATGTAGCTGGAGGAGGCTGTGAGTTTAAGTTGGTTACTTAACCCTTCCCCTGTGACATTTTTCTGCTCAGAATCATGCCTCTTCAGCAGCTTTTCTACAGTGAGTAGAATAAAGTGTTAAGAATAAAGAGTAGAATAAAGTCAGAGGCTGCTTCCTCTGACCAGATCTACACCTGGTTTTCATTTAAAAACAGGAGAGATCGGAGATAGCTGCATATATCTAGTTTGGCCTTGGCATTTTCTGGAAGCTTTAATTTAGTGGCCAGTGCCATATTTTGCATTTTTCCTTTCTGCTGCAGAATTTGTGCATGCACATAACATCAGTATTCCCATTTTGCAACTAGAGGTGTGAAAGTTGACAGCTAGCTGCCAGGTTTCTTCTTTGAGTTTAGAAATGATCTAAGTCGTGAAGTGGGTTTTGCAGATTCACCTAGCTCACCATCCACAAGGCCAAACTTGCTCCAGTGTGTAGCTTACATTTCCCCATACCTTTTAATTTTCTTTCTAAAATTTTTTTTAAACAAAATCATAGATACAGCTTAAAATCCCTATTATTATATTGTAAAAATATGCTCCTAACCATGCATGTGTTCATGTGCATTAAAAACTATGTCTAAACTTAGAATTGAGGTAAAATATATTTGTAAATCATTCTGACATTCCTGTTTGACAAGCTATAATAATTTTCCTCCCTGTGATTTTTTTTCTTCTCAAATAAAGGCCAAATATGGTGATCCATGTGTGTGATGAAGCAAAAAATCTGAAAGAAGATTTTGTTTGTCCGCGAGATCTGTTGATTTCTGAAATGAAGTACTTTGCTGAATATCTGTCAGTGGATGCCCAGCGCTGGGAAGAAGTGGACATTTCAGTTCACTGTGACGTTCACATCTTTAACTGGTTGATAAGATATGTTAAAAGGAACACTAAGGAGTATGAGGTGCATGAAATACCTGCCTTAGGTAAAAGGAAAATCTATTAATGTTTCCTGCAGACTCATTTATTGAAAAGCCTGACTTCTACTTCAGACCAAAATTCTGTGTGCAAATTTGTTTTGCGAGGTAATTTCCTTGCCATTTTCTGCCTTAACCGATAAAAACCTAATCTGTAATAGCTGGAAAAACTGAAGCTGGCTGGAAAGTTAATAAAACTAATTATATTGCCTTTGACATTAGGGAATGTTACCCTGCACTCTTAGTCTCTTAATACCCTATTCCCCCTCTCACACATGAATTCCCACCCACCCCTTTTCAAGGTTAACCATTGTTGGCTGTGATTTGCAGATTGCCATGGTGGTTAGAACTGGATTTGCATGGTTGCAAATTCTAGTTTGCTGCTAACCATGGTTAGCTCTGAAGAAGGGGGAAAGAGCATGTGAGCAGATGAGATGGTCCTGACCTCCCAACAGGGCATATTTATGCCTGTACCTGGACTTTATGGGGCGGGGGAAGGAAGCTCTGGTTTAAACTGCAAATTTAAAAAATAATAATCAGAGGAGAGGAGCAAAGATTATGTTGTGAACCACCCTGTGATCTTTGGATGGAGGGTGATATATAAATTTAATTAATAATAATAATACGAAGAGAGTCAAAAATGGTCTTCAGAGAAAAGAACGTTGGTTATCATCTAAAAGGTCTTGGAAGGTTTGACAGAAAATATTAATAAGAGTTTGGGTATCTTCCATTTAAGTGAGTAGCTAAATAAGCTAGCAGTTTGAAGGGAAATAATTTTAGTCATCACTCTGGTGTGATCCAGAGAAGAAATCAAAGCAAGAGTTAAGTGCACACTCAACCTCTTCCTCCCCTCTCCCTTAAAATCACTGAGACTTCACTCTGGATCACTCGTGTAAGCTTCACATACTTGACAAATTTCTTGATGAAGAACTCCTTTAGAGGATTTTGTTCCGACACTTAATTGTTAGTTCTGACCTTTGACTGTTGAAATCTTTGGTCCAAATTGGATGTGATGCTGGCAGACTGGCTTGGTTGGAGCTGGATCTTCCCTAGTCACACACCAAGAGGAAAGAGGGGGGCAGTTCTTAGAGCAAAAGGATTACATAGGTGGGATGGGGTGCTAAACTGATCCTCTTACCTCCACCACAATCTATCACTTGCAAATGCTACTCTCCTCATCTGTAGTCCACTAACAGTTGTGAGCTTGGCTAGAAAAAAAATCAGCTGGGGGGAACAGGCTAAAGGGAAGTATGGTAGGTGTCACATGTATGGGGAGCAGTTTGGTTGCCCTCACTCATATGCCTGTTTTGCTTTCAAACCTGACCTTAAACCCTCAGTGTTTGGAGCAGACCCTTTTTTCTTTTTAGAAAAGGTCTTCTTGAATAGTGTCTAGTTTGCATGTGTCTGAGGTTGAATGTTTCAAACTTTGAATGACATTTAACTCAGCAAAATAAAAAAAATTCCTTCCAGTAGCACCTTAAAGGTAAAGGGACCCCTGACCATTAGATCCAGTTGTGGCCGACTCTGGGATTGCGGCGCTCATCTCGCTTTATTGGCCAAGGGAGCCGGCGTCCAGGTGATGTGGCCAGCATGACTAAGCTGCTTCTGGCGAACCAGAGCAGCTCACGGAAACGCCGTTTACCTTCCTGCCAGAGCGGTACCTATTTATCTACTTGCACTTTGACATGCTTTCGAACTGCTAGGTTGGCAGGAGCAGGGACCGAGCAACGGGAGCTCACCCTGTCGCAGGGATTCGAACCGCCGACCTTCTGATCAGCAAGTCCTAGGCTCTGTGGTTTAACCCACAGAGCCACCACAAGTAGCACCTTAGAGACCAACTAAGTTGGTTATTGGTATGAGCTTTCGTGTGCATGCACGCTTCTTCATGCACTTCTGAAGAAGTGTGCATGCACACAAAAGCTCATACCAATAACAAACTTAGTTGGTCTCTAAGGCGCTACTGGAAGGAATTTTTTTATTTTGTTTTGACTACGGCAGACCAACACACCTACCTACCTGTAATTTAACTCAGCAGTTTTGAGAAACAGGTTTTTGCTTTGGATGTTTGGAGTGTTTGCACTCATTTTTCTATCAAAACCCTCAAACCTCCCTTCAAATAAGAGAACAACCCCCCCCCAAAAAAAGTTGGAAACTTCATACTCAAATGCCATAGTTTTATGGAACGTATTTGTAAATATGTGAATCCAGGCTCTTAACTTTTCATTTCAGCTTTAGGTACAATATTATATTTCTCCAGCTTCTTAATCTAATTTGGCTTGCTTTGCCTTCAAAATGTGAATAGCTAGTTTTAGGCTAACACATTCTTTCTGGTGCGGGTGGTGGGAATGGAAAGGAGAGAGGCAGCTATTTGGGCCTCATTTCAGAAGAATTACAAGGCCCAGTCATGCTATGTCATTAGATCTCCCTCCCTCCCGAAGAAGGGACTGAACCAAGTTCCCAAACTCTTCCCATTCCTCTTTAATGGAATGTGGATTTTGTGATGCAAATAATCTCTTGTAGTGTTTCCTTTTACAAGCAATGTGCAAGGTTAACTGTAATTAATCCTAATAATGCTTTTCGCTTTGTTCTCTTGCTTCTTTCTTTAGAACCAAGCAATGTCATTTCGATTCTTATTTCCTCTGAGTTTCTGAAGATGGATTCTTTAGTGAGTATATAACAGATGTGGGGTTCTGAGCTGTTGGAGCTGTTTCTGGAGCTCCTCTCACAAAAAAACCTTCCTAAATACAGACAATGCCCCACTCACATGTGATCAGCGACCGCTGACATCCATACTGTTTTTGGCGCCAAAAGAGGGTGAGGTGGCCGAAATGTACATTCATGCAGTCTTCCCACTGACGCATGGAGCAGTCAGAAATGGCACCTGCGCATGAATGGGGTGTTGCCTGTACAGTGTTAAGATATTTCATTATCACTATTGAGTGTGCTACATCCATATTTTATCTTCCTGTTTTCCTAGGTGGAGAAATGTATTAATTATTGCCACAAGAATATGAGTGCCATCGTAGCCACGCCGTGCAATATGAACTGCATCAATTCTAATCTCCTAACGCGCATAGCGGATCTTTTCACACATAATGAAATAGAGGAGGTGAAGGACAAGAAAGATAAATTTAAGAGGTACTTTTTAAAAATCCTGCTGCCTCGTAATGTAAGAATTAGCCGTTCTTTTCGTCTTCCTGCAGCGTTATCCAGATGTTTGCAGTGCATTTTACGTTGGGCTGCCGTTTGGGGTTGGTTCAGCAGCTGGTGCAAACTGCTAACTGTGGCAACTTTCCATGCACGTAGAACACCTCTACTGAAGCGTTTACATTGGTGGTCAGTTGGCTACTAAGCCAAGTTTAAGGTGTTGCTGTATAAAAGCCTGGTCTGAGATGCTAAGGGCATCTGAGAGCACCTTCCACCATATAGATCAGCCCAACAACTTTGATGACCAGAGGAGGCCCTCCTGGTTGCACCACATCCACTGGATATGCACCTCATGACCCAGAGGAGGGAATTACCAGTCGTGGCACCATATTGTGCTATTGTTTTCTTTCAGAGACCCAACAGGTGCCACCTGCATTGGCATTTAGTTGTTAACTCATTTTTAATTATTTATTTTTTAAAACATCTTTATTGAAAATTCAAAAAGCACATAACTATATGTGCACCAGACATGGCGAGACGCAAAGAGGGGAAAGAAAAAAAAGGAACCTGTGCAGAAGGGAAAACAAAAAAAGGTGGGGAGAAACCCAAAACTATATATTTTACAAGGTTGTTTGTGTACTTCACCAGATCTTAACCTATTACAGTATTTGTAAGAATGGATTCCAAATTTCATTGAATTTGTCCATGGCAAGTCTGCGTTTTTATGCAGATAACTCATTTTTATAATGAGCGTCTTTTTGTTACCAACAGCAAACTTTTCTGTAAGAAGATAGAGAGATTGTTTGACCTAGATTACCAGAACCCAGATTCTCAGGGAAGCGCAGCAACCCTGTACAGGTAGACAACTGTCCGCTTATTAATCTTATTTCAGCATATTCTTCCTTGTTCTCATTGCAAATCTCTCATGCTATAACTTTCCTTTTTTAAAAAAATAGGTGCTGCTTATGTAAGAAACTCCTAATTAAGGACACTGAAAGAAGAATCCCATGTGTTCCTGGAAAGATCAATGTAGATCAGCATGGAAACATTATCTATGTACACATAAGGTGCTTCATAAATCATATTGTAACAACATTTTTACAGGGTGTGTTCACAGGTTCTATTTAATCTGCATCATAACAGACTTTTTAATTATAATCTGAGTTCTTCCAGGGCTTCAGTCCCAGAACAGAGGTCAGTCCACTAGGGCAATGGTGGCCTTAAAGATGTACTGTATATGATAGCTAAGTGTCACGATCAAGTTATTAATACTAGGGCAGCACGAGGGTCAGGAATGAAAGGTTAGAAAGACTTGCTCCCCTTCATTCCCAGACTTCTTTCTCGCAGCAGCGATGGCGGGTTAAGGGGGCTGGGGAAAGCTCCTCAGCTGCAGGGTGGTCTTTCTCCCTGTGTTCCTCTACTTCCCGCCAGTGGCAGCAGCAGTGACAAAAGTATGGGAAGGCTGCACAGGTAGCCTGCCTGCCTGCCTGCCTGCCTGTCCTTTCACTCCTCCTTGTCATCACTGTGATGATGGCTGAGTGCAAATACAGTATGTTTTAACAAGGGCTGTCACCAAATTGATGAATTCTTAGTCAATTATTGAATTGATCAAATTGACATAATTTTTTCTAAAGAGCAGAAATACACTCTTTGATTTTAGATGATGCACACCTGTGCTGTTGTGGCCAGAGACGTGGAGCGTGTCTCATTTAATCCGGAAAGGAATGCCTATTCGCTAAGTGAGCACTTAAAAAGTCTTGTCCCTCCGTAATTAAAAAAACAAGCAGCAGCACCCTAAGAAATTGGTTAACGTTGTAGCCCTTGTTTTAATTCTTCTGTGCAATTTAACTTTGTCATTGAGGGGGAAAGGGTACAAAACTTACCAGTGGGAATTGAGAACTATTCTATTCACGCTGATCTGCCTGACCGCTTGCTCCTCTTTGTATATACAGAGATAAATCTTGGGATGTGCATGAGTATTTGCTGAGTCTTTTTGAAGAATTAAAATCTTGGCGAGATGTATATTGGCGCCTTTGGGGAACTATCAATTGGCTGATCTGTTCAAGATGTAATCAAGTGAGTGTTTTCGGTTACCTCTGCACACTCCTGACTGTCTCTCCTGGAACTTACAAAGTTAGGTTTTCAAATTCTGTAGAACGAAGGGTGAGGTTCAACTGTTGAACTAGTGGAAGCCAGCACAAAGACCTCTGCCTGCACAGTGCCCTCCCTTCACTCCTGTGACACAGGGGGCATGCTCAGAAGAGCCTCTCACCCCCTTTCCTTGCCCAACCGCCGCCAGTTGAGTCTTAGGTAAAGGTAAAGGGACCCTTGACCATTAGGTCCAGTCGTGGCCAACTCTGGGGTTGCGGCGCTCATCTCACTTTATTGGCCAAGGGAGCCGGCGTACAGCTTCCAGGTCATGTGGCCAGCATGACTAAGCTGCTTCTGGCAAACCAGAGCAGCACACGGAAACGCCGTTTACCTTCCCACCAGAGCGGTACCTATTTATCTACTTGCACTTTGATGTGCTTTCGAACTGCTAGGTTAGCAGGAGCAGGGACCGAGCAACAGGAGCTCACCCCGTTGTGGGGATTCGAACCACCGACCTTCTGATCGGCAAATCCTAGGTTATTGTTGTTGCCACCAACTCATTCTTGGAGCACAGATGGTAGGGGGCTTCGAATGCAACAAAGCAATTATTTTTTTACAAAGATAGGCTCTTAGCCAGTCCAGTGTACCCTGTACACTGGCCAACCTGCACACAACTCACTAGCTGCCAGTTTTCTTACGCTACTCCAAGATCAAAGCAGCTTGATTGTTTCCCTGGTAGGCCCCTGTAACTTCCTAAAACACAGGAACTCTGAGACCAACACACCCTGCATCTTCCATATAGTTCTTATAAGTTATTAAGAGTGCAAAGCTTGCACTGATGGACTAATTGCCATAGCCATACATTGAATTCCTTCCCATGTTTTTGTACATTGAGGATGAATAATGGATATATAGTTTGTGCTGAACTAATTTGGTCAAGTCTTTTGAGAATGCCAAGAATGGGCCACCCAGCACTTCATTTAATCAGTGCTGTTTTCAAAGGATAAGAGCAGCAGCAGCTAGCATGTACATCCTAGTATACAGCCATTAGCTTGTACATCCTAGTATACAGCCATTTGTTAGAAGACACCTCTGTGTTCTGCTGTAAACCCTTTCTGCACCTTAAACTTGGGAATACTTGCTCTTGAGAGTAGTGATTTTGTTGTCGTTGTTGCATCTCCCTTGCAGACTTTCCTGTGTACTGAATTCTCCCATTGCCAATACCACCCTCAGCCGGTTGTCTACCCTGGCGTGGTAGGTGCTCTTGGTTCCAATGGTACTGGAGTGTATCCCTGCTGTAACCAGAAGGTTCTGAGATTTGATCCTGCTCCTCTTCCAAAAGTATGTATTTGGGGGAAAGACTCTTTAAAACCTCTTTGCTCCTTCCACAAGCCATATTCTCTTGAACCGTGTTTTATACACAACAAAAGTATGGGGTGATTCCTGCCACCCCCTAGCCTGGTGCGTTAGGGCCCACTGTATAATTGCCTAAGCTGGAGTCATTATTTAAAATGATATGTTATCTATCTAACATGCAAGCTAACTGTACTCTATCCATGAGCATATCTAAAGCTTCATCATGGTTAGGCTTTGAATCCTAATATCCAAACTAGGATTGGCCACAAATTAGAATGTGAAACCCTGATTTGAAGCAATCTTTCAAACCACGGCCAGCACTATCCATGATTTGCAATGAAGTACCTTAGCTAACGTGTTTCTCTCTCTCTTTTTAATGGAAGGGATGCAAAGTAAGGGACCATGTGATTGGCTTGCCTGCTGGAGGAGAAGGTGTGGATGCTGTTCCCTACCAGACTGCTAAAATACTGAACGATCTGACTCAGCACAGAAATGTCATTGTTGTGCCTTTTGAAAAAGACCAAAACAGGTAAGAAAAGAGGTATGTCTTCATCTTTCCTGGGCAAGCACCCCACCATTCGGGTAGGCTTCTTTCGAATCAGTAACAACCCAGTCCATAATATTCCTAAATACTTATTTTTTCAAGTGATTCTGGAATTGGACTGAGTGATGAAAAGAGCATTGAATGTGATGTGCTATTGGAGCCAAATGCACCGTGGGGCCCCAGAACAGGAGAAATTAATGCTGTGAGTATCCTTCCCCACGTCTCTCTGCTTTTCCTTTCCACATTGTTCATATTGCTTGACTATAGTCTGGCTCAATAACTCAGTAGCTTTGAGTATACTTCTAGGATGAAGCTCCAGTCATTAGGTGTAGATATATGTGTGGCCATCACACAGGGTCCCCGGACGTTTCACCGTCTATTGATCCCTGTGCCACCACTTTATTTCTCGCTGCCACCACCCAGGCCCTACCTGGTACAATACAGTGGTGCCTCGCAAGATGAAAAGAATCCGTTCCGCGAGTCTCTTCGTCTTGCGGTTTTTTCGTCTTGCGAAGCAAGCCCATTAGCGGTTTAGCGGATTAGCACTATTAGCGGGCTTAGCGGATCAGCTGATAAGCGGCTTAGCGGATCGGCTGATAAGCGGCTTAGTGGCTTAACGGATCAGCTGTTAAGCGGCTTAGCGGATCAGCTGATAAGCGGCTTAGCGATCAGCTGTTAAGCGGCTTAGCGGCTTAGGAAAAAGGGGGGGGAAAGGGAAAAAAACCCGCAGGAACTCGCAAGATATTTTCGTCTTGCGAAGCAAGCCCATAGGAAATTCGTTTTGCGAAGCACCTCCAAAACGGAAAACCCTTTTGTCTAGCGGGTTTTCCGTCTTGCGAGGCATTCGTCTTGCGGGGCACCACTGTACTGAGTCCAGTCAGGGTTAAATTGAAACATAAACTTCTGTTTATTTATTGCAATTTAACAAGCATTGGGTTTCATAAACAGTATCGGTCAATTACAATCATGGGGTGCCTATCCAAACCTATAACTTCCGCTACCTGCTCCCACTCACTAAACCACCTCTCAGATATTTACTTGTCTTCCCAGCTCCTAACTGTTCCTGACTCAGCTTGTTTCGCTACACTAACTCAACCTACCCACAGACTCTATACCAATTCACTCCCACTCCAACCAACTCCCAAGGAACTCCCCCTTTTGCCCCTCCCAGAGCTGGTTTTATAGTCCCTCTGACTCCACCCCCTGGGTTCTGATTGGGTAACCTGTTTAACTATTTCACCTCCAGCACTCTCATATGTTAACGTCACAGTATGTACTGGCCGTGCTCTGCAGCTGATGTGCAATTTGCATCCATCTAAAGGGGTCCCCCCAAGTGGGTGTGAACTTGGATCGATCCAGGGAATCTTACAAGGGATTGGGGCGGCATGCTGTAGAGAGCTCCTTCACATGCTTGGTACCCGTGTGTCCATATTATGGAATGGAACATTGTGTGGAATCTATGTGGAATCCTTTCAGAGTAGTGTTTTGAACTAGTGTCCATGGAGGAATGAATATAAATAGGAAATACTGTTATCTTAATGGAGGGGAAAGCACTTGAGTTAGAATGCAATCATTCCTTTGTCGGTCACGTGGGCGCTAGTTGGAAATACACACAGAGGGAGGACCATTCTTATCTGAAAGATGTTTTGGAGTGTCCTTTCATGCACAAATAGGTAGCATGAAAGGTGCTGCTGATAACCCTACCACTGCCAGTTTTAATTTTCCTTCCCCCCCCTTCCTTCTCTAGTTCCTTTCTCTGAAAAACTGGACTCTCCAGCTGGTACGTTTGCCCGAGTTACTCCTATTCTATGTGCTGATTCTTTGTGTGTTTTAAATATTCTGTATGTGCTGCACTAGCTGTCATATTTAAACCACTGAGCAGCGTGATCATTAAAAAGAAGAAAAAGGTAATTAAAATGCATTGGGGTGGGATACCTATTTAAATGCATCTCTTTTTCAAAATCCACAAATGGTCTTATCAGCCTGCAGCACTGATTCCTAGCATAGTTGTTTGAGTTTTGACTCAAATTTGGCCTGGAAGCCGTGATGTAACATAATTGAGTGTTGCAAAATTTGAGACTGAAGTTGTTTCTAGTTAGACTTTTTTAGAGTAAGGTAGGGTAGTCTGTTTTGGTCTCTACCTTTACAGATAAGGAGGAGATGAAGGCTCTTCAGCAAAAGCAGTTAGAGGATGTCAGCTGTCATTCTTCCTTACCTGTCAGGCCTTAATTTTTTTACTGGTTTGCAGAGAAGGGGGAACCTGTGGTATTTTGGTGAGAAAAAGTGATAGTTGTTATGCTTTTTCCTTGACAATGATAGAAACAACAGTTGTTGCTTTCAGAAGATGATGAATACACCACTGGATCTGAGGTCACAGAGGATGAAGTGGGCGATGAGGAAGAAGTATACAAGAAACCAGGTATATATTCGCTGCCTGTGACCTTGCAGGTGTTCTCTGCTAGCAGTTAGGGATTTGCCCCCCCCATGTGTGTGTATATGTGTGTGTGTGTGTGTGTGTGTGTGAGAGAGAGAGAGAGAGAGAGAGATTGCCTGTTGGAAAAACAAACCTTGTCACAAGTAGCTCTATCATTTTTAATTACAATACTAAATTAAAAATTAAGTGAGTATTGTAATTTAAAATCTGTGTGTGATGCAGGTGAGCATAAACCTCCATAGAGGTACACACAGCTCAACCTCTTGAGAGCAAGTGTGGTATAGTGGTTAAGAGCGGTAGACTCGTAATCTGGTGAACGGGGTTCGCTTCCCTGCTCCTCCACATGCAGCTGCTGGGTGACCTTGGGCTGGTCACACTTCTCTGAAGTCTCTCAGCCTCACTCACCTCACAGAGTGTTTGTTGTGGGGGAGGAAGAGAAAGGAGATTGTTAGCCGCTTTGAGACACCTTAGGGTAGGGATAATGCGGGATATCAAATCCAAACTCCTCCTCCTCCTCCCTTTAAAGGATATAATCCATGCACTCTTAAGTGCAGTGCTGGCCCACCTATTTCACCTTTTATGCATTTTGGTGTACTGGCCCAGGAAGGTTTTTAAAAACAACAAACAAACAAACAAATTGTGGAATGTTATGGAATTGTGGGTTGGAACAAGTTTGAAGTGGAATTATAAGTATGTGGTGGGGGTGGAATAAATTCATTGAAGACATTAAGATCAGCAAAGGGAACACAGTTACTCTTACCACTTCCTAATCTTGCACAGAATATTGCTGCTCCAGTCCTCTTGTTACCGAGTGAAATTAGACAAGCCATTTTAAGAAATATGAATTGTAAAACCCATTGCAGAAATGGTTTTATCGTTCTCAGTCTTTTGTATTTTATCTCATTTCTCATTGCTTCAGTAGCTTTTGGCTGTGAAGATGTTAATCAATCTGTTAAATAGAATAACTAATGATTATTGGCTTGTGGTGATGTGATAAATGGGAGGGGCGACTTATAATTGACTTACACATACTATTAGCAGGAAGAAAAGAGAGGTCAAAGAAATCCCACAGACATCCAAAGAAACAAGTGTCTTCACCCAGTGTTCAAAAGAAGGAAAAGAATCTGGAGAAGGTAATCCTGAGAGATCTTATCAACTATTATGCAACCTTTGTGAGGACATAAGTCTGGCTATTTCTCTGTGGATTCATCTTATACCTTTGTTACTTTACCGAGGACAGCATGAACTTCACTTTGATTTAGTTTTTTAACCTGGTCCTGAAGATCAATCTGCATCCAGTGAGAGTTGCTGAAATCTTTTATCGGTGTACACCTGGGAATGATCTCCACTGAACTCAGTGGGACTTCCTTCTGAGTAGACATGGATAGAATCACACTGTTTCTCAGGCTGTAATCCTATGGTGAGGTAGGGAGATTGCATGGTGGTTGCTCTGCTGCGTCCAAAGTCTTGTCAGCTTGCTGTGGGTCCGGGAGAGGGGAAGTAATGCCTGCTGTCACAACACAGCTGGCAGTATATCTGTTCCTGTGGAGCTTTCCACTTGTATACTGAGGGCTCTTTCAGGTGAATAAGTACTGTTATGTCAGTGGTTTAGCACTTAGTCTGCTTCCAGTGGCCTCTCTAGCCACTTTTAGGATTGCTCTGCCTACCCATATATATCTATCTGCCTCCAGAAACTGTTGCAATATGCTAAATTTGACTTTAAAACATTATTTTTTAAAAATGCTTTTATTTTTGCTATGAACAACTGTGTCTTGAGTAGAATCCTATGCAGCTTGGCAGCTTGAAATTCTAAAGAAGTAACATTGATCTAAGGAATTTATTCTGACTTTCTTTCGACAGACTAATTCCAGAGATGCATCTCCTTTTATGTAAGTATTTTGGCTGATTTTTAAAAAAAATATTTTTATTAAACAATTTCAGCATAACAAAATATCAATCCAAATAATCACATTATTTTTTCTTCCCCCCACCCCTCCCTCAGCTCCCCTCTCTGATTTCTTTGCACATATTGTTCTCTGCATATTATAAAATTGTACATATCCTTGCTTTATCTATCATGTGTTCAACTAATATTTCGGCTGATTTTTAAAGGAAATGCAATTAGAATGCTTATGCAAATCCATGAAGCGTAGGTGTCTCAGTGGCTATTAACTATGATGGTTAAGCTGAGCCTTCATGTTCAGAGGTGGCACACCTCTGGACACCAGATGCAATTTAGGTTCTTCATTCTCCTGAAGACTAAACGGGAATCCAGTGCAGTCAATTCAGCAATGATAAATAATGCTTTTAGGAAAAGATAATCCCCACTCATTGGACTGGTTCGCACAGAATGCCAAAGCATAGTTCTTGTGCTACTTTCACTCATGTGCTTCTTCCTTCCTTCACATTCTCAGTTAGTTTATTCCTTGTTCAAGAGAAAACCTAAGTCCTGTTTGGGCATTCAGTCTCCTTAGGTGAAAACAAACATGCGGCAGTGAACAAGGATTCATTGCCAAGCCCTGTGCACCCAAGCATGACTTTTACACTGTTTAGCGCTCCCCGTGCGTTTGAGGGTGAAAGTGGGAGAGAGCCCTTCTACCTATGGAGGCTCTCCATGCAGTTTGGAACAGCACACAAGGATTTTGAATGCCCAGATAGTCTATACCTGAACAGACAAAATGTGGCTGGTGAATCATCTCCAAACCAACTACAAGCCAGCTTTCAAACAGTAGTTTGCATTTCTGGCTTGGATGCAATGGCAAACTAAATGAACATGTGAGGAGGAAGAGGAGGAGGAAGAGTATCTGAGCACAAGGCTTATTTCTGGCGTGCCAAGTTGTGGTTTTGGCATGACGACTTTGCCCCACATTCCAGAGGTCCCTGCAGAAAGCAAGATGTGGTTTCAAGTGAGAGCAGTAAACAATGGTGGCCCTATGAACAGTGCCTGACTTTTGAACAAAATAGTGCTGATTGCTTTGGTTTTTGTTTCTCATGGCTTCTCTGCTGTTTAATTAGTGTGAGCATGCAGCAGAATAAGTGGGACGCTTCCAGATCACTTAGATTCAACCAGGATGCTCAGAGAGAGGAAGGTAAGATATACATTTGTCAAAACATTTGCCTGACTTACGTGGTGTAGCAACAGGAAATAAATAAAAGCTTCATTCCACAGCTGTGTGAATATGGATATGGCAGGGTTCCATGAGAGAGAAATTGTGCCTGTACAGTCATACCTCATGTTACGTTTGCTTCATGTTACGTTCTTCCAGGTTACGTCCCGCGGTGACCCGGAAGTACCAGAAAGGGTTATTTCCGGGTTTCGCCACTCGAGCATGCACTGAAACGCTAAATTGCGCTTCATGCATGCGCACAAGCGCCAGATCGCGCCACGCACCTGCGCAGATACGGCGCTTCAGGTTGTGCTCTTTTCGTGTTGTGAATGGGCCTCTGGAACGGATCCCGTTCACAACCAGAGGTACCACTGTACTTCCTTTTCTAATTGTGCCTGTACTTCCTTTTGTAATGCCAGTGGAGCCCTATAGGCCTCATAAAAAGTAACTCTAGGGATATAAACTTGACAAGCTGAACTGAACTGCCTCTTGTGCTTTCTCTGATGTGCACAGAATGAGCTCATATGAAAGGAAGCTTCTCAGGTTATGTCACTTCACTCACCTTAACAGAAGAACTTGCTAAATGAGGAACTTCTGAAATTATGGAATGAAGGGCACCTTGTGTATGTAGCACATGCGCAACAAACACGCAAACTGCTCTATGGCGCCAGGAAATTGTAGCTTTGTAGTGTTGGGGCAGGGAGTATCTTCCAGCAGCAAAACCCCAGCACCTTACCAGTCTGCATTTCCCAGTGTTGTTGGGGAGGGGCATGATTGTTAAACTGATACAAAGGTAGATGTAGGAGTGACATCTTTGCAAGCGTGATTGGCAGAAGCAATTGTACCTCTTCCCCTTGCTTTGCAACAGTGGTGTCGGCAGGCACAAGAACAGCACTTTCTGATCCTCTGTTGCTATTTCATGTTGCTTGCAGATCAGCGGAGGATGGTGGAAATAACCGGACACCTAATAAAAATGAGACTGGGGGAGCTTGACCGGACAAAATCGAAAGAGAACAAAGAAGTGAGTCTGGGGTTGGTGCTGGTGGGAACTCTATCCCACTTCACCCTTGGTTAGCAAGACTCTACCTCCTAACTTGCCTTTTGGTGCACGCAGTAAAAAATAAAGTTGGTTAACACTTTTTTGATTTGTCTATTGCGACTTTCAGTCTGCAGCTGGAATTTATGCAAGACTTGAGGCTCAGATCAGGGCAGCGGCACAGGTTAACACCCGCCAGAACGTCCCAGAAAAAAATATGAGGTAAACCCTTTAATTCAAATGGGGTGGGGAGGAAGAGACGAGAGAAGCAAGGCATCTTGACAAAATCTTATCAAAATGTTCCTCTGCCAAACCCTTTTTATGAAACAGCAAGCAAGACTTTCCCCTACAATTAGGGTATCTCCACTCTGACACAATATCTTCCAGAATGTTCTGTGAACTGCTGCTGCGACTTCATTTAATTTGCAAGACCTGTACCTGATTTAGGGATTTTACTTGGGGGTTCTCTTAGTACCAATATATTCCTTTTGCTAATTATGCATTACTTGCTTGCTTTGGTCAGTTCTAAACTTAAAAAGCATACCACCCTAACTGGCAGTTATTTTTATTTTTTTGGTGCTGGTGTTATAATGTTCTAGTCTAGTTAATATCAATAATAAATCACTGATGACAATGTGCAGGTGACCAGAAGTCACTGAAGTATCAAATCAGGCATAGGCAAACTCAGCCTTCCAGATGTTTTGAGACTACAATTCCCATCATCCCTGACCACTGGTCCTGGTAGCTAAGGATGATGGGAGTTGTAGTCCCAAAACATCTGGAAGGCCGAGTTTGCCTATGCTTGTATCAAACGAACTGCTCTATAGTTGGCAATTAATGACCACTCAGCCGGTTACAATCATTGCTGTGAATAACTTTCAATGGTACCTTTTGTCTCTCTGTGTGTAAAAAACCCCATGTATTTCTCTTAAATCTAGGATTAAAAGTCGCTTTGGCCAAGGCCGTCCCACGTAGAAACAATTGCACACAAAGCCGTCAAACAGAAGCCAAAGCACTTTTCTGCCTCCTTGGACCGCACTGGACTCCGGAACCTGGGCATGCCTCTTCCTAAAGCTTTCAAGTGACTGAATGCCATGTAAATTATTCTCTTTTTAATGAGTTGTAAATACGCCATTTCTTATATTAAACCAAGTGCATTCCCCCCTGCCCCCCACCAAGCAATGGTGCACTTATAAACCTACAAAATGAATTTAACACCCTCATTTTGTTGAGGGTCGGAAAGAGTGGTGCTAACAAATTGGGGTTATTTCATATTCACGTGCTACTGAAATTTTGGGAGTGAATCAAGCCTTGGCCTTTTATCGGCGTTCTGTCTGGATACTGTGTGGCTCTCGCTTTTTCTTGCACTCCACTGGAATGGCTGAGGCGAATCTTGCTTGTGCTGACTTGGCTGTGGGGTGGCTCCAAAGAGGTTGACACCTCTTGCCTTTTTAATGTAGCTTAAGTTTACACTGAATAAAGATGGCTAGCTGCTCCTTTCCCTCTGGCAGGAAGCTTCCTGGCATCCAGGGAAGCTGGGCATGTTGGGAGGTGGTTCACACCGAATGTTAAAGGACATAGCCATTCCTGGAAAAGGAAGAGCAATTGAGGATGGGAGAGTATCATGCTCTTTGCAATCCGTAATCCTTAGTGGGTACAGGTGACTCTTGCTGAGCTTGTGTTTGGCTGCAGGGCAGTGCGGATGAACAGAGCAGGGCCAAATATATTTCATGCTATACCTCTGCTTGGGCCATTTTCAGGAGTTGCACCTAACCTCATAGGTAGTCTACATCTGATAAGAGAGCTCATCCAATATTTGGAAGCACATACGATTGTGCACATCTGATGGAATGGGAAAAGGCTGTTTGCAGGCTGTTTGTTTCACCTGCTGTGGCCCCAGTTGAGTGGGCAGCAGTTCGTATGCCAAATAGTCAAGTGCCACTACTTTTTGTTGGATGTAGAGTTACTTTGCATTCTGAGCATGATGCATTCTTTATACCATTTTTATTCCACTTTGTGCTCATCCAAGAGGGTCCTTTACCTGCATTTTGGCACAAGGGGGTTTCCTTCTGTTGTTGCCTGTGTTGTACATTTTGTATGCATACACCTCTTTATGCAAATATTTTTTTCAGAGGCATTTCTGCACAAAGGTCTTGCATTGTCGGTCTGTTTCTGAACCTGCATTGATCATTCTAGCTGAGTTAAAGAAATGGAATCCATCTTGTAGCAATTCTTGCAGAGAGTAGAGGGAAATCCTTTGTTTTCAGTGACAATTCCTTAAAAAAAAAAACTGGCAGGAGGCAAGAACATGAACTGGATATTTCAAACTGTGGTCATGGATCATACTTCCCTTTGCCCCTACAGAGATATATCTCTCCCACAGCTCAATACCCTTTCAAAATGAACAGTCTTGATTTTTAAGCCACCTTGCCCACTTACTGAATTTGATTATTAAAGCAATGGTCTGGTTTGCATGTCACATTAAACTGAAGTTAAAATAAACTATGTTTAAATGTGAACAAAAAATGTGGAATTGTGAATGTTTTGTTCCTCTTAGCCATGTTATGGAGAATCAAGCCTTGGCCTGGCTTGTCATGTCATGTCATTCAAAACTGGGCTATGGTTTGTTTCTTCAAAAACCACAAGTAGAAGCCCTGGTTTGTTCTTACTAATGGTGGTTTATTTAGGTGAAAGAAACCACGGAACCTGATTCGAATGACACAACAAGGCAGGCCAAGGCTTGTTTCCTGGCAGGAATAATCCACCCATAATTTTGACAGCATGTGCTAGTGCACTGCTCAGTCACATTAAAGCCACCATTTATTTTAACATGGGAACCAGGCTAATGTATGAAAGGAGCCTGAAAGGGTATCTTCTGAACTGGAGCATTAATTCTGTTTTTCCTTGTCATCTGCAATGATGTCTGCTATGCCAACAGTGAAAAAGTACCCAGTGACTCTTAGCTGGCTTCATCTTAAATGCATCCAAATATGACTAAGCAAAGCCATGGACAGGAATCTTGGTTTGTGTGTTACGCCACAGAGAGAGAATCTGGTTTCTAGGGTCTGGAGTCCTCACAGTGTATCCATTAAATTATGACAACAATAATAATGGAGTGAGTGTCTAGTTCTCATGACTGAGACTTGGAAAGTAAGCTGCTGTCTGTAAACAAGTTGTAGACTAAGTATGATGAATGGTATATTATAGTAATGAACTCAAGGGATTCTTTTCTTCTCAAAGCTGTGTAAAGAGATGCGCCAAATGTTTGTGCTTAAAGCAACTTTGCCAGATGTTTAGTGCACACACAAAACAATCCAAATATGAGTTAATAAAGTTGAAGTAGCATACCATTTTCATCTGATTTATTGTGGGTTCTGTGTGTTCAGTATTTTTCTCCACCCTGTCCTGCCAGCTTCCAGATCGTTTGGGCCCAATGCCAGAGGAGCCCCTGCAAAAGTCACAGGTCGATAGCAGGGCACATGGCTTTGCATAGAAAAGGTTCCAGATTCAATTCCAGCAGCAGTTCTGGGGAAGACTTCTGCTTTAGATCCCAGAGAATTACTGCTAGCCACAATAGCCAATATTTGGCTAGATGTAAAAAGTAAATGAGCCCTGGACGGTTAGGTCCAGTCAAAGGCAACTTGTGATTTGGTATAAGGCAAATTTGTATTCAGTGTTTTGCTACAGCAGCATAACGTGTTAAAATACCAAGGTTGTTGGTATCATAAATGGATGTGAGCTGATTGAACTCTGTCAAAAATGGAGCGAATGGGTCCCTAGGACCATTGCTGACTGAATTAAGGCAGGAGCCAAAATCATGGTTGCTTTACTAGACTGCCAAAAAGATGGGAGGTGCCACTGCTGCTGCCTGATTGCTCACAAGGGCCATAGCAGGAGCTTGCAAGATGCAGGAAGTAGACTAATAGGCATTGCAGGAGTTGAATGGCTTCTGTAGAGCCTTTCCCATAGTAGCAGAGAAGCCAGGTGGTTCTGGCCAAATGTCCCTACGTGGCCTAGCTGATGCAGGAGTTAATTTGGATGCCTCCTGCATGCCAACTGGGGAAATGGGTAAGCGGTTTTCCCCACTTATGACCAGCACACAACATCATCACAATCCCATCTGCGATGCCACAGGGAAAGTTTGAGAACAAAGCTGAAATTGATCGGCCTGTATAGCCTGCATAAAGGACATTTTGCAATGGTTACTTTAACGTTGCTCAGCAAGTGAAAAGCCCAAACGGCATGCATACATTTTGCTAAGGGTTCTGAAACTTAGTAAAGCAGATCTCATGATTCTGTATGTGTGTACATCATGATAAAATATTGAAGTGAAAAAATGCCACTTACTGCAGGCCAACATCCACTATAAGTCAGTTTGACATGCTTTTTGTATTTGTATGTTCTCATGTAACAGAAAAGTCCTATGCAGATAGTAGCAGGCCTTTCCACCATGTTAGCCATTAACTCATTAAATTCTTACAGCATTGAAACAAATTATTGGTGAATTAAAAAAAAATATCTGTGTTTATATTGGCATTATCTCCCAAACTTTGCATTGCATTGGTGGTGTGCTTCTGAATATAATAATAAAAAAATTATTATTAATAATAATTTTTATTATTATTTATTATTTCTACCCCACCCATCTGACTGGGTTTCCCCAGCTACTCTGGGTGGCTTCCAACAAAATATTAAAATATAATAGTCTATTAAACATTAAAAGCTTCCCTAAACAGGGCTGCCTTCAGATGTCTTCTAAAAGTCTGGTAGTAGTATTTCTCTTTGACATCTGGTGGGAGGGCGTTCCACAGGGTGGGTGCCACTACCCAGAAGGCCCTCTGCCTGGTTCCCTGTAACTTGGCTTCTCGCAGCGAGGGAACCGCCAGAAGGCTTTGGCACTGGACCTCAGTGTCTGGGCAGAATGATGGGGGTGGAGACGCTCCTTCAGGTATACTGGACTGAGGCTGTTTAGGTCTTTCAAGGTCAGCACCAACACTTTGAATTGTGCTTAGAAACATACTGGGAGTCAACATAGGTCTTTCAAGACCAGTGTTATGTAGTCTCGGCAGCCGCTCCCAGTCACCAGTCTAGCTGCTGCATTCTGGATTAGTTGTAGTTTCCGGGGCACCTTCAAAGGTAGCTCCACATAGAGCGCACTGCAGTAGTCCAAGTGAGAGATAACTAGAGCATGCACCACTCTGGCGAGACAGTCCGCGGGCAGGTAGGGTCTCAGCCTGCGTACCAGATGGAGCTGATAAACAGCTGTCCTGGACACAGAATGCATGAAACAGGTTCTACAAAAGGCTTAGTCAAATACAGTTAACTCCTAAATGTACCTATAAGGTGATTCCTGAATGGGTTTTTTAATTATAATATGGTGTGTCATAATTACATTCCTATACCACCATTTATCCAAGGATCACAGGACAGTTTAAAATATAAACACACAATACATATAGTAACAAAAACAATTCCCCCACCCCCTCCCTGATTAGAAGCGCAGAGATTGCTTAATTAGCCAAAGGCCTGGAAGAGGAATGCTTTTCCCTGGTGCCTAAAAATATATGATGGTGCCAGATGCGCCTCCCTAGGGAGGGCATTCCACTAATGGGGAGCCACTGCAGAAAAAGGGCATTCTTGTGTCATTGCCCTCTGGATCTCTTGTGAAGGAGGCACATGAAGAAGAGCCTTCAATGATGATCACAGGGTCCAGGTCGTGAGAGGTGGTCCTTGAGGTACTGCAGTCCTGAGAGGTTTAAAGCTTTATAGGTCAAGACCAACACTTTGAATTGAGCCCAGAAACTAACTGGCAGCCAGTGGAGTTGGGCCAGGATCAGTGCAATATGCTCAAATGGTCTTGACCTAGCAACCAACCTGTCCGCTGAATTCTGCACCGGCTGAAGTTTCTGAACTATCTTTAGAGGCAGTTCCATGTCTAATGCATTGCAGTAATCTAACCTAGGGGTTACCAGAGC